CTCTGCACCTAGCTTACCTAGCCTAGATCACTCAAAATACCTAACAAAAATTTCCATTCAGTTAAACATTTCAATTCGAATAACTACGACAGTGGAAAACACCATTAACAAAACTAATTAATCCGCCTAATACCTAATGTAGTATATTTCCGACAATATCGATTATTCCAACATTGTTTTACTTTGTTGACCTAGTTTAAAAAAAATGTCTTCTAAAGAGACCCGTTAGACACTGTACTCGTATTGGCACAAACTCAAGTATTTTACGATTTCCAATTCAACTGTATGCAAAACTAAACTTTTCTCTAATGCCTAATAATGTTATAATAAATAAACTGTTTAATATTACCATTAAAATAATGGCATAATATAATTGAAATGGCGGTGTCGCAGTTGGAGATTGATGATATGGAAGGTATCGGACTTCTGGTATTAGTAATAGTAGTTAATCTTCGAGTGTTGGCAGTCGCACACACTACTGATAGGGGAATTAAAAAAAAATCCAACCGAATAACCAGTAATATGGAAATTAGAACAAATAAATAACACCTAGTTATCTTGCGGAAGTAAAATATTTACCATAAAAATATATAGACTTAGTTCTTATTCTTAAAATTTACACAATATTGCATTTATCACTGAGATAGGTGTTAGATAAAAAAATATTTTTAACGCCCTTTTAAATAATACAACCTTTCATATTTAAAAATATATTGCTTGAGGAAAATGATTTAGTTTGATAATCACTGGGTTTGAGGTTGGTAATGGTAACCCCAAGTGACATTCGTTTATGAATAATCTTGTTGAAAATTGTATTTTGATCTGCAGTATAATCTTGCATCTGCTTATATCAAAGTATATAAAATAGTTAATAAATATGGTATTTACATGTAGAAATAACAACAGTTACCTATTATTTCAAATGAATGAACTATTTCTTAAGTATCTAAATAAAAATAATGTAAATAAATGACAATATGTGTTAAAAAGAGACATATGTCTTCTGGTTTGGTCAATAAATATGATGATGATGATTTATTAAACACGTTTGTACAGAATAATGAGTATCTAAAATAGTGGAGACAGCAGTGGCGTATTTTCTGGCCTAGTTTACTGTATTTTATTTGTTTGGTTGGTAACAAACGCAAACTAATTCTGATCCGCAAGTGGATCCGTAACTGGGACATACCTATCTAGTACACAGACGTCAATGAGATGTAACTCACGCACCGACATAGGTTTTTCCGGATTTCGCAGTACAACTATTGCAAAATCAACTAGAACGTATTCTTGAAGGTTACTCATTCCATATTAAAATAGTTATTCAGTAAAATATTCATATTTTTCTAAAATATTTACTAAGCAATTATTGAAGATATTAAAAACTATACTGCATTGCGATATTTATAACGTTAAACAATTTAATGATAATGCATATGATAATGAGAAATTGCTTAGATAAAATGTTATAATTTGACAGCAACAATAAAGCAAAAGTATTCCTCTGACGCTTTTGCACACGTAAGATACAATTTATTTTCACAAAAATCTTCTAAAATTTATAACAATAAATTGAACATTATAAAGAAATCAGTGATGCACGTTGTTGCACGCGTCGCGGCGCATTCGCAGGGCCAACGAACGGTGACATGACAGGTGCCGTGCAACCAATCCAAATGCAGAGCGTCATTTAACGCGACTCGGTTAGAAATCACAAAATTATGTATTTACATCCTTTTCTATTGTACGAGGCGACTATTATGATAGAGTGAGAGCAGTCTGCGATGGTAGACACTTATTCATTCGCAGGACTATAATCTCAGGTTGTTCTTTGTTTACCGATCAATCTGAACGATAGGTTTCCTTTTATGGATACTACGGTAAACTTACCATATTGAAACCGTTTATTAGGATATCGGAAATTACAGCTTTCAAACAAAGAGCAATCAATGAAATACAAATTCTTAATTTCTTTGAAGGATATTATCTTTGCGTCGTCTCTTTGTTTGTCACGTTGAAATTATTTATGTAGACAATGAACCATCCGTGCCTATTGTAATTCAACTAGGATAGGCCCACGCATTCCGGGAGGTCGTTAGTGTGGAGTCTAATGTCAGTCATTCATTAGACGAAGTGCATTCCCTCGCATACTAATGTCCTTCCTGCCGTCCACAACTCGAAACCAAGCTCAATTGAAACCGCCAAACTTTCAAAAATATTATTACTTGTATCATAAGATGAGCTTCGTTCGTACGTACCGAGGATGGCAGGAAACATACACTACTAACGCACGTAATGTAAATGAGCATTAGAAATACTAGAGCATGAACCTAAATTTAATCTCCAGATGAAATTCTAACAGATGCGTACATATGTTTATTTGTGTGCTAAACGGCGCCAATATTGCTTGTTTTATTTACATCACCGAAAAAAATTGGCAATCAGCCCGATTCAACGGACACACAGTTGGTACGTACTTAATGATATCACGGTAACTAGTTGAAATCCTAATGTAGATAAACAGGTTTTAGGTTCATGGGCACTTTATATTGCCCAAATAAACAAACTTGTCACGATTTGCGTAAAAACATACACTTGTTTGATCAATTGTTTAGGCGCAGAGTTGGTGATGGTAATCTTTTATCACCTAAATCAAACCACAAATCATTTTCTGTTACTATTACGCGTATCACGTATGAGAATTATTTAATTAAAAACTGACATTGACACGGTTTTTATTTGCACCTTTATTATTTTTTTTGTTTTTGGTTTTATTGTTGATCTTGGCTTGGATAGTGGATGAAAGTCATCGAGTCATCAAAGTCGTCAATAAAATTAGTCACCTTATTGGTTTGTATTTTTAAGTACCTATGCGATCTGGTTATGTATTAAAAATACTTTAATGTTAATTAAATACAAAAGATTCTAACTTCTGCTACTGGTAAACAAAGCAGTAGAAATGCATCCTCAGAAATAAGATAATTCTTTAGAAATAACTACAGACACGAATGCATTAAAAGAATCTGTTAGTGCCGTGAACGTGACTGACCAACAAGCATTTGTATAATGGGACCACATAAAATAGATAAGGTTGTTTTAACTGTTGGACATAATAAAGATTTTTCGGAAAACATTATTATATTATAGTTAGTATTACAAAAACAGCAATATTTATTTACAATGTAACAAAACAAAGCTATTAAATATATCTATATTGGGGGGAAAGGGATTGTTAGCAATGGAGTTCGACATTGATAGCAATATGACCTAATCAGGTCGACCTCCACGTGGTTCCCCCTGGAAACCATCGTGAACAATTCTTGTTGAATCACGTCACGTCACGATGGGCTAACTAACCTGTTTCATCCTCATCTATCATCCCTCACTGGTGCCCCACCGGTGTATACCGATAGCGCGGGTGTGGTTACCATTCCATTATCCCCCATTAATATATATATATATATATATATTTAATATATAATATTTGTATTAGCGACGTGTAACTCGATATTTTTTAAATTAATTATATGTTTTGGATAATAGTTTTTTCATCATCGGCATGCTACAATATTTTCAACTATGTTAGATAAATAAAATGCAGCATAATAAAAAGGCAATATATGTATCAGTAACGTGTCATATCTGTCTTTGAAATAAATATTGTGCATTCTAAATAAGTACTAAATAGTTAATGAATCACTCATTACCGTTATCGAGACCGGGACGTGATCCGATACGGTGATACGACAGCAGTGGTAATAGTGTATATGCATTGTATATGGTCTTGGTCTTATGTTACGTGTCATATTGGTAGTCATAATTTTTCTTTAATTGTAACACAAAAGTAATTTTGTAATACTACATGTATTAAAGTTTTATTTTAATTATCATAAATATTATTCTAATATTTCAAATTCAATAATTTCTTGCGTCACGGTAACAACAATAAAATCGATATTATACATATCATGTTGTTGAGTATTTGTTAACGGGTAAACCACACTTTCCCACATAAGTAAATTAAGAAAAACAATTGAAACTTATAACTTGGATCACCGGGACATGGTCCATCTGTATATCAAGTTTCATTATAATCCTTCAATTAAAGTTCTTCAAAAAGAGTGTATTAAGATTTCTTCTAGGTAGGCAACGCGCATGTGACATCTCTAGTATTGCAAGCGTCTGTAGTCTATAGTGACAGTTTACCTTAAGATGAGCTGTAGGTATACTTGTTTAACAACTTTGTGATATAAAAAAAATTCGTAATTATGTAACCAACTTTCGTGTACAGAACCGCATTTATTAATATTATTTATTTTAAATGTTAGAAAAGAATGATCTAAGACTAATTGAAGAGGCAATTGGGAGTTTTGTAAATCAGCAAAAAAATAAAATTATTTTATGTCATCATTTTGATATTGTCTTAACTAAACTTAAAAACTGAATAGTGTAATAGACAATTCAATATAAAATATAATAAGTATTGAAAATTGTTATTCAAAAATTGTCTACATCAACTTACTACGATCGAGTTCAATTTCCAATAATTTTAACACTTCGAAGTACTGTGACGTACAGGACAAGTTGTGCATCTTTAAAAAACGTAAATTAGAAATATTAAAAATCTAAATTTAAATACCCGTGGTTGTACATATACTATACGTTTGAATGTCATCGTTTTGCTCCTACTTGAAGTGAAAGTGATACTTTACTTCAGGTAGTCAGGCGCCGTGATTGACTGTGAAGCTCACTGTTACTCCAAAAGTAAAAAATACAGTCTCATATCGGACGAGTGTTCTGAGGCTTAGACACATATACCAGTCAGACGCATATACAGACACATAAACTTAGCAGAATTATAATTAACGAAAAATATTCATATCAAAATTGCGTACCAAAAAAGATAATTCATTAAAATTAAACCTGTCAAGAAATTACAAGATTTGAAATATTTTGTAACAAGAGGTGTCTTATATTAGCTTAGCCAATAATGCTTTTACCTGTGTAAACTGCGAAGAGATTTTGGTGTGGTCTTCTTGGTAAGTTTTTCTAGATTTCCGTCGCTCTGTCATTAATGCAGTGAGGCGGTCAAGCGCACGAGAGTCCAGAGCTTCCGCATTAGCTTTTATCAACCGACTGGTGTTTTCCCACTCTTCAGTCATTGTGCGCCATGCTGATGCTATAACTGAACCTGAGGAAAAAAATAAGGTTCTTATTAGAAAATGTCCAACTAAATTGATAAAATGATCAAGTTAGATCAAAACAACAAAGAGCATAAAACAAATGCTAAAATCAAAATAGAACTGGAACATAGAAGAGTTGATTTCCTCAAATATACAAATATAGTCAAACAAAGAAGAAAAAAATATATGCTCGTAAAATGCTCTTAACATAAAAATTGAAGAAAAGGACATCCTTTCGCTTGATACATCCTTTCCAAAAACTATAAAAATTTAGAGACCCTATAAAATCATAAATTGCAAATAGGCATACAGCCCGGCTGATAAGTAGATAGCGTAGCTGCAAATTACGTTAATACGCACACATTTCATTGTTTATAATTATTTCTCAAAATAAGGCACTACTGAGACCTATAAAAGAAAATAACAAGCGACAATAAATATATGCATAATTTTATTCATGACTTTTGTTTTACGAAAAAAGTGTTTCTATTTTTTAATCTTATAAGCAATTCTGAATTTTAAATGTATGATATGCTTCCATCATCCTGAAAAATATATACCTACCTATAGACAGATTTTTAATTACATATAGGTATCTTTTACATATCGGGCTAACCAGGAGGACAAATGCCCACAGCAGTAAACTTATGAAAATGTACATAATTGTTAGATTAGACTCTTTCATAAAAAAAGTAAAATGAAATGAAATTTTATAAAATAATTGGTACTGCTTTTATTATTCCTGATTTAAGTAACTATACTATAACTGTACTAATTTTTTACCTACTAAGTACTTCGTACGCGTAGATTTCAGAAGAAAATAACCAATGAATAAATTTCAGAGTTAACTTCTAGATGGCATGTCAGGATAAAACATAGATTTTAAGTAACACATTAAAAACATTACTCTGAAAGCTGTATCCAATTTGGTACAGTTGTTTTTGTGTGATGCCGGAACAAACAATAGCCAGGCAAACATTTCTAAAAATTATTGTTTCGACTTCTCTAGCTTTTATTCAGAATCCTCACATAAATTTTTACTAATTATCTTTCACGTATAGTTATCATCTGGTTATAATTTTAATATATTAGTAAGATTAATACTTGTATTATAAAGTCTTTGTTCAGAAAAGTAAGGTATGTAGGTTTACCTAAACTTTATGAACGGAATGGAGCTAAAAGCGGAGATGTGTTTATTTTATGAGTGAAAATGAATAAGTGACGGCGCTTGTGCTATCAGTATACACTGGTGAGGTACCAGTGAAGGATGATAGATAAGGATGAAGCAGGTAAGTTGGCCCATTGTGACGAATTCAACAATTATTAACCACGACGGTATTCGGAGTGAACCGCATGGAAATCGACCTAACAGGGTTATTGCTAGCAACTAGGCAGTTAGCTAAACCGTTACCGTTTTATGTTTGACATTCAAATTGAGTGTTATAATCTTTTAAAAATTTAAAAGGAAATTTAAAATAGAAAATTTGTATAATAATTGAAAAAAATAGTTGTAAAATATTTTGTTTCGACAGAACATTAACCAACAGTTGCTAGGTAAAGCGCAAGTAGAGAAGAGTACTATTGTCGCAAGACAAAGACATCTTTTAACATTCAATATCCTTTTTTAATCCAACAAAGTTCTATTACTTAATCTTGGCCCAAAAAACAACTTCCTCAAGAAGTCTGCTAGCTATTCTTTTTCAAAAATAGGAGTTCGAGTTCGGTTCTTGACCAGGCCAATTTAGATTTTTAATTAGTTCTTGATGCCCTGTGTCATGACCCCAAACGTTTATAGTCTAGTATCTCTTAATACACGATTAGTATCATAGTGCCGAGCAATAATATACTCAAAGGCACAATTTCCTTAAGAGACCATCTATTTTCAAATTTAACTTACCGTTAAGTTCTTCACACTTGTCCATCTTCTGGCCCTGCGCGGCGGCTGCTGACAGAGCAAGAGCGTACTCCCTATCGCTCTTCATCTTAGCCTGCAGACTCCTCTTCATCGTCTCCATGAGTCGTAGTTCGGCGTCTTGGCGCGCCAGCAGCGCCTCGTGCGCCGCGCGCCCCGCACCACTCGATGCATACCCCATAATAAACAACCCGGTTCCACACTACTCCACACGCATCGCAACGTAAACACAACACAATTCACATCACTTTCCGTTATCACCAACACCGTGCTTTACGTCACCTGGCAATAAAACTCAATTTATTGGCAACCACAGCTCGACAATCACAATGGAAAGGAGCTCCAATACGCCCAGTTCGAATACCTAATCGTATACCCGACTTATATTTTATTTTTTTGTGCTAACCACGAACACTGACAGCCCGTAAAGGCGCAGTAAAAAGGTGCGTCACAAAAAACTAATTCGATACAAAACTTTGTTCGAAAGATCCGAGCGCGCCCGAAGCCGAGGCAACTGAGAATGCAAACGTCCGCACGGTAACGGCGCGCGACCTGAATGCCATCTACTGTGGTCGTTTCATGTTTTACCACCTCTGCCAGGCCAGTTAGGTATGCTCTGCGATTCATATAATTTACTATATTTATATAAATTTTAAGAAATTAATCAATTGCAATCAAAGAAAATTAAAAGTTGTATCAGCGTATCAGTCCGTTCTTAGGATTGCCCATTCACAGATCTGACCACAGGGTCTGGCAATTACAATGATAAAAATAGCAAAAGTGAAGGTATAATACTGTAAAAGCTCCGTGCCAGCCACTGCCATGTACGACAACAAGTATTCTTAACTTTACTGATAAATGATAACACCTGACTTTGTTAGTAAGATTAGACTAAAAATTTAGGACTGACACATATTTTAAAAACTAAAAGCCTTTATACAGTAGGCCAATTAATATAACTAATTCCTTAAAACTAATATTAGTATTCATTAATAGGATCTCAAAAACAAATTCTAAGATTTTTTTATATCTATAAAACTTAAAAAATAAATTAAAATTTTTGAAATAAAGAACAACCTGTATCGGTGTATCAACGACAATACACAGTACAAGTAAATATTTTTTTTATGCAACTTAGAATGGCAAACCAGCTGACGGCCCACCTGATGGAAAATGGTAACCGTCACCTATAGACATGAGCACATACATGAGTACATACTAATTATTATATAGTGCTTTTAGTAGAGATATTTAGGTTAATCTTTTTTGAAAAATTTAATTTCATTTTCTTAGTGTTTTTGATTAAAATGTTTTTACAAAAAAATGTGATCCAATTAATAAAAACTAACACTGGCTTTAAAGAATGTGTTATATTAATTAACATACTGTATATTAATAAAAAGAAAAATAATCATTTACATACCCAGGCTGCCGGAATAACAATCAATTACTCATTGAACACTACACACTTAACTGTCATATAATTTGTCAAAATAAAAAAAAAATTAAACCATTTATTGTCAGGTGTATATTTGTACAATTTTTTTTTCATGGGTTCCTTTTATTTATTCATCAAAGCAGATACGTTTGGGTAGCTGTGTTACATTTTGAAGGAATGTGGCAATGAAATTACTGGGAATAGACGCATAACACCTTGGCTTTCAAGAATAACAATACATACTAAATTAATACCACAGGCGCCACAGTATATTCCGTTCTATTATTATTACTTGTATATAGGTTGCCAATTTTCATTAAGTACGCCATATTCCATATTTAAAATTATTTTTCAGGGAGTGTTTAGCCCCTTAAAAAAGGAGTATACACACACAGACTCGGTCGTCGGTCCCCAGCCCTTACCTGCTGATTTAACAAAAACAGACTGTGACAGTCAATTTCATCGACCATCGCAATAATTCAAGCCCAATTTTACTGTTAATAAAGGTTTTGTAAGTACACATTATTTTAACTGTAATAAGAATTTGGATTTTTATCGAATAATCTTCAGAAAACCAAAGTTACCGATATATCCCAAAGGATAAGCAAGCTGAAGTGGCAATGGGCTTTTATTTTAATGATTGATAATGAAATGGTGACCCCGCCTGCGCTATCGGTATATACTAGCGGTGCACCAGTGAGAGATGATATGATATATGAATATGAAAACAAGTAAGTTAGCCCATCGTAACGAATGCAAGAAGTATTAATCACAATGGTTTCCAGGGTGAACCGCGTGGAAGTCAACCTGACAGGGCTTGCTAGCAATGGGGCCATTTTTTTTTATAGGTGATAATAAAATAGTAACCCCATCCGCGCTATCAGTATACACCGGCGGGGCACCAATGAAGGATGATAGATGAGGATGAAACAGGTCAGTTAGCCCATCGTGACGAATTTAACGAGAATTGTTCACGATGGTTTCCAGGGGGAACCACGTGGAAGTCGACCTGATATTGATATACAGATATTGCTAGCAATGGGGCTGTCAAACTCCATTGCTAACAATCCCAATTCCCCCGCATTGGGGCAGTGGCAATGGGCTGGCAACATAGCTCGAAGAATCAACAAACCAATGGGAAAGAAAGGTTCTTATGTGGCAACCTTGTACAGGACAAACAGTGTAAGACTACTCCACCCCCCCCCCCCTTCTCTACCAAGTAGAGCAACGATCTAAAATACATTGCAGGAAAATAGTAGATGCAGGTGGCTCGAGACCACACCTTAGAGCAGTGTACGAAGGAACTATGTTTAGCAGTGGCAGATAATAGTTAAGATGATGATGATGCTCGACTAGTGCCGCCACTATGCGGGATATTTATTAATATATAAAATAATATAATATAAATAACTATAACGTGAGCCTTGTTACCAACAAGGCTCGTGATTGAGTATAGCTGAATAATAGCTGTAGTAACATAGAAAGAGTACCTACCATCAGTGACTACTTCCTCTGTGGTACTATCCACAGAGTAAATAATTACTACGTTAAATACGCTTAGCGAGAATAGACTTCCAATTGTTGACTTGTACATTTAAAAAGAACGTCAACTTTTATACTCTTGCAGTAAAATTGACTGCAGGTCTATCCGGTCTATACCGTCCATCTATATGAATTTGCATCATCTTAACTCAAAAACAAAAATCAAATTGTGATTGAATGTAAAATTTTTTGTAATGCCTTTAGACATAGTCTTTCTAATCTGTGGTATAATACCATTGTAGCCGTCAAAGATTAAAAATAGTGTTGTTATTCTCTATGGGTGCCGAAATAATTATTATCTAAGGCACGAATTTGTTGGACCATATAAGATAGAGAATTTTCGCCTCTCTTGCAAACATATTAAGAGCATTTATAACATTTGCTTAATAAAAGCCGACAATTATAGAATTAACTTGACTTATTGAATTACAGACTGAGCTGCAATTGAATGTTTATACTTTTACCTACCTAAGTATGGCAACGTCACAACTATCCGTTAATTTTCAAATACAATTAAAATATTTTAATGATTTTGAATTATTTCCTAAAATTGTTTTCATTTACTAGCAAAGTAAAACATCTTAGATTATAAAGCATATAAATCTATCACTAAAACTGTGCACTTCATATTTTGACTTGAAATTATTCAAATACTATCAAAATTCATATTTTCAGTGACAGGTAAATAAAAATATAATTGCCTAATGGACGATGATAACTAATCTAACGATCTTCCGATCTTACTGATCGGAATCATTATAGTAGTTAAATATTAGATATTATACAGCACGATTGCTAGAATCATGATACATAAATAATACCATTCTTTTTACATTTGGTAATCATTCGTTGAATGTTCGCAGAGTATTTGATATTATATAAAGTCACTCCCCAACTTGAGTTAAACACGCGTATTTTGCAGCATGCAGGAAAAAATTTAAGTTCTATACTTTTTTGATTTTTTTCGAAATAGTTTCATTTTTGTCTTACAAGCAATAAATATATATCCTTCATCGAGTCATAAATTTTACCTTTGTATTCTAATTTATTTAGTATGGTAATATTTGAGGTTGGAGTAACTGCCGGGGTAATCAACTAGCAGTCAGTGGCAACACTTGCCCCAGCCTTATAATATGGCCGCTGCAGGTTAGTTTTATTAATTTTGTCACGTGAAAAAATCCCAATTTTCATTATATTTTATCATTTATTTTCATTTTTTATGCTTCACTTTATTTGCTTGCATCTTATTCATTCTATACCACATCTTTTAAAGCGCTGTAATGTTATCTAATATTGCAAACGTGTCATCGTTTCACCTTTTGCGGACGTTGAATTTACCGCGTGGCCACATTTCTTAACTTTTTCAATTCTTTATTCTCACCAGTACGTCATTTTAAAGCTATAAATTTAGTTTCTAATAAATTCATAAGTCTTAGGAAAACTAAACTTTAACAGATGCTCTAGAAATGCTATTCGTCCTTTCATTGAATCCATGAATAACCACTTTCCAAAATCAATGTAGGTCGTTCACTTGCAATGCGTCATCACCACGTTATTCTCCATTTAAAATGTAACCGAATCTGATCCACACCCATATATCCTATGTATATTTTGCAGGCAAGAAATCAAAAAAGTCAAAATGGATCAAAGCCAGCATCACAGACATTATAGCCGAACCAACGACTATTCCCACGATAAACAACTGGGCGGACGCTGCAGATGAAGAACGTAAGTTATTATACCAATTATTGCACATACAAACTAAATCCTATCTGTCAATCTGTATTTAATATCATAGACCCAATGATGAAAAGAAGGGTAAAGGCAGGTCAATGTTAATCTCGTACTTGGGGCGTACTAGCCGAGTGTATATCACTCTATCCGCCCCGGGAAGGTCTGAGTAAAGGTCTCATGTGATTTCAAAACATTCTAGCCGGATGCTACCCTCACAGGGTAGGCGGGGGAACCAGAAAATACAGTGTAGTGTTAAGCCTGGGAATCCTGACCGGTGGGTTCTGGACAAGGTGTAGGCATTGCATTGTTGGAAACTCCTGTGACCAGCAGTTTTAGCACAATCTACGAGATGACTTCGGTCATAACTCAATTCAGACTAGTCTTTCATTGGCCAGCTCCCTGTTATAACTGAGGGTCTTTAATCATTAAACATGATACATAGCAATGCACACATGATATTATGTACACTACAGACGAATTTATTAACAAATTCAAAGCTCATTAAACCAAAATCAGGATTGGGATTTGTTATTTAAATATTATGCTAATTTGATTACTTTTTATCCTAAAACTTGCTTTGCTATGGGATATAATAAATATTTATCTAAGTATGGGTATAAAAATGTAGTGTGCCTGTAATTATGAAGAAAATTTGTACAAACCCAATTGTTAATGTTATATTTCATGAATAAAGTTTGATAGGTTACATGATTTGTAGGTAGGTGTAAAATATTACCAGATGTATTAATGGTATTTCCATGGCATGGGTCTGTGACAGCGACAGAGAGCTATGGGTTCACGTCGCGGACACGTGCGCCAGTGGTGCTGCCGTCGGCGTCTCGCGCGGCGCGCGGCGGGCTGGCCGTGGATGACGAGTCCATCCCGCGCCGCCCGCCTTTCATTGCACACATCTCCAATCTGCCATATGATGTCGACGAGACTGCTATCACTGAACTGTTTGGAGAACTTAAGGTACCATCTTCCATCACTTATATATGAGGACAGACAAAGCAATGACCATAATAAATATGAGAACTGCAATGAATGAAATTTTGTATTTGTTATGTTATAAAATCTATTTTGGCAGAAACTTCCTTTTGCACCTGAAACTTCCAGAAACACCACATGTTTTCTGTTTTTCTCAGCTGTGTAAAGTTTTTGTGATAAATTATTGTTAAAAGTCCAAATAGAAATATGTGAAAAATCTAGTAGAAAAAATGAGCACTCAAAGTAGTCTATATGCAATATGTATCTCAATCCATGTCTGAAATCTACACAATTTACTCCTTGAATTTTTGGTCTATTCTCCCTTTATCTATTTACAAATGACTTGTCATTTTTAAAAGACTTGATGTCATATATTATTATGCCCTAAAATTCTGCATAATATTTGAGATACCAGCCAAAATTGTATTTTTTGAAATTTCAAGTTTCTGCGAGTTGAAAATCAGACAAGAGATTTGTTTGATTGTATGACATTTTATAAGTAATATCTGCATTAGTGTCATTATTTAACAATTTGTCTTGAATATCCTGTGTAAACAATTACTATTATGGACTAATGAGACATCTGTATACATAAATAGATAACAAACATTTCATTCAAAGAAATGTCTGGTATAGTTTGTATATTTGGAAAAACAATATTTACTTAGCTATTATTAATATATTTATACTAATGCCGACTTTAGTGTAATGGCTATGATATGGAGTCCAAAGGTCAGCGCTTTAAGAGAACTAAGATCAATAAATATGTATAGTACTATTAATGATAACATTTTTTTCCACAGATTGTCAACTTGAGATTGCCAAGAGAGGGTGACCGCCTTAAAGGATATGGATATGTCGATTTTGAAGACAGGGAAAGTCTTATCAATGCCATGAATATGCCTGATCTGGTAGGTATATCAGGAAACTAATGGTCTTAGTTACATAGAAAAATTATCACAAAATATTAACAAATACAAGTAGTCTTATATAATAAAATAAACAAACATAAACATTATACTGAAAGCATTTTATCTTTTACATTGATTTAAAAACATTTGTGTGTTTTAAAAATCACTTTATAAAATAATATAGAAAAATAGTAAGTAGTAGTAGTAATAAGTCCTATAATATTGATGGTGTTTATATGCCATGTTAAATACATAATTTCATTAGGGCTGTTCTATATTTTTTTTTTTTTGCAAAAAAGAAGGTTATAACTTCAATAATATTTAAAATTTATAATAAATGAAGATCATTCCTGTATAGGATTTTTCAACAAAGAAATTTGATTTGCCTTAAGTTCACACAATAGTGGTTATAGTATTGCTTTATTGTTCTTGGATTTTAGGGCCACAGTTATCACAAAACATCATCACTCATATTTATATACTTCTTTTGTTCTGTAGACAATAGGGGGCAGGCGGATAAGAATAGATGTGGCAACACAGGACAGCGACCGCCGCATGGGCCGAGGGGGAAGGTCTGATAGGGACAGGTAAAAAATATTGTTTGTGTCATTTGTTATTTATATAAGCACCGACATAGGAAAAAAAACCTGACAACTAAATATACAATATAAATTGCCAACTGGTCTTGGCATAGTATAAGCCACTTCTTCCGTTCACGTGGGTGTTGTAAACGACTACTAAGGGAGGGTGAGAGATAGGCAGCAGCATCCCTCATATTTCTAAACCCTAATTGGGGTTGCCAATCCACTTGCCAAACATGGCAAGTACTGGCAAAATCCCCCCAAGGGAAAGGCTTATGTTCAGCAGTAGACAGTTAAAGGCTGATATGATAATACAATATGAATTTGTTAAAATGCATTCAAATCCTATATAATTAGAGGAAATTCTTTTAATAATAAATGTAATCATGTCCTTTTTTAATATTGTTTATAGATTGGTTGACTACTATGTTAGAGTTATGAGGTTATAAAACCCAAAAAAAAAATACAATGAATTGAAAATCACCTTTTTGAAATCGATTGAAAATTAGCCCCTAAAAGGTTAAAATTATATTATTTTTCAGTCGCGCTGTAAATAAATAAGTGTGTAAAACTACACAAAATTGATTGGTTTGTAATCCTCGTCAGGGAGTACGACCCGGAGCGCACGATGGGCGACTGGCGGTCGGGCCCGCGCGCCGTGCCCGAGACGCCGGCGCGGGGCCGCAGCGACGGCCGCGACCGCGACACCATGCGGGACCGCGACCGCGACCGCGATCGCGACCGGGACTGTAAGTTTACCTTTTTTATCTAACTTAAAAAGGCAAACAAGCTAATAGATCGTTTAGTAAAAAATGGTATAGACCAGCAATTCCTAAAATGGGTTCTGCAGGACCTAGGGCTTTCGTAAAAAAGTCATCAGAGTTCCATGAAATTGATTACAATACTGGTTATTGGTTACAAACAATTTTATTCTTCACATTAAAAATTAAAGGAAACTATAAAGTGTTATATTTTTAAAATATTTCTTATAAAAGCTTTTGTACTTATTTAAATTATATTATTAGTTTTTTTAATTTTAAATTATATTATTAATTAATTGTAGTTTTTTTATTTGTAATCATTCGATATGGGGTTCCATAAAAAAAACAAATTTGGTGGTAATACTTTCTTTTGCTAACGCTTAAACATAGTGACAAAAAAAGTGCACAATATAAAAAAAAGGTCGTTTAAAAATTAAATTGTAATAGTAAAATTCTTGATGTGAGAGAACAATAAGAAATAAAAAAATACATCCACTGAAGTTGCATCATTATTAAGTAGGTAAATATTCTTTGTCTATGCAAATGAAATCACTACAGCTAGTACCTATGCAATATTTTTACAACTACATATTACACCATTCTATAATTTGTTATCTTTACCAGGCCGACCTTCTAACATTGAATATCATATAATTAAATGATATTATGTACTTTAAGTTGAACTCAAATTACTTTGTACTGATAAATATGTGTATCATACGTCACAATGATGATAAAGATGATTGTGTTACGGAGCAAACGCTAATATCACATTTGGGATGCACACACAGAGTACATAGAGAACTGATTTTGTGGTGCTACTCGTCTTTCTATTCTCGTATTTTTTTTTAATTTGCAAACAATGTGGGATGCTCTTAACAAAAGTAATTTGAGACTAGTATTAAGAAATAATGTCCATGTAAGGATTTAACATAAAAAAGTTAAGTTAGCAACTACTTTTTTGAAGTCGGTAAAAAATGGTTTAATAACATCTAATTAATATCAGCTCTCTGTTACTCACCACATCTCGGGAAGGTCTGAGTAAAGGTCACTTGTGCAGTCATAGTTACCTTCTAGCCGGAGGCATCGCTCAAAGCGATGGCAGGGGTACCAGAAAAGCAGGAATAGGGGCTTCGTTGGGGACTCCCGTGTGGACGAGACTCTGCCCCTAATGCCTTTGAAAGCCCCCTGTGACCAGCTGTTTTAGTCCAATTTGTGATGCGGCGGCAGCCGTAACTCAATTCAGACTAGTCTATGGCTTGCTCCTTTTATCACAATCATTGTCTGAGTGACGAAGCAATTTCTTTTTAATGAATATTATTCACATAAATAAGAAATAATATGTTTAATTTTGTGAACTACTTCTGTAGCGAGCGCAGACAACCGACCGGGTGGTTGGCGCGATGGCGACCGTCCGGCTCCGGAGCCGGCCCGGACTCCTTACGGCGGCCGGGACTCCTTCGGCCGCGATCGCTTTGGAGAAGACCGGTGAGTTTTGACCGGTTACCTTATAGCCCCAATAATATTTGCGTCGACCATGTTCTCGACAAATAACAAGTTCGTTTAAAAATAATATCAAATTCACTAGTATATGAGCACCTGCAAACGTTTCACTTTAAAATTTGCTTAATCTCATGACATGCATTTATTTTTAAATTTCAAATGTCTTAAATAATTTAAAGTAGTGTTTTTGTCCTTCCAAACATGTAACGAAAGTTGAATATAATAACACTACTATTTTCAACTAGTCAACATTTTAAAACAAATAATAAAGTAAACAAGAAAGTCTTAAAACAGTTTCTTGACTGCCATGCATAAAAAGCTTTTATCTGTACTTACGCACCCTTATATCAGTAATGATAAGATTAGAATTATATAGGTGGTCTTTTAATTTAATTGGATCTCTTGTTTTATATTATTTTTAAATGTGTTCTTGTCCTTGAACAATACAAATACTAAAGTCATTAAAATGTAAAGTCATGGAATCGTATCTGTAATAAATATTTATAATATTTTACATAATTTATGAATAGTTAAAACATACTGTTGTATTTTTTCTTTCTTAATATTTATATTTATGGATAAAACATACAAGTTAACACATCAATTTGCATAGATTTATAACGCGTCTAAATCTAGTTATTAATGATCATTCTTTAACAATTATGTATAGTGGAAGAGAACGAGGTTATGGCCGTGACGGCGAACGCAGCGGCTACGGTGGCCGCGATGGGTTCCGAACTGCTGAGCGAGATGGATTCAGGTATGTTCTCCCCATTTAGATGTCAGCAAGTATAAATTTTTATATGCATATAAAATACACTTCACTAAGTAACTCTGTGTAATTATATGGAAATATATTTATTTAATACACAGAGTAGATATATGTATTTTTGGTGGAATTTACACTGGATTGTGTTCTTTACATGCATTGAAGAATTATTTACGTAAAAATAAAATCATAGTAAAATTTGCTCTCTTCATAAAATTTCTGAATTAAATATTAAGATGTTTAACTGTAGACTAATATTGTTAATGTTATAGTATGTTTGCTTGTTACCTTTTAACACCTAATAAAATTTACATACATCTATTTTGAGGCATCAAGGATGTCTAGGCTACAGTAGAATATCGATTATTCGACTCAAATAAAACCAGGGGTATTCCATATAATCGAAAATCCGGATAATTCATTTAAAAGTCAAATAATACATAATTTTTATTATTATTATTTACGGGTTTTATATACGTTATGTAGACAATACAATATTAAAAAACTACAAGCTATAAAGATTATGGATTACATAATACCTATTTACCCAATTAATATCATTTCTAAATGTAATTAGAGCCGTGAATATTAAGTCTGGATAATCGAATATTCGTATAATCGATGTTTGGCTTATCGATATTTTATTCTATTTTTATTTCATAATTATGCTGATATGTTTTATATTGTTCCTAATAGTCGTGATGGCCGAGGTTTTGGTGGAAGAGGGTTCGGCGACCGTGACCGTGATCCACCAGCAAGAGAAGGTAATATTTATTCATACATTAGTATATAGTATATAAGTTAAATGAATTTTCATATACTATATAATATTACTGACCAACATTTTATTCTCAGGAATATTACAGCTTAATAACCAAATAATTGCTATGATTATGTAGTATTCATTTAATAACTATCTTTCAGATTATAGAAAAATATTTTTGTATATTTATTTTAAAATCTTACACAAGTTTAAGCCTTTGCATGTCTGCATACGACGTTATAAAAATAATTCGCAAACTTGTCGATTCTAGAACCAGCACGACCCCGCGAACGTCCTAAGTTGAATCTCCTGCCACGGACGGTACCGCGCGATGTGGAGACTCCAACCAAACCAGCCGACGGCGCTCCGATCGAAGACAAGCCGCCCGAGAAGACCGTCGCTAAGCCTGTTCCCGCCGAGAAGGTCTTCGGTGCCGCCAAGCCCGTCGACACCGCCGCTAAGTAAGTTTACGCAATTTTTCACTGTTTTTAGAACTGTAAGCAGTAGTTTCGATCTTCCCTATAATATATTTCCTTCATCATATAACCTCGAATCAATCAAGTATAGTGTGTATGGAGAAACACTAAATTGGTGTCACGAGGCCTAAGAAAACTTGATGATCATGGAATGGGCAGCAACATCCCTCTTCAATAATCACCAAAGCTTGACTTGCCAACTCGCCCGCCAAGCATAGCAACTACTGGCAATAAGCCATTATGGGGGAGGCCTATGTTCAGCAGTTAACGGTTAATATAATGGTGATAATGATGATAGTAGCCTACCATTGAGAAATTAATTCCTTCTTTTTTGTCAATTGTAAACTTATTTTGATGTTTTTTTTTTTATAAGATCAAATTAATAATTGCCAAAATCACTCCAAAATTTGTAAACATTCCAGGGAAATAATCACTAGAATATTAATAGTAGTCAGAATTATTTATAATGCACATAAAATAAACAACCTAGATATAATATCTTGATTGTTGCCAAGTAATTATTGAATGTGCTATAACATAAAAGGTTAACTAGACACCGTATCATACTCGTGTGTGAATCGGTCGCTTTATACCGACATTATTCCTATCCATTATTACAAATTTACTACAATAACATCAATCACGAATGTCCCAGTCTATTAGAGACTATAATCATTCCTCAATATATTAAATTTTTCTTTATTTTTGTTATTTTAGAGAAAGAGAAATTGAGGAGCGTCTACGTAAACAAGAGGAGGAATCTAGACGCGCCGCCGAAGAGAAGGAACGTTGGGGTCGTAGAGTAAGTTCTAAAATACCTAAATCAATATAAAATTTATATTATCAATTAAATGAAACTGATTATCTATGTCGTTTTTCTTCGCAGAATGATCATTCTGGCGATCGGCGTGGTGGTGCAAGGCGAGGTAAGTGCATAATGTATTTATAATTAATTAATGTTTATACATTAATTTTTTTTTATATAAAAAGTATTTACATTAATTGTATAAATAAATATAATTATTTATATATGAATCATTTCTAAAAATACATTTATCCTATCATAGTTATAGTAAAACCTATATACAAAGAGTGACAAAGCACATTTGACATTTCATTGTTATAATTCAGTTGGTTTAAAGGAGGTGTGTTTAAGACACATAACAGCAGCTTTAAAAGAGCATTCTAGAAATGAAATTGAATATTTTACACAAAGAAACAGATCGAAAAACATAAAATGACATTATAAGTTATTATGAAACTGGACAGCATGTCATATGTATATATCACATGCATTTGTTAGTATTTGAAGCTTAGTTTTAGTGATGCACTTCCTTACAAAGATGTTAATGTTCTCGATGTCACCCTGTATAATATGAATAGGATTAAAGTAAAACATTTAAATTGTTGTAGATGACCGCGGCAGAGATTCACGCAGCTACAACAGAGATAGACGCGACTATTCCAAGGACGACAAAGATCGCCGCGATAGGGAAGACAGGAGTAAACGCGACTACTCCAGGGACGATAGGGACAGGCGCGACCTCAAAGACGATAGAGACCGGCGCGATTACAGGGACGACCGGGACAGGCGTGATTACAGGGATGAGAGGCGCGACCATTCAGGTGATAGGCGCGATTCGCGGGATAGACAGAACTCTCGTGACAGACCGGACTCGAGCGATAGAAGGGATTCCCGGGAGAGGCGCAACTCCCGTGACAGGGATGTATCAGGAGATAGGCGGCCCCAGTCCTGGGATCGAGACTCCGGCGAACGGGACCAGAAACCGCGCGATGAGCGCAACGGCCGCGCAAGGCGAAGTCACTCGCGGGATCGAGATGACCGAGAAGAGAAACCATTACCTAAATTTAAGGAAATCGAAAAGCCGGTATGTTTTCATTAAAATTATTTTATTTGTGAATTTCAAAATTCATAGCTTTCATAGTTTTTTTTTTTTTTATTTACTTTAATCAATATCGTAATTTTAGTGTATCTTTCTCCCATACTAGACTTGGGCTTTATAATATTGGTAATTCATTCAGACAACAAAAAACATTTACTTTGATTTTGATTGTTAGCTCATATAATAAATACCTTACTCTAAAATGTTATAATTTTATATTCTCATTAGCTAAGATTTCTATAATAATTGTTAAATATTACACATCCTTATACTATAATTACTTTAACTTTGCAGAACTTTGTAGCTTCAAATAAATTCAGCTGCCTTGAAGACGCTGACGACGGCGGCTCTGATTAACACGTATGAACTTCTTTGTGCGCTATTACCGTGACTCGTGTATAAAGTGTAAATTAACGAGTATCAAGTGTCTAAAGTGTAGCGAGACTCGATAAAGCACTGAGACGATCTTAAATTGTGCTATGTCATAGAACTCAATTAGTCATTAGTGTGGTGTGGATATAAGTGTATATTAGGGTCTCTGTATGCTCACATTGCTTCGAAGCTAGCCCCAGTCTTTACTGTTGCTTCATTTGATGAAATGTGGACTGTTTTACTAAGACTGTCTACACTATTACATATATTTTACTGCAATAATCTCATACATTCTATAATGGACTTTGAAATTTAAATATTTACTAGTTATTTAATATCTCAAACTCTGATAGATATTATTGCAGTATTAGGTTGTTTCATTAGGGAGCTAAGTAATTATTCATACAATGCAAGAAAAATAATTGCAATATTTTGAGTATTTTATAATATTAAAATGATCAATACCCTTATTTTGCAATTGAAGTTTGTTAAAGTAGGAAGACTAAAGAACTTGATGTATTGGATTACTTGATTTATGAGGTATAACAACTTATGCTAACTTGCTTTTATTGAAGACTTTTATTTTTAGGTTGTTATTTAATTATATTTTTCTTATTTACATAAGTTACAATGAGTTACAGTAAAGGCTGGGGCTCATGATTTGTGACCATATTGTACTGATTGGTGTAAATTTTTCTATAGTTTGTTACAAACTAGTGTTGTATGGACAATTGCAAAATAAAAACCAAGAATGACAAATGTCGATAATCAGTCTGGTTTTTTGGTGCCCATTATTTTGTGAATATTTCGTAATTCTATTATTCTTTACTACCATACTGAATCTTATTTTATTATTTTAGAATTTCTATGTTAAATATTTAGTTCATTTAGATTTACTATTAGAATGTTAATTGTATTATTTAATCTTTACACTGAAACATTTGTTATCATTGGTATGATGTAAGATACCACATTTATTTTGCAAGTATGCATTGATGCTATAATGATTCTGCCTTAATTGTATTTAAATCTTAGTTCTTATGAAAATTGAAAATACCTAAATACTACCAGTTAGAACCTGGTCACAATAATAATTTTAACTATCGGAATTAAATCAAAATGACAAATTTTAATTTTTATTATCGAAATTCATTGTTGATACGTTCCGATTTTAAATATAAATAAATTACTCTTTTTACAGCCACCATTTCTTTTATTGTCTTAATCACATTTTCATGATGGTATCGATAGTTTATTTATGCGGATGTAATTTATATTGGACACCAAAATTGGAAACAATTTTGGTATCCAATAAAAATTACCGCACCTAAATTGTTTCTTGCCAGTCGGGAAGTTTAAGTTGAAAAAAAAAAACAATTTTTTTTTCTAAGAGCGCTTACAATTCTTATTTTTATGATGAGCACACTAGGTAATATCTAACTCCTCTATAAACATGGACATCATAAAATACAATTGCAGTTGTAATTATATCCTATCGAGTCAAATTATAATGTAACCTGTAAAAAAACTACATTTTATTCTTAAAACATTACCTTCGACTATATTCATTAATTTAACTATACTAATTTACTAAGTTTTGTACTCTTTTCAAATCCTGTACTCTGAAAGAGTACAAAAAAGCTATCTTAAGAGGCGACTAAGGGAACTTATGATTGAAGGATGAGCAGCGCAACATCCCTCTGAGAATAATGTAAAAAGTTATGATAAATTGATAAAAATAAATAAAACCACTCGCCAATTTAGAAATTTTACTTCAAATTACAAAAACAAGAAGTCTATTCTAGTGCCATCTAGTATTTCTTGTCTAATTTTATTTAGTGACTGACCACCTCGATAAGATTATATCTGTAGTATATAGCAACACTGGGGTCGACTCTGAAGATCCATTTCTTTTTTTTATACTACTGAGCACGGTATATTCTGTGATTGATTTATTACTAATTTCCCGCCTTTTAAGTTTTTGGTACCTATTTTAAATATTTCGTTATAATAAGAACCACAGATACTATTTACAAATTTTCAGGAAACCATAAAATTGATGATTTGTACTAAATTTTAATAAATGTCGTAGAACTATTGATGCAACACTATTTTAATAAAATTATTACAGTTATGTTTTTGTTTGAACGTTTCCAATTCGATTATCAAATTGAAAGATGTATTTACCTATATTTGTGAAATATTTAATATCTGATAACGAAATTTATCAGATTAGAATATTTAAGGAAGTGTCAGTTTATATCTTACTTATCACAAGAACTTCCTAAGTCACAGAGATGAAAGATAATCATGTTGTACTTGACCTTTGTTGGGATTGAAGAGATTCTTTCAAACCATGTCTCAAATACAAATATATTGAAAAGAAGGTATTTATATATCACTGGAAAACTGTTCACTCCATTTTTTTTAAACTTCAGGTCCAACACAAATTACAGCAAAGGTAAGTATCTTATAATTTAAATTAAAAAGCGAACTGGAGTTCAGAGTAAGAGTTACTTCAAGAAGAAACTCTTGAAGTAAGTCTTACTTCATTTTAGTACTTGTCCACTAGTTCTACAACTTTCTTTTCTTTTTCACTTGCTATACCTACCTAATATAATACAATCTAATACACTCAGACTAGAAATAATTAGTTTGCTTCAATATTGGAATTTATATGATTTTTTGAAGAGGCTTTGCAAATGAAGGATTTACAGTGAACATGTGTGTTAGGGATTTTCGGGGTTATTTTGTCTTTTATTTTAATAGCCAAACATATACCAAAAAATAGTCCTGTTATAGATATTCATAAATACAAAAGAGTATAAATACCCACTGCTATTTCTAATATAAGGGGAATTTTTCACTTTTTTTAGAGCTCTGGTGTAGTATATTACTTAACAGGTGACACTGTTATGATGTATGTGTGCTAAGATCAAAATGAAATATTAAATCATCAGTATCAGCCATTTACTATTCACTGCTGAACATAGGCCTCCCCCATAAGGAATCTTTTGTCACATCAGGCTGCTGCCCATCTCTCAACCATTAAGTTCCCTTAATTGCCTCATATGACACCTATGAAAAAGGAAGGGGTCATCCATTTTATGCCAGAAAGACATAGCACACTGTAACACTAGAAACATTAGATATCAAACATTAATTATCAGTCTTGGGTTAGCTAGTGACATATTTAAATTATTTATAATGAACTAGCTTTTTGCTTGCTACTTCTGTAATCTATATGTATGGATGAACACATACATTTCAGAAGTAGAAACAAATGGTTAGTGCCGCTTCTAGATTCTCTATCATTCAATGATGATACTGTATCATTTATATTTTGTAGGTATTTTATCCTAAAAATTGACTGGTAGAGAATGTATTTAGCATTAAATCTGCCTTTTGTACATTTTAGTGGTCAATAAAATTTTAAATATATTATTATCCACTTAATTAAAGCCCTGATAAGAGGTTTTCAGAAAATTAAGAAATTATTTTGGGTAAATATAATGTATTAACAAGGGTTCTCACTAGACACTGCAAACTACTGTACTGCTTTTTAAATGGTTAAATCCAAAAAAAAACTCAAGCTAACATTGTTTATTATATGCCCATATCAAATAAAAAAAAGTAGATAGATAAACATTTTATTTGAGCCATTTACGACACATATATTAACAAATGAGTTCATACAATCAAATTAATTTAAAGTAACAGATTAGTAAATTTTTTCAAGATTGTCCTTGCTTATAAAATCTTGTTTTTTTCTTATATCAGTTTTCTTTAAATTTATAACTAACTACTACCTAATAGTCAAGTGGGAAAATCTGAACCCTTCTAATTTCATCATATCTGCCTGTATTTACAGAATGAACTTTTAAACCTTAAGTTAGATGTAAATTTCTTATAAATCTTGCTTTATTCAGGGTTGAGGTAATACCCCATATCAAAATTAAATTTAATATATCTTTGAATTAAAAATATAATTTTTATAATAGGTATGGTAGGTAAATAAATATACAAATCTTGAAATCAAGAAGTCATTTATTTTAACTATGTATAATCAGAATAGCCATTTACCATTCATTAAATTAACAAAGTTTATACTTAAATAGTAAATAATTATTTTTTTCCTTTTTTCACAGTTGTTTAACAAAGGGCTTGCAAGCCAATATATAAACTTAATATAAATTTGTAACGACTATTGCCCAAGCCATGTAAATAATTACAATAAGTATATTCTTCACATTTAATTGTCGCCAATTTAAGATTAATAATAATTAATAAACAGTTGAAAAAAATATATTAACAAAATATTTACTGGCACTAAGATTAAGTAAAATGCCTAACAAGTTAATATAGTGAAATCTTAATCTACTTAGAAAGTCACATCCAGTAAAATTATAGGTACCCAGGTAATACCTATACATTTTGTCAAATCCAAGGTTAATAACACTGATACCCATATACAAAACAAATAACGCCACATGCATCATTGTGGTACTGTAAATGTATACAGATCATCTCATTATAAATAAAGAGAAGTGCAATGTGTACAAAAATATGAAGTCCAAGAGGTAAAATTTTGTCTTCACTTTTGTGTCATAGCTGTCATTAATGCATCCTTTAATTTTATTGTCATTTCTTCTAAAACTTTAACTTTTACAGTTAACTTTTTATTTTTTTCTTCAAGTTCTTCTGCTAGTTGCTCCATTTGTAGTTCTTTGAGTTTCCTATTCATTCTAGATCTTTTAGATGCTTCATTATTCTTATCTCGTAGTTCTCTATATTTCATTTCTTGTGTAGAAATAGTTGACGTGTTATCATCTACACTACAAATTGAAGAAACTGTACTTTCTCTCCTTTTGGGCGGGCGCCCCCGCTTACGCGGTTTTGTTAAGTGTTGTGAACCCTCCAATGCTAGTATCATATCTTTTATTGGAATATTTGGTTTTCGCTTCCTATACTTTCTTGTAGTATTTTCAATATACGGCGTATATGTTTCATCAGAATCTTCACTGTCATGGCGCCGTTTTCGATTGGAAATGGAGACAGGTTCCTCTTCTGAATCGATATGTGATTCATCCTTAAGGGTAATAGGAGTGTAATTCTGTGGTGAAATACTTTTGATATTTGAAACTGGATCATTAAAAACAACACTTTTTTCTTCATTTAACCATTTCATTGGTACTTTCTGTAATAAAAAAGGAGAATTTAATAAAATACTAATAGTAAAATCAATAACTACACTATTTTAAAAATTACAAAATACTTTTGATGTTTTGCATATAGTTTCTCTTCAGGAATAATAAAGAAAATATTTTAATTAGTGAGGTAAAAATATGTTTAAGCACTATGTATGAATGTACCGTTACAACTACCTATAGCAATTCAGAAATATACTATAATGGTGAATTATATTACATAACTTTAGTAAAGCGAGTTTTTTTTTTATATAAGTTATTCATTTCATTACTATGTAACCACACAGGTACGTTTGAATAATTCCGAGCAGGTGAAGTTAAATAGCATTATTTCTACAATTTTCTAATGTAATAATCAAAAAGTAAAAATAAATAATCTTAAATGTGGTATAAAATATAATAATTTTAAATACCACGCTATACATAAATTTAATACATTAACGGTTAAATAATATTACGATCTATATGAACTACTTACCGTATCCTTAAGTGGGCAACTTTCCTCTTCCAATTGCTCCACGTAGTTAAGAACATCGGGTGTACTGATATTGGGGCCGACAGCTGTAAGGGCTGCTGGTATATTAACAGATAACCCTAGAGGGTAGCTTTTCGACCCTGTTTCTTCTAAAACCCCTCCTTTATTCTGGTCGTCATTTAATAAATATTCTGATACAATCACATCATTTATTTCTACTTCTCTTGGTATAACTGCCATGTATTTCAAATCTTCTTGACTGAGGGAGTCTTCTTGATGAATAAAGGGCATATTTTGTATGTTTGTATATTTAGTGTAATGTGTGTTGTGTGTACTGGGCCAGTCATATGTAGTTGCTACCTCTGACCAGCTTTTATCTCCCACTTTTTCTGATGTTTCTTCCCCTATTACTACTGGCAAACTACTTATATCTAAAAATTGTTCAGAAAATTCCATTGTACTTCCATTATTGTAATCACTTAAGACATCTTCAAAAGAAAATGAGTCAATTGCTTTTGGTGAAGGCGACTCCTTTGGAGTGCTACAATAGAAGCTTGCCTGAGCAAGGGGGGAATTAACATCCCAACTTTGGGGAGAGAATGGTGTGTTCATTGTGTCAATTGTGTTTGCCCTTATCTCAGTTGTTCTTGTTGACTTATCTGTAAACATAGACAAATATTATATGATTATATAAAAATTTAATAAAATTTCGCAGTACGAATTATGTCATACAGCCTGTTATTGTTCGATTTGTAATCAAGATATCATAGCTTATTTAATGATAAAAGTTTTAAGAATCTTGTTTCCGTTTAAATTTATAAACAAGTCGAAACAAGTCTAGAACCTTGGGTCCATTGTTAAATTTGTTTATATATTTATATTTTTTAAACCAGATTCTTTACGACTTAGAGGGCCGCGTATTTCAATTATATAATTAATTAGGTGTATTACACAAATTTCTTCTTACCAGTGATCTGTGCTAGTTCGTCCTTGGCGGGATCGCAGGACGAGGCCAGATCTTGGAAGAACTCGTAGTCCGATTCCCGAAACATTGTGTTCTCGAATAACGGCTCCGGTTTCAAATATTCCTGAAAGGAGAGTTAATTTATATTAGTCTTTATTTCTGATAAAGAGAATTAAACTAAAAATAAACTTAATTTTAATAATAGTATTGAATTATATTTATTACTCACAGTAGCCGGCACCCGCTCTTACCTCTGAAAAGGTGGTTGTAGTAGCAACTGGCGATGACGGCGTTGCTTCTCCTGAATTTGCTTCGGCAATTGATCCGGTCAAGCCGTTCACGTGCTGAGCTGTGCTCGTGTTTGCCTTTAAACGATCTATTTCTACTACTTTCAAAACACTTCGAGTCTTGTGACTCGTTTGCGAAAAAACCATATCTTTTGGTGTCTGAGTAGTTGTACTGATTTCCGATATCGTTGCTCCGACTCGGACAGGTGAAGGTGATCTTTTGAGCAACCATTTTGAATAGAACTACAAAAAGAAATGATACGACGTAACATAATGTGCAGATTATATGAAGCAAGAATGAAGGATTGACTGGAATAAAGGATTAGGATTAAAGATATTGCTATGAATACATAAAAAAATGGAAATAAAATGAAAATGGAAAATATAAAGAAAGGAAAATAATTTCAATATATTTTCCGCGTCATGAATGATAATAGTATTTTTTGATATTATTTAAATTGCAGAATAAACGTTCATAGTGGGAGTAATGAAAAATATATAATAACAAATTATTATATAGTTATTAAATACTTTTGAATTCTCAAATTATTGTTTACATATATAATCCAATATTTATGTATATAAATACCTAATATATGTATCATGATTTGGGTGAATGCCATAAATATAATAATATATTAAGTATATAAAATATGTCAAATGGAGAAGAGAAAGAACACTATGTAATCGTCCCTATGTTTTTGAAAATGTCCTACTATAGTACCATATTTTGAATCATTGCTCTGTTGCATAAAAGCGATATGATTCTCATCAAATTGATGTTTGTGGTACATTAGTAGAATACCTAGTATCATAAAAAAATCTGTTTATTATATTATAATGTACAATGTTAGTATAAAGCTGATTTCATTAGTAGACATTCTTAGAGTCTTCGCACACGAGTTTTAAATTTGTTATAATCGTAGCATACATGTTCGGGTATGTTGTGTATATTAATATTTACGTATAAAAACGTAACGAACTTGTTTGAACATGTTCACAGACAATGCAGCATCGTTATAGAATTGGTTTCTCAGTTATTTTCTCATTAGTCATACGTAATGACTAGTAAAATAATAGTAGATTAAATAAACTGAAATGACATAAAATTACTAACATTGGTCAATGCGTATTTTCACATGTATATATAACTCTAAATTAATACGAAAAAGATGATAATGGAAAAATATATTGTAAAAATTGCAATTTAACCTAATTATGAAAAAAAGAAAGAGTAAAACTCGTTTGGAATTATAAAGTAATTAAAAATAATGTTACATATTGTAAATATTTAAATTAATAATCACATAAGATACACATATACACAAGTTATTATTAGCAGAGGCATTACTATTAATTTTTAAATTATTAACTTGATAGGTATCCGATGAGGGGTAATCGAAATTAACAAACTTAGAAGACACGTGTGTCTTCTTGAATGACATGATTTAAAATGAAGAGGCGAGTTGAATGAAGAGCGTTAAAACGAAAGGGGTACGACGCGATTTCACAACGATGCATGTACGAGTATGATAACACTAAACTCTTATTCTCTGTATTATACATATGTAATTCAAATATTGTTTACACCATAACCCATGTGCGAAAACCCTATGAATAAAAAATCCATCACCAAAATCGTGTCGATTATGATCAATCAGGTACATTTGTCACGCTTACCACCACCAATTGCGTAGGGTGGTGATAAACCTGAACTTTGCTAAAAATACACCTCATAACTTAATCTAGGTTTCGAACCTAGTACCTGTAAATCCAAAATTAGATTCAAATCAGTAAATTGAGGAGTAATATAATTAATTATGCAAATAATCTTGCAGGATAAGTAACTTTAACACTTATTTTATAATACTTGTTATGTTAATTTAAATTAGTATTATCAAACTAAAAGGAGGCTTTTAATGATATTTAAACGAACGTACCGTTGTTTATATTAAACTTATTTAGTATTCCCTATAATTATTATAGTTAAAACAAATTAGGATATAATCCATGTAAATATTATTTTTTTAAATTTATTTCCTACTTTTTATCTCTTATATGAATGAAAGATATGAAATGAATAATCTATCAATAATTTGGCAAATAATATATATATATATATATATATATATATATATATATATATATATATATATATATATAATATTGGATTAAAATATTAAATGACAAGATATTACACGGAAATGCTATGCCCTTTTTAATGTCACGAGTGCATTCAACGTAGATATACCTATTTCATTTATGAATTTTACGAATTAATTTTAAAGTAAAATTCATGGTGGATTTCGACAATTAGGTATTTTTGATATAATTCGATAATTCATTGGTCAAATAATATACTAAGTAGTTAAATATAATACTAAGTAATATATAGGTACTTTCAAAAATTGGTATGTAAATATTTAACATTGTAAAACTATATTATTTTCAAAATCTTCATTAACCTCTCGTGCAGCTAGCTTCTTACTTGCTTTCCTGCGAACAGAAAAGTATTTCGGAAAAAAAAAGATGGATGAACGTAATTACTTACTTTTTCGAACTCTTCGCGAGCTCCTTTTGAAATCTTAACTCTTTAAGCGCCAAGCCAATGAATTGTCCCTGCTGTAGGCCTAAAACAAAGAAACAGATAATATTAGTACAAAAATATTAATCATTAAATATAATTTTAACATAAGGAGCACTAAGTAAATATTTGAAACTTAAAAATTCATAAAAATCATACGAATATGTCAGAATATATCAGTATAATGAGACACTTTGTGATCATTCTAGAATAAGCCCCGTATTAAATTACGTAATCACTATTACATGTATTTACACGGGGAAATCCCTTACAGTAAGCAATCATCGAAACGGAAATTCATAATATATATTCATTCGTATAAATTGTATTGCAATTTTCCTCTCCGATTATACGAGTAGTTTAATGAATAAATATTTCTCTGTAGTAAACTTGGCTATGACGCATTATCTTCAACCAATTTATGCTATTGATACATTACATTAGTCTTATTAAACCTCACATTACGTGATTATTTACACTATGTGTACCTATTTCAAGTACTAAATTTTTTATTCAACCTAACTCTCAAAATTATCTACACAAGTTTTTCGTACTAGGTATAATATATATGTACTAGACACAGCAATAGCAAGTCAAAATATTTTCAAAGTTAAATATTACAACAGCCCTATATAATCATTATTATTTGCCTATACACGCGTACTATGTTATATATAGAGTTAGATATGTCGGATGTTCTGTGAATCCTACTCTATTAGAGTAGGCGTTAACATTGAAGGTCAATTCATAGCATTTGTAGCTTAACTGGTGACATTGAAAAATCAATAAAGATAAATATTTTTTTTTTCAAACTGGCAATTACATTGTGTTATAAAAATAAATCGCTAAATTTCTTGCTTAGGGAAAAACTTGAGAATGGCTGGACCAATTCAGCTACCTTTTTTTTTTTTAAAAATAATCGTTAAAGTCCAAGGAAGATTCGATTCGAAGATAAAGGGAAAAATTAGTCGAAAAATCTTAAGACTTCCATTTTTTTTCCATACAAACTGTTCCTAGCTGACAATTGACGTAATTTTAACAGCATCAACTTTATTGGGTTAGCTAGTAAAAATCCATTTATAATATATATTCACTAAAGATAACTAAATGAAAAACACTTCATTCTACGACTTGAGTCACGTACATTTATCATATCTATCAGTACCTATCTATAGCGACGATAAAAATCAAACGGCAGATGTATGCAGTATTAAAACCAAAGAACATTCTTCTAAAGTAACGTTCCCTTTCACTTGGTCATAAGGATAATTTAACTACATAAGGGTAAATAAGTATAGGTAAATGTCACAGTCGAAACTATGTTAAGTTGTAATCGATCAAAATTACTTTTCATAGTCTCTACAATTATTTTGTCTTATAAGTACGATGATATAAGTAATTATTGCACGAATGATAAACTGATTTTGGGAAATTATAGATTTCTTAGTGTTGATAAACCGCTTTTATATATTTATAAAATAATTATACGCATATATTATTTAATCTTATCTTAATGACCCTCACAAATCTATTTTTATGGTACTTTTTATGTGTAATATCTTACTAATATAATTGTAACTAGACAACGTCTGTATATGAGACATATTTTAAAAAAATAATATGAGGGGTCTCAATAATCTTTAGACATTTTGTCCATCTGTACGCTTGTTCCGGTTTCACACAAAAACTACTTGCACCAAATCGGATGCGATTTTCACAGTTGTATTCTTGTCATACTTAAATTATGATGTATCTTTTATCTTCATATCCCATTTGGAAGTGGTTTAATTGATTAGTTTTCCTACACGCGTATGAAGTAGCAGGCAAAAGCTAGTATGTAATAAGAAATTACTCGGTCCGTATTTAAATCTTCATATCGCATAATAATTAAATATCACTAATCCCAAATACTCAAACAGGGAATAATAAAAATATAATAATTAATATTGTTGAAACAAATATGTTAAACAATTTAAAAAAATATGTAATTCAAGTTATAATTAAAGTTATATTAAAATAAAACTATCTGTAGCTCACCTCTGTTATAAATAAATAGTGTAATGCGCTGGTTCCAGATATATTTGTGATCACTTTATCCACGTAAATAAAAATCTAAGTACAAAATACAATTTAACTGTTCTTGTAATTCGCTATAGGGCAACGCTCAATTACTTGAAAACGTGAAATGGTCTAGAAAATTATCTAAACGCGGTACAAGCGCGTACTGTGAGAGCTCAGAAAATATTGTGCAATTTTTGCGGCGAAGTAGCCGATGCCGTTTTGCTCAATCCCCACCTTTCAACAATTGCGTTCTAAAAATATACTTGCTCCAACGCTATTGGCTCTCATATATGACGTCAACTTAGGGCGCCAATGAGCTGAATTCCGTATCGAAAGTCACGAGACCGTAGGTGTTGTTCCATCGTATGCTATAGAAATTATTGTGCTATAGATGTAGGTATGCTCATCGTCTGGTACTACAGTTTCGAAATCAAGCGAATGGATGCAAGGAATATATGAATGTTTGTGCTCCGGGGTTTTACGCTCCTCGAACCCAATGGGATCGAAGAATGTTGTTTTCCTCTTTGTTGATGATTCATGCAATAGACGTTTGTTTATATTACTTTCTTATATACAATACTCTTAAAGAATGTAAGGTACTATTGAACATTGTGTATTTAAAAAAAAAGTTATACACATTAAATATACACTGTTATATTGCTTTTATATTTAGAGAAAGGGTTTTAAATTTTCGTTTTTCTGTTATGTATCTATTTGCTTCCATTGTACTGCTATTACTTTTAAAAGCGAAAATCTGCGTTAATACACGTGTGCAGACAAGTCACAACATGTTCAGACTTGTTCTAGAGTAGATATTTTGTATAGGTAGATGACCTACTTAGATAGGTTTAATATTTGACTTTCTTGTACATTTAACATTCAATAATAAGTAGGCAGTTATAAGATAAAACTCGCGCTTTTAAAGGAATGTTCAAATTAATTTTCGGGCATAATGGAGGTATACGTCATTCAGTATAACGTAGGGGTGCATGCGTAGGGGACCCTTTATGTAAGTACTACAGTACTATGTATTATTTACGATTGTCGCGTGTATCAAATAAATATTTTTCATTCTTCTCATCATGAATAATAAAGAATAATTTACTGTAGAATACTGTATCCGTATTACCTACCTATGTATCTCTTTTTTGGTCGACGAAAATAATTGGTTGGTAATTTTAATGGGGATATCAGAGTTAATTTACTTCATATTTTAATGAAAATGGGAACAAATTTTAGTGTTATGTAGATATCTATTCACTTGATGACTCACTTATGAGTAAATAAGTGACATTGAACTATTCCAAAGGTTCAGTAACCTTACTAACAAACAATAAATAGGTTAAAAACGGAAATAACAATTTTTAATGAAATAAGAGTGTCTATTTATGTATGACGCCGTCGTGTCCAAATTACTTTTTTATTAACGGGACTACCGACCACTATTCTATAGCTTTATACTTACGAAAAATTAAAAAAAATGCATAATCGATCCAACACCTAAATAATATGTTAAGAAACTAACAGAATTTTTATGTGCACTAAATTTTTTTCACATCCGTTCAGCAATTTAAGCGTAAGTGAGTAACAATCATCGAAAGTCCTTTCCAAACTTTCACATAATATCACTAAGATGGTATGCTTGATACGGCATAATGGTAAGCGGTAACCGTATCCTATGAACGTTTGCGATACTGGAGCATTACACATTTATTGCCGACCCTGAAGAAGCAGGGGCGCTGCAGTTTCTTAAAAAGTCTCTGCAGTAGAGCGCGTTTGTAGAAAGAAGCAGCCTTAGAGCCGCGCTATACCTGACCATCCAGATTCTAAGGTATGAGCTGAGCACTGTCGATGGCGAGCAGTACAATGGTAGGTGACTATAAGGGTCATGTTAAATAATTCTTTTGAGCACAGTCCGTTTCACAAGTAGTAGAAAAATCAGATTGAGGTAAAGTCTGTCCTTAGATTAAAAGATTCGATACCATTTGTAACCCTGGGATCATTGACAATTCTTACAGCACGTCGTTATAGCAAGTTGAAGGGCTCAACCTAGTATCTAGAGGCTTCCGCCCATAGATGACAGCAATACTCTATGGTACCGCATTTCCGATTTACTAAATTACACCTCCTATTTAAGCACACCGGGTTTTTTGGTTTCCGGCTAGCTTTATCTCCTCTTGTGATCATAAAACTGTACAATACTAAAGATGCCAATCGAGGATCCCAATGTTCTTGGAGATGGAGGACGTGTCTTGGAATTGTGAAACCGCAACAAATGTTAAAATTTCATTTTAGCGGTGAACACACAAGCTTGTGTCTTAGCGGGATTAAATTGGACTATTCTCTGATTGGAAACCGATTGACATTTGGAAATAGATTGACATTTGCCATAAGAGCACTTTTTTAATTATTATGGAGAGATAATGTAAAATAGTTTAATTTTTAAAGGTGATGATTTTTTTATGTTTGTTACCTCAACTGTCTGTTAACTTCATCAGTTGTAAACCAATTTGGAAAATTATTTTTTTATTAACAGATTAGTCCCATAGGAAATCGTTTCAATAGTTTCGTTTTTAAATAAAAATAACTGGTTTTGCTACAATTGAAGCCGGGGTTTTTTTTTTGGGAACACAATCTTAATTATTTTAGTAAACTTGTTACCGAATTCATATTTGTAACAATATATTGGGACTTCGTCAAACTTGATCTGTTTTGTCGTAATAAGGAAAAACAGCTATATATATGAAACAGCAAAGATATGGACATAATGACACGTACTAGTCACCCGCTCCGAGCCTCTATAGTACACCGCCACGTGACGTCATCATTCGCTAATCTGCCATATCATTGTATGATAAAATCCACATTGTCGATACTATAGTAGTATTACCTATTGAGATATATTGTTTCTTATGCATAACATAGTTATTAAAAATATGCATGTATACCATTCCATCATTATGTATCTCAATTATTATTTACCTTGATTTTACGTCTGAAGATACCTTCTAGAAGTTAACATGGTTATTACAATAATTATGATGGTTAAAAATTTAATTGGAATAGATCATAATTAGAAAAATCTTTTGCAGTCTGTCATTACTATAGTTACGTCATTTTTTGCCGAAAAAAATTTAGGTATCAGATTTGCAACTGGCAATATCTATTCTTATAAACTCAATTATAACATAATATATAAAGCAATTTTCCGCAATATTTTTTTGATAACGAATACCTACCTGTTCTGGTTCAGATATTTAAAGTATTAATTTTTAATGTACCTATTTATATATTAAATTAGCAACTACATATTACGTAATTAAAATAATATTTAATATGTAGTATTTAGATTTATATTTATCGTGACCGTATTTTAATAAACTGATTGTTTTAAGTATTTGTGAAAATATGTGAACACAAAGTTAAAAAAGAAGTAAAAGTATGATCATTAAAAAAAGTAGCCGAGTGGATTAATTCGGTCGATTTCAATTAATACTTGTAGTTACGCTTAACAGCTAACAACATAGAATTTTTATTTATTTAAATATTTGTAGTAAAAACGTTCTGAATTCTATTAAACATATTCTTCTATAATATTCCCTTACATTGATCGTTGCTTTTTTTACGTTTTGTATTTATATTTTGAAATATTTAACTTAAGTCCCATTTTTCACTTAAGTTTTTGTTGGTATGGCATCTGTGATAAATTATATTAACACTGTAATTTTTTTTTTATTGTATTTTAGACGATTCTTAATATTGACAGTATTGAATGGTCAGTGACAGTGTACTACAGTTTTTATTTTATTATTAAACACTAGTTTTTTGCTCACTATTGCATATGCGGGGATTTCGGAAGTAGACAATCCAATGAAATAGATCACTTCTAAGTGGTGTATAAAGATGGCGTGAATTTACTGGGTACAGAGGAATAACACCAGAGTCCTCAGGAATGGCAACGCATGGGGGGTATCATGGGCGAAATAGTATACTCTGTTATGTCCATGGTACTGCTCATGTCTATAGGCGACGGTTACCACTTTCCATCAGGTGGGCCGTCAGCTTGTTTGCCATTCTAAGATGTATAAAAAAAAAGATAAAACGTATACCAAATTCTAAGTGAGACTTTCAAGAATAACTGAAAACCGCGCTCTATGTGATGCAGTAGTTTTTGCGTGATATCGGAATTGTTAAACAGACAAAAATTCTAAAAAATGATGTGTTAGCTTCTATTGACCTTATTAAGACACTCATATCAATCATTTTTTATTAAATATCACCCATATATAGACACAGTCTAGAATTTTATTGTACTAGTAAAATATCATACATAAAACGTACTATAAATTTTTTATAAAATCATGAGGGTCAAAAAATCTGCAAGTTACAAGATTTTTTTTCACTGTTATTATGGTTTTTAATAATAATTCTTAGTAGTACTAATATTATATAATTAGAGCTCTCTGCTTAGGGTTTTCTAAGAGTCTATAGCATGAGGTTAAGATAGGGAAAGATAAAGATAATAGAGGTTTTTTTTAGGTTCGGCAATACGCGCGTAATGCTCCTAGTCATACGAGGTCGTACAGGCGTTTGTAAGCTACGGTAACCGCTTAAAATAAGGTGTGTCGAACGCTTGTTTGCCACTTTATTTGTATAAAAAATATATTCTTTAATGTAAGGTATACTTTATAATAAAGGGCAATGTAGTATGAAATTTAGCATAGCACACAAACACTGCTAAATATTTGTATTATGTTTTCTTGTTTTGATTCAATGTACTCCCCTGGAAACCATCATAGTTAATTCTTGATAAATTTGACATCTAATCAATTAGATAGCCCAATGTCTATCTAATTGATTTCACCTTTATCAAACATTCCCACTAGTTACTTCACCGGCGTATAGCGATCGGCAGGGTTACCATTCCATTTTCATCCTAAAATAAAATGTATAAAATGTTCCAGGATCTCAAAGAAAATTCCTTGTCTACATGTTTGGACTTTGAAATATGTATATATAAATTATTGTCTATAGGGTAACTTGCTAGGGTATGTATAGATAAAAACATTACAAGACATGAACAGCGACATCAGTTATAGGCGATCAAAATCGCTGCTGTATAGTATCTAAACAGCTGCTGTATACTAGTAGGTATCTAAACAAGCAATGTTACTTACATTTTAACGTGTCTTCTAAAAATGACCAACTTAAACTTCTTAATCTTGTCTTTTCTCATACAGTAATTGTGGCGAGGCAAAACTACGTGATCATCCGCCAAATTACAAATAGAGGTGTTATAATCCGAGTAAGACAGATTGATTGATTTTTTAGTGCACACGTAGCTCATGATAAGCACCTTTCTGTCTCTTGTTTCTGGTTCGTTGGTTAATTTATTTTGTAATTCAATAAAAGTTCAGTAAGGCCTTAGACAATAAGACCAAATAATAAATAAAAATATTATAATTGTGCCACTTAAGTACTTATTATTGTACTGTAAGTAATTTAAAAATATGTGGATAGCGCACTATTTTTTATTTAAACTTATGTATTTCTTACAATATTTTCTTGATTATAAATCACAAAATCCACGAAATATATGTTAAATCTCGACACAACACAGGGATTTCATCGCAGCCACTGCAGCACAGTGAGTATGCGAACGACTGTGACTGAGCTAAGAGAATGAATGAAGTCTATTCCAGATGCTCGGTTCCTATTGGTAGAAATACATCTTTAAATTACGTTCTGTTGCACGCTAAGAAATTTTTTATTACAAAATATTTATATTTAACTCTTTTTGCGTTGCAAATAGATAGCTATGTTCATGATTGTTATTTTATTGACTGGACATTAATATTAATAGGATTTTAATATAAGTATTGCAGTCATTAAAAAAAAAAATTCTTTAAAAATTTATGGATAACGCGTTTCTATTCTGCGTAAAACGAATCTGTTTTTTTCGGCTACGATAATAGTTATGACGATACTAATTTACTTCCATATATTTTTAATTATAATACAATTTTTTATATTATTATATTCTCCTTTCCTTTTTGTATTTTAATATTACTTATTATTATGATTTTCTCATTAAGTACTTGTCTAAGATTTTTAATTCAAGACTTATTTTGATGTTTGACCTTTTGGATGATGCAATAATCGCAGACATGTGGCGAGACGAGATTCAATAATCGGTTCGTCATAATCACACCTACCAACTATTATTATCTTTATATGCAAGATCTTATTAAATTTTTTACACGAAAAAAATATTATAACTACATTTAATATAGCTAATTATTATACTCAAAGGAGACAATCTTATTTTTGAGAATAAGTATATATAAAAAAACAGGTCAGTTGCGATTCGAACTCGCACGCCAAAAATTATGTACATAAATATAAGATAAAATTATTGCAATTCTAATAAGAAATAAACACTTAATAGTTTTTTTTTATAACACAGGGGACAAATAAATCATGCTAGTTAGAAACATTGTTTTATTATTATTGTAATATTTAATTATATCTTTATAAACTAATTATTTCAGATTTTTCGATTTCGATCATTAACAAAGTACTGTATAGCGTAAAAATAAATCCAAATCAGTTTTAAAATCTAAATATTAAGTCCTTTCATATGATATCCCACTTAAATTAGTGAGTCAATTTCGAAATATTTAATAGGCATTTAATTTAGGCCTCTTAGTAAAGGAAATAAAAATATTTATTTATATATTTCCATTACAATATGTGCGGCCAAATAACATGTAAAACTATTTCAAATCGATAACAATAGTAGTTGGTCAGATTGTATTGGACAGGCAATACGTATCATATTTTTTGGAATAGAACCCTAAATATACCTGAAACGAGATTCAAATTTAACTTCATACTAAGAATGAATAATTTCTGTTTTTATTATATAAATCGATAATTTTAATATTAAATAATTAGTTTTTTCATAGAAACACTGTATTCCAATTAAAAAAAAAATGAAATTTTATTATTGTACTTATGGCAATTCTACGAAATCTTATTAAAAAATGAAAACTCTTGACAGAATAGGAAAAGGAAGAATATAAAGTCTTTTTATCACAAGAAAAGAATTATCTGTCGTGTACCTACTACTTAATGGTACAAACTAAGATTACAATACTTACTTTATAATTTTTGAAATAAATACCTACATAAAGACCGCATATAGGCATAAGATTTCAGGACCTAGGTACATAAGGACCGCATAAGATGAAAACATGCTAACCTGTTTTTATCTTCACCTATCATCCCTCACTGGTGCCCCACCAGCGTATAATGATAGCGCCGAGAAAACATTCCTTTGTCATCCCTTTAAGAAAAACCCCACTGTCTTTCCCAATAGTCGCGAGTTCGATATATTTTTTTTATTAATCATAAACTTATTATAACGTACTTACATATTAATGACTACCTATATGACTTATATCTGTTTGTATTTGTCTCGGTGTTTTCTATGTACATATGTATTTATGAAAAAAAATCCGTTGTAGGTATAGTATCCTTAGTATAAATCAAGGACGCATCGTTCATGGTACAAGCCCCCTAATTTGTATAGTTTATATTTCTGGTGTAGGGACAGTTGGGGCACAATGGTACGAAAAAAATATGTTTATTTTTAGAAAAATTTATGTTTATTCTTTATATAATTTTTGCTTACAAACATCATTAATATACCTTAACTTAATAATCGCACAGCAAAACAGAGATCAATAATCAAACTTAAACCTATTTATCTTTCATTTTGTGAACCCCTTCCTGTGTTCCACTGTGCCCCAGATCTGGGGTACAATGAAACAGGGTATGGGGCACATTGGAACACGACCTGTATTCATACCAAAAAATTAACCAATACTATCAAATCTTTTTAATACCTTGTCAGGAAACGTGAAGATGCTTTTTTGACATTTAGTTTTTCCAAATAAGGACGGGTTTGGCAAGACTAGTTCAATATCTTCAGCTGAAACTATTGCCATGTCCGGTTTTAACGGAAAATAGAAACTATTGTCAACTTTTGCGCTTCGTCGTAAATAATTTGTTTTTTGTTGTTCACAAATTCGTTGTTCTCATCTATATCAGACAGTATTTGACCAACGAAAAATTTTATTTGCTTTAAATCAGCAAATTTTACCACGTAAAATCGTTAGGTTTTGGTAATTTAAAGCTGGACAGTGGAAATTTCATATCGTTATCACTTGATTCACACGAAGTTATATTATCATCTGAATCGAACCTTTTCTCAGGACTAGAAAATAATGTCTTTGTTGCTTTTTTTAGTTTGCAACGTAGCACATTCGACATTCTTTATTTCAGCAGCAGCACGGAAGCTCATACCACCTTCTACGAGTCCTACAACTTCTCGCATGTTAGTTTCGCTATGAAGTCCCCTGTCCCTTTTTCTGACGCGGTGTCTCACCATTCTAGACTTGTGTAAAATCTGCCAAAAAATGAAGTTAAGTTTGTGGGGTTCAATGGAACAGTGTTCCACTGTGCCCCGTTCCATAGTGCCCCATAGCGTGTACAAAATTTCAAACAAGTCTTCAAAAAAGTTAGATTATGTTTTGAATTTAACACATAGTAGTCTTAAATAGACAAAATGATTAAGATTTATGAAAAAAATATATCACTTACCTATTGCTTAAACTTTTTTACTAAAAACGAAAGTACTTTGAAAAAAAATCTTAACTTTTGAACATAAAAACCAATATTTTTCTATTCACAACTCCACTGTTGTCGCGTCGTCATATTTCACTACGTCTTCGTATGGCGCAGGACGCACTGCGATTGGTCAAAGCGGTAGCGCGCGAATTAGTTTGAAATTAAAAAAATTATCGACATTGTTCCATAGTGCCCCGTGTTCCACTGTTCCCCAATTGTCCCTAATATAAAAAAATTGCTGGACGTTAAAAATTTGGTACTTAGTACAACTGTTTTAAATGCACTTTTCTCCATCAAACGTTTTTGTAAGCAAAGAATAAAATAGAATTCATAATAGTGATTTTATTTTCTAATATGCTCTGTAGAAGCAAAATCAACGTGTACGTTATAGCAATACAAAAATGATGATTGACAGCAAATATTGTGCAATCTTTGACTTATGTAAACAACCATTTTAAGGAATCATCTCCCACCACAAAACAGATGTGCTATTCTTAAATGTTAATCCAATGTCTTTGTTAATAAATTACTCTTAATAGTTATTTATTCACAACTACAAAATCATAGGACACTAACACAGTAAACAGTGCGATTTACTAATCGGACTACTAATTATACGATTGAACAATTCATTCGGAAAATTCAAATCTTTTTGAAATCATTTGACTATTAATTTTATTTATTTGACTAATATTGTCATCCGATTACTAATTTCACTCATTAGTTATTGATGTACGAGTTGGTACGAAAAAGCCAAGTCCAGTCGATCCTTGGAATGTTTTTTTTTTTTTGCTAATAGGCAAAAGTGTTGCCAATTTAAATTTATTAAAATATACTACTTTTTGATAGTAATAATTAAAGTAATTAGGAAAATAAATTTTTAGTAAAAGAATACCAATTTTTTATAGTCATAAAATAGGTAGGAAAATATTTTTTCAGCAATTAATATGTATATGTGATAGAAATCTAGGTGAGCTCGGGTTTTTTTTTATCGTTACTCTGTGGCATCGATATAGTGATGTAGTTGTATTGAATACATGGAACAGACTTTGTAGGAATAGATACAGAGAAAGGGCTTTGTTATCGTTATTCTGAGTGATTACTAATTATTAAAATTCGTAAATTAGTATATTAATAATTTAGTAGTCGAGATATAAAATTATTAATATTCGAATATCAAATTCATTCGATTCGCGACCGCTAATACTCAACAAACTAGATTATTTGAGAATCGACACTCTCTTTTATTAAATAAACCTGGAAATAAACACTGTAACCGTTTAGTCATCAAAACAGAACATTTCCGTCATTAATACTTTAGGGTTCCTAGCAAAGTATTTTTATAATATTTAATTAGAAATGTGGAAAAGTGGTCGTTTTAAAGTTGACAGATTATTTCTACGTTTCCTCACCGGTAACAAACTTTGAACGCTGTTACATAGAAATAGTTGCACAGATATCATGAACATTTTTTTTTTATTTGAATTAGTTCAGTCTTTGTTTTTTATTTATACGGATTTCTAAAAGTAGATAATGCGAATACAATTTATTTGCTTACCTTGCTAATATACTGCAAAATTATTTTTTTAATAATACTGTGTTGTGGCACTTCTACCGAAATTATTGTTTAAACTATTATGGGACAATATTACTCATTTGATACTATGTAATTGGAATTGATAAAATCAGTGTCAATTCAGCTGATAATGTTTTATTGCTTGGAGGACATGCAAGTGTATTATTTTTTGTAAATTGTTTTGCTCGCCATTCTATTTTTTACACTTGGATAAAGTGTTCAGGTGCGATTTGCTATTGATTTGTTATATTATATGCGACCTTGAGAAAATCATATAGGATTATTATGGCCAACAGATTAACAGAAATCCGATTTCAACAAGTGCGCCTTATGTATTTAAAAGCAGGTCTTGTTTATTACACTATTTCCCAAAGTTCATAGTAACGTTGCCTGTGTTATTAAATTCAGAAAATCTTTTATAGAGACGTGAGATTCTCGATTTGTCTATATTTTTACATACCTAGGTAGTTTTTTACAATATCCCCGCCAATTATGAATCGACAGGAACCATTTACTCCCGTAGTAGTAGTAGTAGTAGTAATAGTAGTAGCTGTAGTAGCTGTGTACAAATTTGCTGTAAAACACCGTTTTTTTTTCAAGATTCAAGTTAGATAAAAAAGACAAGAGTTTTTTTAATAGTTGATATTGGAATGGTAGGCCTGTCTGCATTATCTGTGTGCATTGACAAGGCATCAGTGAAGGATTATAGGTGAGGATGAAGTAGGTCAGTTGCGCCATCATGATGAATTTAATGATAATAACTAAACTATGATAGTTTGCAGGTTGCTAAACCCCATTACTAATAATCGCTTTCTTCTCATATTTAAGTCTACTACTGATAAAAATTTATTAGTGATATATTTAAATGTTTTTAGATTTGTGACACATGATGACGCTGATAGAAGGGGTGGGTGATGAGGTTATTCAGTTTGTTGCGGTAGTACTGGTGATCCTTGTTGCTGTTTTGGCATGGTGGTCAACTAATGCTCGTCCAGATCGTTACCACACTGTCCTCGTAATGCGTTCCCGTGCACATCATCCTGTGACAGTTAGCATTAGAACAAGTAAGTCTGTTATTATTTTTTTAATAATTTTAATTTTTTAATCATTACATATTTAACATATATCAATAGGAATAAAAATTATTTTATATATTAATCTAGATTAACAGTTGTAACAAATTTCAATTGAATTCCTTTAGATATTTAAATGTAATTGAGTAACAGAATATGTTGATAAATATTCACATTTATAATTCTCATAGAATACTAAGATGTTAGTGTTGTGACCTTTTGATGGACCATCATTGAATTATAAGATTTTGCACTGGAAGGTAGATATAAATGATGCCACTAATGTTATAAATGTGATAGTATAGAATTTTTTTAATAGGTGATAATGGAATGGTAACCCCACCTGCGCTATCAGTATACACCGGCGGGGCACCAGTGAAGGATGATAGATGAGGATGAAGCAGTCAGCCCATCGTGACGAATTCAATAAAAATTGTTCACCATGGTTTCCAGGGGGAACCACGTGGAGGTCGACCTAATAGGGCATATTGCTAACAATGGGGCTGTCAAACTCCATTGCTAACAATCCCTTTCCCCCAGTACAAATGTTTAGGTATTTGTTACTCATTTATTTTTGACTATACTGTGTTTTGGTTTGGACAATGAATTTATAGGCTGTGAAGGGATAGCAACATTTCTCCTTCATACTACACACACAGTCACAGTTACCATGGCCATGAAAGTTTATACTGCCATGTTAATAGTGTTATCCATGTTCATAGATGATAATTCCCATTTTTCATTAGATATTGTTTGTTTACCATTACTTTCTGTTTAATATTTATAAATTAATTATATTTCAGGATCAAATGTTGTTTCAACTACACAAGCAAGTAGTTCTCTTCAACCAATAACATCGGAGCCAGTTGGTGAGTATTACATAACATTTTATTACTGCTTAGGTTATTTCTGTGTATCTATTATTATAATTTCAACATTTTTTCTGTTACTCCTTTCAAAACCGAGTTTTGCACATAACAATTGTAAAACAACCTATAGGCATATATATATACACACTATATATATATAAACTAACTATGTATATATATATATATATATATATATATATATAATATATAACATAGTTATTTTCTAATTTATAAATAATTGAAAACATGATTATTGGTTATTAATGTATGAGTATGTGATCATTTAATCAATTCATAGTTATCAAAAAGTAAAGTATATCTTAAAATATAGAAATTAAAACTATACAACGGATCTTAAAATTTTGTGAATTATTTGCACTAATATAAAAGGTATGATAGTTTTATTTGTAATAAAAAATAAATTACCCTGTGTTTGAAAGAAAGAGGCAAAAACTTTTGTTGGGACATATTATCACACATTACAATTTAAAAATTAATTGACTGAGGAGCAATGAACTGTCAAAACTATGATGTCTAGAAACATCAAATTTTGTATGAAGGATTTTTATTTTATGAGAGACAGCACTAAGAAATGTTTATTTTGAAATTCCATTAAAGATAATGAGTAAGTAGTGCAGACGATACTGTGGGATACAGTTAATCTTTATGACATACTGATATGTATGAGTCTCAAAGATTTCATGCAAATAAAGACACTGATGATATATACTGAATATGGCTGTAAATAGTGATTTCTTAATATTAATAATATTGTTTTAGTTGTCCCAATTCCATGAGGCTTGTAGATAAGTTTGTTGATATATGATCTTACTTTTTATTAATTATTGAAAATGTAAAATTTTTAAATTGTTTTCTATACAGCTCTATCAAGCACATCCGAACCTGTTGAGGAAAATAATCCTAGGGATAATTCGAGAGTGATCCCGTTACAAGAAATGGATAGTATTGTTGACGCCGACATGGCTATGTTGGACAACAATCGGCTGCACTTTTACAGGCGAATTGATTGTAAGTAGCTATTTATACAAAGTGCACTGTAGGTTCCAGCATAGAAAAGGCCACCCCTTTCTTTCCCGTTGGTGTCTCAAGCGGCGACTAAGAGAACTTAATGCACGAGGAATGTGCAGCAGCATTTCTCTTTAAACATCGCTAAAATCTAACTGCGGTTGCCAACTCGCCTGCCAAGCATGGCAACTACTGGCAAAATTCCACAATAAGGGAAGGCCTGTGTTCAGCAGTTGACAGTTAGATAAATATTCTTTATTGTTTTCTCCATAAGATTACAATAGTAAACTTATTATAAATACAAACAATTATAATAAAATATTACATCGAGACAATAATGGGCGGCCATAACGCTAAGAGCGGTCTCTTCCACGCAACCTTCGGATGGAGAAGAGTAATTATAAACAGTTTGACTGGAGGCACGAATCACTGGTCAATATTTTAAATACATATAAAAATATGCAATAATATGACTACATAAATGTACATTTTAAGTTACGATACATACTTAACCCTTAAATACCTAATAAAGTTTCAAATTTGATACCGAGGTTTGTATTGTTTCATTGTTAAATAAATTTAAATATTTTTATTACCGTAATGCCTAAAGTATCAAAAATAATACCAATGTTTTTTTTTTTTCAAAATAAATATATAAAAATATCGTTTTGATTTTTTTCACTGTTTTTCCCCATTAGTAAAGACAGTATAGGGTACACTTATATATTTTTTATTTGATTTGAAAAATCAGGCTTTTAAGGGTTAAATAAATATATATACATACAAATATATGAATACTCATACATATATGGTATATAGTTACAAATATAAATAAAAAGAATGTGGGTATGTTAATCAGATACAAATATGACAACTTGCTCATAAGTCTTTAACTTGTGTTTTAAAATTATCATTATATATACTCATGTTTTAATATTAACTGCTGATAGGATGATGAGGCACTAGACTTCATAAGTAATGCTCGACGCCATCGACAGCTATAGGAATATACATAACATGTATATATTTATGTTTAGCGGCACCCAGCGGCACACAGAGCGTAGCAGAATCCACTAGTGATGAAAGTGAGGCACAAGAGGAGCCTGCTAGTAATGCACAAATCAGAGAAATGGATAGTATCGTCAGCGCAATGGAGGCAGACGTAACCGCCGGCTGTGACTTCTTCACTAGACCTAATGGTAAGCTTGTCTTGATACCATTTAATATGAGTAATAAATAGTATATATACTCTGTCTGCGCTAACGGTATATGCTGCCGGGGCACCAGTGAGGGTGATAGGTAAGAAAAATCAGGTTAGTTAGCCCATCGTGATAAATACACCTGGAATTTAGCACGATGGTTTCCAGGGGGAACCACATGGAGGGCGACCTGATAGGTATGAGTGTTATATTTTTTTAATGGAGATAGTGGAATAGTAACCCCGTCTCCGCTAACGGTATACGCTGCCGGGGCACCAGTGATTGGTGATAGGTAAGAAAAAGCAGGTCAATTAACCCATCGTGATAAATACACCTGGAATTTAGCACGATGGTTTCTAAGGGGGACCACATGGAGGGCGATTTGACAGGGATTATTGCTAGAAATGGGAATGTTATCTACATTACTAACAAACCCTTTAAATTATGTATTATTATTTTTAATTATCATTTAAATAATGTATATTTTGTAATATTGTTTACAGAATCTAACACTACATTGCCTTCTAATACAAAATCTGCAATAAGAGAAAACAATAATGATGGTAGTGCAGCTTCGACAGCATCTGAAACGAATGGAGCTATTAAAGATAACAGTTCAAATAATGATAATATCAATGGAAACGGGACCACGTCCAGTGACGAGCCGGCCGATAGTACTAATAGAAAGAAAATTCTTATCAAATTAAAATACTTAAATGACACTTTGAAGGAAGTCGAAGGAAATCTAGATGAGCTGTTGAAGGATTTTAAATGGTACGTTTTCTGTTTGCATTACAAATAAATTAAATAGTCCAAACAGAATTAATTATGTTATATTATGTATTTACCATAGGGAGAATTTGTACAAAAGTCGTTTGCTTGGCCACTTCTGCCCCATTCGTGTTTCTACTGTGAAGCAGTTGTGTTTGCATACCTGTGTTTCGGTTTGAAGGCTGGGATATGGCAGTAAATTTGCAAGGTACAGAGGACTAACACCTGAGTCTTCAGGAATGGCAAAACATAAGGGGTATCATGGGTGAAACATTATACTTTGCTATGTCCATCGTACTGCTCATGTCTATAGGCGACGGTTACCACTTTCCATCAGGTGGACCGTCAGCTTGTTTGCCATTCTAAGTTGCATAAAAAAAAAAGTTTATAAAGCAGCTTTTGTCTGTGTGGTCATTGAGCAGTATTTTATTTTAATGGATGATAATAGAATGAAAATCCCGCATGCACTGTCGACATACACTGGGGAAACATTAGTGAAGGATGTTAGGTAAGAATGAAGCAGATCAGTTGGCCTATTGTGACAAATTCAATAATAAATTATTCACAATGGTTTCCAGGAAGAACCGCGTAGAGGCGGGCCTGATAGAATATATTGCTAGCAATGGAGTTGCTAATCTTTACTAACAATCCCTTCTTTCCCCATCTTCATTCAATTCATTAGTATTGTGACATACACTGGTCATTGAACTTTCTAGTGTGGCATTCTTGTATTAACAAATTCAGTGCATGGTGCCCTTTGCGATGAGATGACGACCTCAAAATCAGAGATCTGATGGATACCGGTGACTCGGGACTGTATTTCCGTGAAATATAGGGGAGAGCCCATATTCAGTAGTAAACTATAAAGTCATGATAATGAGGATTGATGTTAAAATTTCATAATTCAGGCGCCATTTCGCAACGGAACTGTCAGCAGAGAGTCGCGTGAGGTTAATATTCAACGGCCGAGTGTTGGTTGACGACGCGGCGACGCTACGCGCTTGCGGACTCCACGACCGCGCCGTCGTACATTGCCTTGTTCATCCTAAGCGTGCTAATAATCAGGTAAATACACAATGTTTATAGAAATATTATTAAAATATTAAATTGTATTTCTATATCTTATCTATTGAGGGATTTAATTTTCAAAGCACCTCAGAGGATCTAGACCTAGCTCTTTTTACTTCATTAGTTAATTGATATCTTAATTAAAAATCATATGTGAGCATTTTTAAACATCTTTTACGTCTATCCTTATATATAAATATCCTTCAATAAATAAAGAAAGAAAATCAATCATTGTTCAATCATATTCTTGTTTTGGACATAGTCATTATGTCCTCTGATTCAGATTTTCAGATTGAAAACAATGTAATAAATTAAATTTAATGTAAAATTAAATGTAATAAATTACATTTAATAAATGTAATTTATTCTTGTTATACCAGACTTTAGAGACAAGTTCAGTTAAAGCTTTTTAAAAGTACAATTAGAAAATTATTCCAGAATTGGCTGCATTCATAGTTAGTTACCTGTACCATTTGCGACCTTTCTAAGTTTATAAATTGGAATTTATCCATCAATTAAGCAGCAGTTTAATATACCTGTCAAATGATACTGTTTTCTCTAGTACTCACATGGGGTTTTTTTATGTTTCTTTGTTTTCTGTCGCTATGTTTTATGCGACATCCTTCTAGTCTGTGTTATTATTATATCTATGTATATAAACTGAGGATTTTTTTTTCTTTTCTCACATGGGGGTTTAATCTTCCACTTTGAGTATCAATGACCTAGTAACCACTAATAACTAGGTACATTACGTTACAGCAGCGCGGCATTACCGAGGAAGCGACGGTGAACGCGACCCACGAACTCATAACGGAAGGTGTACAACCTGACCGCCCGTGGGACTTGGAGAATATCCTCATGACACTCGTCTCCGTCGCCTTGACTGTTGTTTGGTTCTTCAGGTATACTTATTAGTTACTTATTTGTAATTATAATGAAAGAGAAAAGACTAGACTAGTTGTAATAAAATAAAGATTTAAGCAGTCATCAAATTGTACATAAAAAGCCCTTTTACAATTTCTGTTGAAACATAGTCAGTATTGCAACTTGTGATAGTGAAATTCTGGTCCGATATGCCTAAAAGTCACATAATGCACTAATATGCTACCATTATGGTAGCATCTCATTTATGTCCCCCAAATGCCGCCCCCGAAGTACCAATTTGGTTTTTGGGAACAAGAAGAAGTCACACGTCCGGCGAATGGAATTTTTACCAAAAACTAGTAAACCTAACAGTCGCAATACCAAATCCTCACGGACAACAAGAGAGGTGTGGGCAGGGGCATTGTCGTGGTGAAGAATCGCGCCATATCTGTGAGTAAAGGGGTCCCTGACGATTTGACATGACAAACCTAATATTTAGACACTCCCTATGAGGCTGGTATAGTCACTCTTGTTGTATTGAAGCCTGAACAAAAAGTGGTTAAAAAAAAATTAAATAAAATGACAAAATGTGTGATTTTGCAGTAAAATATTTAAATAATGGACTCAACTAGTGGACATATTATCCTTACTATTATTATAAATGTCAAAATGGCTTGACCAATTACTATGATTTTTTTATCCATGCAGTATGGGAATGATAAAGAACATTGGCCAGTCAGTGAATATATTCCAGTCACATGTACAAAATTGTAGATAAAAACTAGTATTGAGAGTTCCATCTCAGTTGGTTTAGTTTAGAAAAGATTTAAAGAACTAAATAGGTGCTTTAGGTTCTTCTGTCAATTATTAGAAGGCAACTTCTAATAATTGACAGTGACTGATGAAACACTTTGAAACTTACATTTTACAACAAGCTTCAGTGTATTGGAAATTGGTTTGGTGTGGAAAAGTGTTTTGTGTATAGGTCAATTCATACACACTAGTTACTTTTAATATATTTTAACATACATTGCCATTTCTGAAGACTACAATCTTATCATTCTGTATTCAGTGTTTGTTTTGCCATATCCTATTCTTATTATTGAAATACAGCTATGCCAGCACAGCTGTATGCTTGCTTTAAAATAGATGTACTAAAATTAAATAAATTATTTAAATTATAAATTTATTTTGTTAGTCCAAAGCACCATTTACTCTCTTTGTTTATTGTAGTGGTTAATTGGTAGAGAATGCCAATAAGCATTAAGTCCGTCTAGTAAATAAATTTTAATATGTGCAAAAGAATAATTAATAATTCTGTAACTATATTCAGATGCGAGTACTCGAACATGTTCACGGCGAGCGCCAGCGTGGCGTTGTTCGGCCTCACTGTGTTCTACAGCGTCGCCATCTTCGGCCTCTATCTCTCCGATACATTCCACTTCGACCGGCGGCCCGCACAACCCGCGCAGCCTGTGCCCAATAATTAAGCAAACATTTGTGTAACTTAAAGTAAGTCTGTAGCGAACATAAATAACAAAGCAAAAACCAAATAGACCAAAAAAAATATTCCTTTCTAAAAGGACGGCAACACTTACAATTCCTCCGGGTACTCATGGACAGCGTTACTTTATTATTTGCTTTTCTGGTGAATCATTTCACTCATCTCACCCTATATTATAAAAAAAAAGTTATGGGGTTTTTCATAGTAACCTTTTCCAAGGTTGGCAATATATGTGTGGCTCTCCCTATGTTGTTCTGTAACAATCATTTCTTTGGAGAAGAATCCTTAATAAATTTGCACTACTGCAAGCACTGTAGCATTAAAGTAATTTTCTGATAGAATAGTGGCTATATCTAACCATTTACTTTTAGGCAAGTTATATGATGTGTTGCCAACATTGCGGCGTATATAAACAAAAGTACGCAATCTTTGCAAAGCAAAACTAGTTTGCGGCTTCCTCATGCTGATCTGCATAGCTTCAATATTTGGACGTTTTGTTAGATTAAGTCGTTACAGATTTACTTTTGAAATTCTCGGCACTCGCTTAAATGTATGGAATATTGGCATTCATAAAGTCATTAATTTTCTAATCAGGAATTTGAGAATTCGGAAATATCAAAATATTGGATATCAATCAAAACTCATATTAGTATATTACGTTTTATACACAAATATGAATAATTTTTTAGTATAAAATATTAATTTGTGTAAAATATTTAACGTGTAATAATATCTGCAATAATACGCCAGTAGTTGGGCGTACCCCTGTCTACTAATTATTATTCACTGACAGCACCTTCTGTTTGTAAGATTATTTCCTCATAGTCGTAGAATACTGACGGATCTTTATATGTAATATTCGTCAGATCCGTCAGTATATGACGGTTTGTGGTTTGACAATAGGGTCGATTCAGATGCACCACTCTATGAACTTATCTGCAAAACTAATATTTTAGTTTAATAGTTTCACAAAAGTATTATTTTATGGAGCATCATTTACTAAAATTTTCACTTAAATCTGTTAGTAATTTAATTCATATTGGTTCTTAGAATAAAAATTTCGATGTAATATTAACTTGAATTTTAGTTTTAGAGAACCACGCCTCACAATCGATCCCACTGTCACTAGAGTAAACGTAAAACCCATCAGGAAGTATAAAAAGCAGCTTGTTGAACAGGCTTTTATCACCTTTTTAAAAGTATTCTTAGTGGTTTTGTTAAAGATGAATGTGATTATACATAATTGAAGCTAAGGATCTATTTTGCAGTTGATTCAATCGAACGATAAAATTATTTATATTTGCAATTTTGCTACATATTATATATATTAATAGCCTTACAGGGATCATGATCATTTGGCCTATTTAAAAAATAGATTAGATCGGGCAGAGTTTTTGTGGTCTATATTGTACAATAGGGTTTATTCTGAAACGCTAATCTCTAAAATTAAGGTAGTTTTGACTCGGATCTATTATAAATTTTGTTTATACTTGTCTTCGAATTAAAGACTATGCAATATCTGAAATTTTAGGTTTAGAGAATGGCACTTCAAAACGGACCCTAACTATATTGACCCGAGACTACTGTAACTTGAGTTTTACATCTGATAAAATATTGTTTTAACTATTGTTATAACTCCACTCCACTAGTCAATAAACTAGTGTCTGTTTTTCATACATTTCATGAGCGCCCTGGGATGTTATTAGATCTAAGAATATTAATTTATCACCAATTGGCGGTAACTCATGCGCATTATTATCGTGTATTTCGCTGTTCAATTTCTAGCAGTCGACAGTCATTTTTGTAATATTGTAAATAGATCTGCTGATGTTATATGCTATTTAGTCTTAAAATGTAGGAACGGTGCTAGAGCTTGTTTCAATGTTTATATTATAAAACATGGTCATGCTAAATATCGATAACAAAAAATATAAAATTGTTGTTGTTCTTATAAGTACTTAGAAAATTGTACATTATTCGACTGAACAGATGCACAGTGAGTAGGGCCTCTAAATCTGTTTTATTTACGGAACAGAACCATGTTTAAATAGTAGAATGAGAATATGTTTGCTACTTGAATTGACGTAAATCGTCATCTATTTATAGCTTTGATATTTAACAATATGAGAAATTGGATTCGATCCTGAAGCTTATTCTCGAAACCTATCTCGGAAGTACAAAAATTTGAGAATTACTTATAGAGAGTAATGTAACTAAATTGTCTATTCTTTTTTCCTTTTCAGTTACTATACTGTGATTTCTAAAGTTACCTCAGTATATTAATGCAAAGAAACGATAATTTCGTGTATTACAAATTTTCATCGTCGAGTAATATTATAATAATGACTCGACTCATCGATATACAAAACATTCATTTAAAAGGAATAATTTATTTCATTCTCTACAACAATGTACATATTTATAGTTAGGTATAAAAAGGATGTTTTGTATTTATATAGATTTAAGCGCTGATTAATTTAACTTGTTTTATTACCATTTTTCATTGCTTTGAAGTTTGTTTCTGCAGGCTTTTTTATTTCGAGTACTTAGTGCTTTCAAAATTGTAGTCATTATATTTTACATACCTAATAGTTTTGTACTCATTCATTTATTGTTATTTACTTTTTAAGAGTTTAGTATAAAATTATCAAAATAAAATATTAATACTGACTATATTTTTCAGTAACATTTTAAACCCATTATATATACATAATATGAAAACAGAATGGTGACTTCATCTGCGTTAGCAGTATACGCTGGCCGAGTACTAATGAAGGATGATAGGCGAGGATGAAAGCAAGTCAATCATGAGACACAGCGAATTTACCACGATGGTTGCCAAGGGCTTAGCTTAATTTCTAGCATTGTAGCCAATAAATCTTATTAGTAATAATTTATTATTTATTAAAGACCGCTTATATTACTTGATATATAGTTACTGTGTATTGGTCTATTATTTGTCGATTTACAATTATTTTCAAAACTTAGGTGTCGTTGAGCAGACAAAAACGCCACTGTAATATATAGGTATCTGTTGCCAATTGAGTAGAAAGTCTGAACCGATTTTGATGATTGATCAATCTTAGCCCCATTCGTTTAATACGTTAAATAATAACGAATTTTATATAACCGAAACCCTAAGACCAATTTTCAATTTGCTATTTTAAATTACACATTTTATTATACTCTAGTACTCTTAAATTACTATAAACTAGGATTTTGACTTTGGAACTAAATTAGGATTTATAATAAAGACACAATTTTTTTAAAAGTTTATTAAACTTAACAACATTGTTGGTGGTTCCGAAAATTTCATATAATCTGATTATACCTGTAAAAGAAACATTAATATTAGTATAGGTGTCTACAATAATATACAAAATTACTAAAAATTCTTCAAGACCAAGTTATCAGTTTAAGAAAACGATCGTAGGTTACAGTAATCATATATTAAACAAACTACTTGTTTGCCATGTTTGTTATGGATAAAAATACTTGAGAGCATTGCTTAAAGTCATAATATTAAAAATTAAGCGAACTATAGTGTATCTCGCCGGATTGAGGTGTACTGAAAATTAAAACAACAGTAACCTCACCAAGACGAGACTTTATTCTTCCAAATTCATTGTCTCGTTAATTTACAAAAGCTTAACAAGTAAAATATGAATTTGGTTTTATTAAGTAAATTGTAATAAAAAAAATTACCTTCTTTGAATAGGTGTTTGGAACTGGCTGTCAAAAATCATCTGCGAATCAAATAAACATGAAGATTAATTGAATATTCAGGTAAAGAAAACTAAATAAATATGCAAATTTAATTTCAGCCATCCAAGGAAGTTTTAAATGCGTGGTAATCATGGTTGCGCATATCATGAAGCATTATATCATCATTATAAATAATAATTATTATTATTATAGATCTTAAATAGATTTTTTCATCCATATTAGAGTAAAACTAATTACTTTAAGTTTGAATTTAATTTGTTTTATTAAAAAAAATTAATAAAAAAAATAAAAATAGTCACAAAACTGTTAGTTACCTTTTTGGGAAGAACAAATGACCAGCAAGTTTTACATTCCTGTAACAAAAAAAAATCTATTGAACATATTCATAATAAAATAATTACATTTAAAATTAGTTTCATGTTATTTCAACTTACCAAAAATGTACTCAAATATGTAGTAATAGAAGAAAAAAAAAACATTTATAAAGTTAATTTTATTGAAAGCCACTGGCTTTCTTTTTGATAATATGTAATATAAAAACAAACAGAAAGTCAATGACTTTATGAATTTTAAATTTATCGCTTGCGACGCAATTGAAGCGTGTTGCGGCGTATCCAAGCAGCGCGGCGGGAACCACCCTTGGTCTGCGAATAACGATGACCCTTGCCCAGACCACGGGAACTGCGACCGGCTGATGTAAGGCCACGCATCTCACGATGTTTGTGAACAGCGTTCACTATCCAGTTGATCTTAGGGTCGCGGCGTATAGCCTACGAAACAAATAAAACTTATTAAAGAAATTATACAAAAACAATTTAAATAGCAACTAGAATTATTTAGTTTATCAGTTAAATGGTAGGTGAGTATTCAGCAAAACCTTTCAGATTGGTGCATGACATAGATAGTTCATCATTTAAATATTAATATTTCAAAATGTTAGAATTTTAAAATATTGAGTATTAGATAGATACATATTATTTTTTTCCATACCTTGTGTGATGGATCAACCAATATAACTTCAAAGTATTTGTATGAAGAGTCCTGTGCAACCCAATATGAGTTAAGGACACGCAGACCACCACAACGACGTCCAACACGTTCCTGTATAGAATTAACATTATTATTAATAAAAAACATATATCAATCACTGTAAATAGGAGAAGTAGTTGATAAGCATTAATATTTAGGAGTATGTATTCTAGTACTTATAACACAAGCTCTACATAGTTTAAAACTAGATGGCAGTGTCAGTATTCAAAACATATTTTGTTAATTAGTATCACTGTAATTAATAACATTGGAATCTCAATGGTAATAGAGATTACCAACAGCAAGTTTTTACTTGAGCAATATTTTTGTCCGAGTGAAACTCACAAACCAACATAATAGATGAATGCTACATAATTCATATCTTTTTTCACTCAACTGCTGAAGGGGGATAATCTCTAGGTGTATGTGTACATAGATTTTTGGAATAACTATTAAATCAGTGATGAAATTAATATAAATGGAGTGGTGGTTGGTTCTATTTGAACTTGATTTTATTATTAGTTGGTATTAAGCATCTTATGAATGAATGTATTATATGTGTATTATGTAGGAAAAGTATGCAGGTACTAACTTCGGCAATAGATTGCAAATTGCGAGTGGGTTTCAGCTGGTTGACACCATGACTTTTTGGTTTGCCATAAGTGGCGCCCTTGGGAACTGGACGCTTGCGGCCACCACGGCGTACACGGATTCTAAAGATCACGTATCCTAAAAGTAAAAATGATTTTTTATTAATTTCACTTGTTAAAATTACACAAACACGTGGTGATCGTTCAATGAAAACTTACCTTGCTTAGCACGGTATCCCAGTCGCCTCGCCTTGTCGGGCCTGGTAGGCCTAGGAGCACGATGCATGCGAGTCAACTGGCGATACTGCCATACTCTGACACGCAAGAGGAAACGCATTACATCGCTTAACTTTTTTCTGTACAGTTCTTGTATATATCTGTAGGCACCCATCTTGGAAAGCCTGTGGCAGACCTAGCAACAAAATCAATGGAAATTGATCAGAAGTCACATCATCGGTCTGGCCACAAATAGAGAGTTTCATGACCCATAACATAAAACATATTACAATCTCTGAAATTAAAAATATCGAATTAAAATAAGTTTATAACAGTAAACTTCACACTGTTTTTTAAAGAACACAATAATATTTCACTTAATATTATGAATGATTATGAATAAAAATTAAGATTAAACTAAACATACGTCTCTAGATCCCCACAGGTAAACCGGAAAAGAAAAATAAATTGACAAGTCAATAACTGACAATATGACAGTTGAATTCAATGTTGCTATACCTGTCACCACATGCTAAGAAAAATAAATATTTCCTTTTTTACATTGTCTTAAGTTTTCGAATAAGTAGGTGTTAAGTATTAAGTTATATCGATGTATAAATGGAATGTTGTCAAAAGATTAGTGCGAGTGTAAAGAAAATTAAATTAAAATGGATGGAACGTTTTGCCCGGAGACCGATTCTTGCCACTTTTCTGGCAATTCGATATTATCCTTCAACCTGGGGATTACACTGCATTAATATTTAATATATATTACTATACTATTTCATTACAACAAAAACAAGACAAAAAAAACCTACCTATCTCGGTTATTTTTTTTTATTTCAGCCCATAAATAAAAAAATAATAACACAGCAATATTATCCTTCAACCTGGGGAATATCGAATTAATTTGGCTCAAATTTTAATATCGATAAATACCTATGTCAAACCCTATTACGTTAATCACTAAACTCATTAACTTACTACCAAACCAATTTTGACATTTAAATATGGAATACATTTTGCAGTTTTTTATTATTTCTGATTACAATATATATTATCTAATCAATCAGTAGATATATTAATAACATTAATTTCCAATACCATCTGCCCGAGAGTAAAATTTTTAATTAATAATTAATTTATTATTATACAAATAAATTAACATTTCATATTTTTCTACTATTGACTTGCTCGTTATACTAAATACTAAATATACTAGCTAAAAAAATAAAGGTTGTTTGCTGGTTGGTTGGCTACGTTACTAATTCTACCACGCCGCCATCTTGAAAGCGTAACTGTTGTCATGTTTACGTTGTGTGTGAAAGGTTTAATTTATAGTTTTTGATATAGTGATCTGGTAAAGTTTGTTATATTTAGTAAAGAATACAAATATCGTGTTTCAAAGCTTATCAGTTAGCTCTAAGTTATAACCATGGCATATGGAACATGGTTGAATTAGCGACTTCAGATTAGGCGCCAAATTACTCATTATCGTTACAGTTTTATAACCGTAATATACAAATTCTGTTGTTTTTACGTGTAATTTTATTTTAATTTTTATGAAGAGCCATTACTTTATCCATGTAACAAGGAAATGATGTGACATTGATAAACTGTTTTCTTTCAGAACAAGATTGATGTAACTCCGGGTCGAGTTCTATTCTGTTATAACAATGTTTTACGCACATTTTGTGCTGGCCAAGAAAGGCCCCTTGGCCAAGATTTGGTTGGCAGCTCATTGGGACAAAAAGTTAACCAAAGCCCATGTATTTGAAACTAACATAGAAAAGTCTGTGGATGGTATTTTGAAGCCAAAAGTTAAAATGGCTTTACGGACTTCTGGCCATCTGTTGCTTGGTGTTGTCAGGATCTACTCTAGGAAGGCCAAGTATCTTTTACAAGATTGCAATGAAGCATTTGTTAAAATTAAGGTAACAATATGGATCTTATTTTTATTTATATGACAATAAAAGAATGATAATCCTGCCTTTGCTACTGGTACATACTGGAGGGATGATAGGTGAGGATGTAAGCAGGTCAGTTGGTCTATCCTGATGACTAACTACTGTGATCTGACTGAGATGATATATTGATCATAGAAGGGCTCCTAGTCCTTATAAATAATGGTCTATTCCTCTCAACATAGGCCATATTATAATGTGTTTAGATGTATATTTGAATTTAAAAATCAGTATAGTTATTATTAGGGAATATAAATATTTCATATTAGCATGTTTTTCTGTGATTTATGTTTATGTTAAAAAATATATAAAATATATTCTATTTAAACCTCTAAATTGGAAGGAAGAATCCTTCCAGATATTCATTTAGCAGGGTAAACAAAAGTTGGTACATATTTCTTTCTGATTGATAAAGATGTAAAAAAAATTAAATATGGTTTGATTATTGGTTATTTGTTTTTACTTTTAACTTGAACAAGAGTAAATGTTTTATTATTTATGAACTACAATCAAACTTGAAGTCATTCGTATTATAATATTTGACATTAAAATCTATAAACTTCTATTATTAGTATAGTAATAAAAAAAACACATGTTTATAAGTATATTATTTATAAAAACTATTATATATTTTGTCAGTTGTCATATGTAATAAAAAATATTTTAGTTGGCTTTCCGACCTGGTATGGTGGATCTGCCTGAGGAGCATAGAGAAGCAGCCATGAATGCTATAACTCTACCAGAGGTTTTTCATGACTTTGACACGGCTATGCCAGAATTGAAGTAAGTTACAACATATTTAAGTACTTTTTTAAGCAGTGGTGTAACTATATCATTTGGGGCCTGTGGCAAATGCTTTTGATGGGGCCCTATCAGTAAAAAAAAAATACTTTTCAAGTAAAATAAAATACTCAGGTACAATGTAAAATAAAAATTTTTTACTCGCAGCCTCTTGAGCCGGGGCCCTTTTGGGTTGGGGGGCCTGTGGCATTTTGCCAGCCCTGCCACCCTATTGTTACGCCACTGATTTTAAGAGTTGTGCAGTCCATTTATGATACTATAGTTTTATCTAAAACTATTCAAGATAAAAAAAAAAGTATTCAACATGGAATAGCAAACAAGTCATGTAAAATTGAGAAATATGACAATTATTATCTATAGATATGAACAGCATAACCTATGGACAAAACAGAAATCTGGGTTTGTTTTGTGATGCTCATGATACCTCTCATGAGTCGCTATGTCTTTGGCCTGATCTTATACCTTATATGTACCATATAATTTTCACATTTAATTAAACATAAAGTATATTGCTTTCTTTGTTATTTTTTTCTTTTTCTTTCTTTCTTTGAATATATTACATTAAAATATAAAATCTTTATATTTTAATGAAATTTTAGTTACAAATAAGACACACGTAATATAACAACAATCTATGTTAATTCTTTTTTTTATGAAATTTAGAATGGCCATTGCTTATAGACATTTTTTTTATTTAATACATAATTAACATAATATCTACTTATTTTGTTTGTATATATTATTAACCTTGTTTGCACCATATAATTTTTTTTCAGAACTGTATCTGTAGAGTCTATGTGTACAGTTCTTATTTAATAATTGCAGTGAAGTGGACATTGAAGCTCAATTTTCCCTGAATCAGTCTAGAGCTGAAGAGATCACTATGCGAGAAGATTATGGTTCTTTAAATCTGGTTACCCATGACGATGGGTTTGGTGATATGGGATTTGACACTGATAATCCTGACATTATGAGAGAAGCTATTGGTACTGAAGGGGGTTTGGAACAGGTAAATCTTATGTTTCATTATAAATAATGTGAATGCAAAGAGCACTATGGGCTATTAATTTGGGTTGTGAGTTTGGTATACATTATTATTTACATCAATTTTTTTTTCTATAATGTGATGTAAAATGTGAGTGGTTGTTCTACTGAATCTAATATAGAATATGCATGGTTAAGACTTATTATACCATAATTGGTATTGTTAATAATTATAACCTTTGACAACTCCATTTTAAGATAAATAAAGTTCTGACCATATTTCTTAACTTTTTACGATAACTACTTATAAGTAAAAATGACAATTGTATCACATGAGTTAAAAGATAATTCTTTGAAATGAAAGTTAATTTCAAATAAAATAATGTCTATTTTAGAGCAACATTTTGTTTGCTGATGGCTCGTCCCTGTCAATGCAATTAGCTGGCAAAGAACCAGGTGTGCCAAGTACAAGCGCAACTGGAGTGCCAACCCTAGCCACACCAGCTCATGAACGTAGGATGGAAGCAGCACCACATGGACCCATGGATGATGGATTTGGGGGTACTATTGGTGATGTGGGGGATTTTGGACGTAAGTATTATTCTACTATAGTTAAAATAATGAAAGAATTCACATAAATAGAGAAACGAGTAGATAACTTTTATGTTTAAAATTAATAAATCGTAGGCATTCTGTTCTAGGGTAGTTAAACAGTGTCTATATTTCTTTTATAATGGTAGGCCAATTATGGGTGGTTTAATGATATAGTCATTTAATTATGAGCCTAGTATTCTGTTCAAATAATGGCCTTTTGCAACCCCCAAAAAGTTAGTGACTTCAATGTATTTGTTTTTGATCATTATCATTAAGTTATCTTTGTTTCCACTGTTGTTTACTTTTAATTTCGTCAAGATTCTATATTTGAATAGCTTTTAGACTTCTAATAGTGTGTTTTATCAGAATCGCTCTAGTGAAGCATGTGATACATAAACATATTCTCGTATTTAATGTGAGGATAAAATCATGTAATATCCTGTGCTACTCCAAAATCTATAAACGGCCTATACCGGTGATGTGTAGACGCGGGCGGCTTGTTCGAGGGCGACCTGTTCGGCGAAGTGACGGCGGGCAGTGGCGCGGGCGGCGCCGCCGCTGGATTGCCCGGCCTGCCTGGCCTGCCGACCTCCGCGCAGCCACAGTCGCTGCAGGTACTTACATCATATAGAGAATATAATTCCAACCTCGAAAGGCAGAGATCCTCTTTGCAGTGTATATATTAATTTGGTCTTAAATAAATCGAGATCCAATTGAGAATAAACGAAATTTGTGTGTGAATCCTTCCAGCTTGTGAATTAAAGCACAGTTTGACTTTGACAAAAGTGCATTAAATTTTTAAGTGTTGTAAATAGACTTTTTTTTTAAATGTAGGTATGCAAGGTCTTTTATTAAATACTATTATATATATATATATATATATATATATATATATATATATATATATATATATATATATATATATATATATATATATATATATATATATATCTTGGTATGAACACATAAGAGATAAAACGAAACCTCGAAAAAAAAAAGTATCTCATGTATGAATTAATTAAATAATGCCAACACCGTGGGGGTGAGGACCTGGTGATCTGTAACACAGGTTTATCCTACTGCAGACACCAGTTCTTCACAATACATTAACTTATGTAACCTTCAAAAATAAATATATTAGAATATAATAGATGTACAACTGGTATTGTGAAGAGAATAAACTTATTATTATTATTAATGAAAATAAATTTTATTTTTGATATAAAAATTTTTGATGTTAATTTTTTTAATGCAATGTGTGATGGTAGGCTGAGATCGAGGCGGCGGGCGTGGGCGAGGGCGATGCGGGCGATGCTGCAGCTGACGCCCCTGATTCGGATGACGACATGGGCGACCACTACGATGCCGGTCACTCGCCGCCCCACAGGTAAGGTGACCTAAATAAAAAAAAAATTGGGTTTATATTTACATAAATGGGTGATTTAAATAAATTCACGCGCGTATGAGCGAGACACACGCTCACTATGGTGTCTATTGCTTGCGCCAGTCCTGACTTAATTGGACATACTAACATATTTATTATTGAATTTATGGGAGTGTTAGTTATCTCATCAATATAATCTTGCAGTATATTTTTTTAATGAAAATGGAATGGTAATCCTGTCTACACTGTCATTATCATTGTAATCCTTAGTCAACCTAGCAGTCGCAATGACAACGTCTATATCTGTGGGTAAAGGTGTCCCTGACGAAATAACACGACACAATTAACATTCAGACATTCCCTATATAGTCACCCAGGTGTACTGAAGCCTCAATAATAATTAAATTAAAAAAAAAGATCAGTATAGACTAGTGGGTGCTGATAGATGACGAATTTAGGGGACACTGCTTGTAATGAGGACTAACCTCCTCATTACTAACAACTCTCCCCCACTGTCCCCTCCCTGCAGGATTGGATTGGTCGGTAGCGATTGTTGAGTGTAGCGTGTTGTCGTTTGTTGCAGCTGGGGCGGGTCGCCGCCGCCAGAGGGCGCGGGACGCGCGGAGCCGGCGACCGACCTGATGCCGCCGCCCGCTCTACCGCGTCCTCCCTCCGTCAGGCCCATGGTTTGTAAATATTATCAAATAAACATCTACTATCCTTTCTTTAATTATGTTAGGGCCATTTTGAAGCTTACCAAAGTGTGGCAATGTCAGAATTAAAATCAATTTTAAAAAACAATCAATGATTATCAGTATTTCTGATTGATTATTTAAAAAGTGCTCTGATAGCACACTAAAATGTTAACCAAGTAGTAGGAAAATTATTACATGATTAACATTTTCAAAATTTGGATATTAATGACAAAACAATATTTAAAGACTTAAAGCAAAGGAATTTTTGTAGATGCAGAATTTTTTGTGGCAGATTTATATGAGACTATTGTAATATACAACTTCAAAATTTGGAGTAAAAAAAAAATAATCTGAACAATATTAATATAGTTTTAACTAAAGATATGCATAGATAAAACAATATAATCGTTTGAGACGTTACACATCTAAATATTCCTTACACTCATTGAATTTTACTGAAAGACAGTCTAAAGGAATATGTTACATTATAGGAGGTGGACCCGACGCCAGAGGAAGGTGGCGCAGCCGGTGAGGCGGGCGCGGGAGAAGCGGTGCCGGCAGAGGGCGCGGTGTTGAGCGGAGTGGCGGCGGGAGCGGAGGCGGCCGCGGGAGTGGACGCGGACCGAGCCGCACACGACAACACTACGCTGCTGCAAAACGAAGAGGAATCCTTTGCGCTAGCACCAGTCGATGCCACCGTGCTCAAGGGTATGGAAATAGCAGATAACCTACCACCTTAAACATTCTACGGGGACATCGACATCTCATCGCTCCTCGTCATTGCCAGTACTTTCAAACTAATTTATCGATAGACATGATTTTGCGTCCCACGAAAAATTAGATAGCTACATCTAGTGTCTTGTTCTTTTTTATGGCCGCGATAACGAAAACCGATAGATTTGTTGGTCACCACTAAGAAGGAGCAGTTGTATTTCTTCATCACCAAAGGGATAAGGTAGGGTATTAACTACAAGTAAAGTTCTCTAACATTCCATCTCAATCATCTGGGTGAGTGGTGGTCCTCCACCATGCGTTTTACAAGTCTCTTCCACACACAACTACTAGTTGGGATCAACTTCCAGTTCTTCCGAATCGATATGACATCATAGCCTTCAAGAAAAGAGCATATTCCTTTTTAAAAGGCCGGCAGCACACCTGCAATGCCGTCAGTGCTGTGAGTGATAATGGGCGGCGGTAGTCACTTACCATCAGGTGAACCGCATGCTCGTTTGCCCCTTGTGTTATAAAGAAAAAAAAGCAGTGTAATTATTTTTATTTTTATTATTAATTTGTCAAATTCAATATGAACTTTACTATTAATAACCTTTCAATAACACGAATGATAAAGGCAACTGAAAAGTTTAATATTATAAATTACAATACGAATTGTGATGTGAACAATAATGGGTATACTTACGACAATCGACTTTTCAGGTATAACGAAAACTAAACGCAAACGTAAACTGATCGTCGACGAGGTAAAGAATATATCTGGAGAGGAAATGAAAAATCAGCTAAGCAACACATCGGACATAGTGACTACATTAGATTTGGCCCCACCGACACGGCGACTCATGCACTGGAAGGAGACTGGAGGAGTTGAAAAACTATTTACGTTACCTGCCAGGCCTATACCATCGCGGGTTCTTTTCAAGGTATAGTATGTATTGTTAGTTATCGGCCCATCCTCTTTGCCAAATTGATGAATCGATAGAAACATTGTCGGTAACTCGTGCATGAAAAAGAGACAATCTCTGGCATCTTTTTCATGTTGGCGCTGCCGAGAATGTATCTGTCGGTACAATTATTTGCTATGTGTGCACACAGAAAATGTTTGTGTTGATCCCAAAGCAATTTACACATAGTATGTGTATACTTGTAAGAAAAGAAATTAAGAAATTGTTTTTATTGATAATGGGGTAGATTGTTAGGCGCCAATTTTTAAAGTTGTCTTTTAATCTAATATTTTAATTTGATAATTTCGCGAAATTACTGTTTTTTGGATCATCATATAGTAAAATTATAATTTTGACTTTATTGGAAAAATAATTCATAATGGTTCTTTATTGCAAAATTTTACTGTGATATCAAAAAGAAATATTTACTTTAGACATAGGTTTAAAGAAATGACACCTCAGAATTGACTTCATTATCATCATGAATAGTGATATCAGTTGTCTAGTACAAGTTTCTCTGTATTTATATATATATATATATATATATATTTTAATTTATTATTAATAAAAATACAAGTTACAGAATTTACGAGGTCTGTCCGGAAAGTTCGTATAAAAGTGTTCTGGAATGCGAGAAAGAGGAGTGGGGAGGCCAGGTAAGCGCAGGACCCCTTCCTTATGTCCCTAACAATGCTTCAGTTCTGGTCTGACCGCCGTGCGGTGCGAACTGGCTTGTCACGCCATCTGTGAAGTTACCTCTTAACGAAACCCCGTCGGCATGGAGCCCGCTTCCGTTGAAGAGCAGCGCGTCGTAATCAAGTTTCTCTCGAAACTCGGCAAGAATGGCCGTGAAATTTTTGCCGATCTCAGAACAGTTTATGGGGATGATGCTGTGAAGGAACCAACCGTCCACAAGTGGCTAAAAAGATTCAGAGAGGGCCGAGACAATGTTGATTGTTTTTTTCGATGTTCGGGGGATTGTCCATCAAGAATTCGTCCCTCCAGGCCAGACAGTTGATGGAAAATTCTACGTCGATGTGCTCAGACGCCTCAAAGCTCGTGTGGCACGAGTTCGTCCAGAATTGGCGCGAGAGGGGCGTTGGATTCTTCACCACGACAATGCCCCTGCCCACACCTCTCTTGTTGTCCGTGAGTTTTTGAGTAAAAATTCCATTACGGTGACCGAACACCCCCCTATTCGCCGGATTTGGCCCCGTGTGACTTCTTCTTGTTCCCAAAAACCAAATTGGTACTTCGGGGGCGGCATTTGGGGGACATAAATGAGATAAAAAAAGCTACGACGGGGCAGCTGAGAAACCTACAACCAGAGGACTTTCAAGGAGCCTTCTCACAGTGGAAACGGCGTTGGCACAAGTGCATTATGTCACAGGGGGAGTACTTTGAAGGGGATAAAATTGATTTACCTGAATAATTGTAAAATAAAATTTTTAAAAAACTTTTATACGTACTTTCCGGACAAACCTCGTATGTTACATTAGCATTCAGAAACCACGTAGGTTTATATTAATACTAAATACATTAAAATTATTTAAATTGTATTAAAACTATGCAAGAAGTATCGTTTTAATTTATACTTGATGTTGCTAATAGTAATGTTATCTCGTACATCGGTGGATAGTTCATTAATAAATCGAGAAACCAGGTAGTCAGCCGTACGCTCGCCATAACAGTTATTTACGCGAGCGCTATTGGTACAAAGTTGCTTCCGTGCGACCGCCCTCGTATATACAGCATGATTAATTTCGTTCCAATATTTTTTGTTAAAAAAGTTTTCCTTAAGAAATGTGTATAATATATATGAATGCGTGAATTTACTGGGTACAGAGGAATAACACCTGAGTTCTCAGGAATGGCAACGCATAAGGGGTATCATGGGCGAAACAGTATACTCTGTTATGTCCATGGTACTGCTCATGTCTATAGGCGACGGTTACCATTTTCCATCAGGTGGGCCGTCAGCTTGTTTGCCATTCTAAGTTGTATAAAATAATAAAAAAAAAAGGTATAAAAAAATTCCAGTATACAAATGAGTAAATATGTGTTTGTTCGGTTGTAGAAGTACCAGCGCAACATGACACTGCGCAGCGAGGCGGAGGAAGTGGAGGCACGCTCGCCCGAGCCCGAGGTGGCTCGCCGACAGACCCGCAAGCGCCGACACGACGAGGTCTGTAACTAACAAATACTGGCCTTTCATTCTCATTCTGCCTCTTTATCTCCCTCCGGCCCACTATTTTAATAAATTAATCATAGTTCCTACAGTAACCCCTAAAAGTTCGATGTGGCTGTATCAGAATTCTAAATATATGCAACAATTTCTTCAATTTGACATATATAAAATTATAACAAAATCTTTAAAATTATACTATGATTAACTAAATTTCAAGATTGAAATAATTATAAAGGCTGGGCACCACTGATCTATACAAATGTTTATTTTTCTAATCCATTATTAATTTACTTTCAGTTTATTTGTTAGAGAATAGACTTAGATGGTTTTTTTATGATACTAAGAATTGTCTACAAGTAGATGGCTCAACTGATCGACTGTAATGCAATCTATTTTCAGACGATCCAACCGCCAGAAACACCAGCGCCGGCACCAGTTCCAGAATTGGAGCCACCTACACCTGTACCTCAAGAATATGAACCCTCAGTTGGTAAGTGAATGTTAATTTAATACTCGCAAAACATATTCACACTAGTTTTAATTTTTTAATGCATCAACTATAACAATGCTTTGGAAGACTAAATGCCTCTTATGAACTGCACTTCACTATATAATCATGTCTATATAACTCTTAGTACAATATTTTAAGAGATGTAAATAGTTTCTGACTTGTCATGGCATGATAAGAAATATTCAGATATGTTTAAAAAAAGGAATTTGATGCATGAGCGTAATGAGACGATTTAGAGAAGAAAGGAAGAACAACACCAAGGAAGTCTTATTTTGGATCTTAAAAATTATGAATTTACAATAAATATACTATTCTTTCTTTACTTTCCTCTTTATTAATTACGTTTATGGTTATTACTTTATTCAATGGAACTAAATTATATTAACCATTTCATAACAACTATTTTCACTACAATGCTTTTGTAACAATTTACACTCGTTGACCACGTTTACCAATATGCCTAGTTTATATATATATATTTAACAGTTTTAGCGATATCTTATATGTCAATCATTATCATATACCTTGTACTTGTATATAACTTGTACCAACCAAACCACGATGGTTTCCAGAGGGATTTTTAGTGGAATTCGTCACAATGGGCTAACTGACCCGCTTTCATCCTCACCTATCAACCCTCACTAGTGCCCCGCCAACGTATATCGATAGCGCAGGCGGGGTTACCATTTCATTATCACCCATTAAAAAAAATATAATTCATTTCCATAACATTAGGTAGAGAAGTTGAAATTTTACAGTTTTTGGTGTCAGCCAAATTTGAACTAAGTCCTTTCGGATCTATACGTCACGGTAATAAACAACTAAATGTCATCACTCTCTGTTTTTGAATTTTTATTGCAAAATATTTAACTCTAAGTTGGTAAACGTTGGTCGCGCATGTACATATGCTCTTGAATGCACTAACTAACCCGATACTGTGGTGGCGCGTAGAGGCGGAGCGAGAGGCAGAAGCGGCTGCAGGAGACGCGGCGCCACATCCCTCGATACTAAGTAATGATTGTTTTGTTTTATCTCTATTTATATCCCTAATAATTGTTGTTTTATACAAAAATTATATAAACATAGCAGATGTTATAGTGTTTACTTTAAAGTCGTCATAAACTAGCTATGTTATACCGTTTTAGATTTAACCTGAATTTATCTGCAGATATTCATCAAAAACCCATTAATGCTAGTTTGCCATACCTTTTTGCATAAAAAAAATTCGTCCAGCTGTGCTGTTCTATCTACAAAAGAAAATGTAATTGTTCTACTATTAGCTCATTGAACAGGCGATAGTATAGGGTTATATTCGAGTTTTATTCTCCTTCTTGTATTGGAGTTTTAAGCTGTGTGCTGAGTTAATTGGACCAGCTTTTACATTGTATTTTTATTTTATCACCTTACGTCTTCCGCGAGATTTTACATGGGTTAAATAGTATTGGAGAGCACTATAATATTGAATTATGATAATAAATTTGAAGAAATATTAATTAATTATTACATTATTATTACTACATTTCTACTAGAACTACTTTTCTTTATATAAAATTATTTGTTCTTTAAAATTCCACAGGTGGTATGTTAAGCTCGCTGGGTCCACCATTGACGCCTGGTGTTCTAGGACCATTAACGCCTGGAAGCTTACTCCAAGGGGGTCTCACTCCTGGAGGCCTGCAACATGGCTCTATGACGCCAGGTATGTATAATGTACACAGATCATCATGGTAGGTAATTTAACTCTCTATACTTATATATTTTAACGAAAAGTGAAACAAATGAATGAAGCCTTCCACTTTATGGTCCTTTGAGCCGGACTATATATATAAAACGTTAAAAATTTTAGTTATTATATACAGGAATTGTCCGATAAATAGAATGGTAATGAGATGTCAAAGTTTTGTGAGATTTTGTATGAAGATTTATATCTGATCCACATTTTAGTTTATATTTCAAGGCACTAAAGGATTTTCGAATATTAATCGTAACAGTTAGTATATATTTCATTACAATATAATAACAATATGAATAAAAAATAGTTTTATTTAATGAGTGTTGGATGGTGATTTTAACAAAATTGGGTTTGTTTACCTTCATATTAAATTGTTGGTATAGAGGTAGTTGGTTATAGTTGGTATATCTTATTAGAGATAAGCTCGCCTTTGTACATTATATTTCAAATGAATTATGATTAACATTATATTTTGTGTACAATAAAGAATAAGAATAAAACAAAAAATACCGGAACATTATTAAAACATATTTTGTATGTATTTGGTAGGTGGGTTAGCACACGGAGGCATGACTCCGGCAGGACTCCAACACGGGGAGGGCCAACCAATGGATTTAGGGTTGGCAGCGAGCGGTATGACGCCGGCTGGATTGCACCATGGAGGTAAATTATTTAAATTTGTTTATTGTCCGTGTTTCATAGTATCTTAACCCTTGCAGTTTAAATTAGGTAATCATGAAATTGAGGATTGAAGTCTTTTAAATGGATAATAATGGAATGGTAACCTCGTTTGCTTTAACGGTATACGTACCGCCAGTACGGGGTATATATTTATTATTATTAATTTATTATACAGGTGTACTGTTGGCAATACGGCTACTAATCCCTATTATTAACAATCTCTTCTCCCCCGGACTAAAGTATTGTGCCCCCGTACTCTTTTGAAAAAAAAATTGCCTGTAATTTTTAAATATAAATTTTATATAAGAAACTTGAATAAAAATCTAGGGGGAATCCAAATAGGGTTATTTGAACTTATTTGGGGTAAAACATTAGCAGGTAAGTATATCTGTGTTACGTGTTGTTGCAGGTATGACTCCTGGCGATATGAGCGGTATTGGTGGCATGACACCCGCGTTGGGGCTGGACAGCATGACACCGGGCGGCCTGCAGCACGGAGGTCTCACACCTGCCGCCCTGCATCATGGGGGCATGACACCAGGTAATTACAATTGCTTATACGATTTGTAATTTAAAATAATTAAACCATCAACTATTTTTATAATTTATCTCATGCAATATATATATATAGTTTCAGGGATAAATTCTTATTATCTGCCTAATTGTTTATTATAAATACTTACTGTTTTAATTGCCATATTACGCATTTGTGTGTAAGGTAGTTTCAATAAATGCTTCTTTGTCAATCATATCAGTTATTTTTTAAATATATTATCCAGGCGGTTTGGACCACGGTGGTATGACACCAGGTGGTTTACAACACGGCGGCATGACGCCCGCGGGTTTACAGCATGGAGGTATGACCCCGGTGGGCTTACAACACGGCGGTATGACTCCAGCGGGGCTCCAACATGGCGGCATGACACCAGCTGGGCTACAACATGGTGGCATGACCCCATCCGGTTTGTACACTTTTTTTTTTAAATATAGAGAGCTTAGACATGAGACAATTGGTTCTATATCTATATGATTACAATATTGCTCGCTTATGACATTAAAATGATACATCCCATATTTCATTCTATTTCATACATGAGGAATGGAAAAAAAATTAGAAATGGAATCATTCTTACAATATTATTCTTTATAATGTCATACAATTTTATTTCTCTGATTACTCCATTAGAGATTTTAGTTATAGTTAAAAGTTAGTCATTTTAGTTAGTAAGCATATATTTAAATTATTTTTTTAATTTTTTACATTGTGATTTAAAATCCAAGGAAAATTTTAGTTAATTGTATAAAAAATATTATTATTCATATCAACCTTTAACTGTCCAACATAACCATATATGCTACCATATATATACTGCTGAACATAACCATATATGCATAACATATGCATTTATAATTATATTATTTACTTAATACATTTTTATTACTATATTTTCGGTTTAAGATTTGTAATAATGTTATGTTTTATTAATAATAATCTATGATATGGGAACAAATTTATAAAGAAATTTGTTAAAGTTATAAGCATAGCCCTCTATTATGTTATGTAATACGACAGTAGTGTCTATAGTCAGAAATGGACCAGAAACTTTGTAAAAATTTCAATGCCGAGAGTTGTGTATAATTGGTGTTATCAGGTGTCCAGCACGGTGCGTTGCTGCAGCATAGCATGGAACAGCTACCGATGATGCCGCAGCTGGGCGCCGGCGAGCAGCTGCAGCCCACGCATGTGCCCATGGAGCCGCTCATACCGCTCGACGAGCACGCAGACTACCAGGTACACTTGTCACACTATTATGTTTTTTGCCTATTTTCTTACAACACAGGGTAGCCGGAGAGAAGGGTTTGTTAGTAATGCGAACTACCAGTCCCATTGTTAGCAATATATTAAGTCCATGTGTTCCCATCTGGAAACCATTGTGCTGAATTTCAGGTGCATTCATGACAATATGCTAACTGACCTTTCTATTTACCATCGCGCTCGCCGGGTTACCGTTCCATTATCATACATTGAAAAAAAAAAACACAGGTAGCTTAGCTTTTTTTAATTGATGATAATGAAATGGTAACCCCGGTATACACCGGCAGGGCACCAGTGAGGGATGATAGGTGAGGATGAGGTAGGTCAGTTAGCCCATCGTGACGAATTTAACGAGAATTGTTCACGATGGTTTCCAGGGGGAACCACGTGGAGGTCGACCTAGTAAGGCATATTGCTAGCAATAGGGTTGTCGAACTCCATTGCTAACAATTCCTTTCCCTCCAGGTAGTTTAGCTTATAGGGACTAAGTGATTGGTGTGATAATCTCGCATTTATTACTACAATAGAGAAAATTAAATGGATACTGCACCTGCGATATTGGTTTATATCGGTGGGGTATGTGAAGATGTAGTCAAACCAGTTGGTCCTTATAATGAATTGGCCAAGACGATGTTTACAAGATAACAAGTTTTAAGGGGAACCTTCATTATACACAAAGGCATGTGACTTGTTATATCAGATGATTGCTTGACGAAGCAAGTGACACATTTTTAAATAATTCAAATATGAATTTGAAAATTCAAAGATGTAGGCTGGTATTTGATCATCTTCATTGCTATAAGTTAACAAAAAAATAAATTTAATTCTTTAATTTCAGACTGGAATGCAAATGACGAATTTAGGGTACGACGATCAGCAAGGGCATCACAGTCCGCCTCACGACTACGATCTTCCACTCACACCTGAAAATGTAAGTAGTGAATTCTATAATTTTTAAAAAGTAATTTTGCTGTTTATATACTTGACAATTCTGATTTTGATAACCCTTGCCAAACAATAGGGTTTACGTCCGTGTCGGTTTTTTTTTTGGTGGATGCAAATGGAATGGTAACTCCGCCTGCGCTAACGGGATACGTGGGCGGAGCACCAGTGAAGGATGATCGATGAGAATGAAAACAGGCCAGTTAGCCCATCATGATGAATTCATCAGGAATTAACCATGATAGTTTCCAGGGGGAACCACGAGGAGGTCGACCTGGTTGGGTATATAGCTAGCAATGGGATTTTTAGTCTCTATTACTAACAATCCCTTTCCCCTCCCGGCGGTTCTGTGTTAATTTAGTTAACATGAATGATGTATATTATGCAGGCGGAGGAGGGCGAGCGCGAAGCGGGTGAGACGGATGAACAGTTCGAGGAGCGTGTACTGAACCGTCGCGCGGCACAGCTGTTCGCTGCTATGAGGCCCAAGCTCGCCGCCGGGCTGCAGCTCTCCTTTACGGACCTCGCGCCTAGCCACAACAACAGGAAGCAGGTCAGTGTTTTAACATGTTTTTATTTTTAAGCAATTAAAAAAAAGTTTTGATAGGATTTACTCCTGTTTCATTTTAAAATTGTCATGTTTGCCTTTTTTTATTTGCGAAACAAAATCTATACTTAAACACGCAATATTATTTTAGATATCTATGAAACACGTCTTTGTAGAATATTTATGAAATATTTCATCATTTATTATTTTTGTGGAACAATATACACTGTCTGTAACACTAGAAGTAATATAGATTTTATACTGGATTCCCTATTGATATGAAACTTATAAATATGATACAAACTTTTGCATTCATCGAGCTGTGAATAATTATACATGTAGTATTGCTACGCGATAGATCCGTGATGAACACAGTAGAACTAGCTCAAATATTCACTTTCTTCTAATTTATTTAATGTATAAAATTTTTTAAACTTGGCAACCAATGTAACAAAAAAATCTAACTACAGTATTTCTTTTTTATTTGCAGTTGAATGCAAACAAAAAATAAGAATGTCTATTCTGAAATAGTGAATTATTTATAATTATTTTTTTTTCTTCACAGGTGGCGCAAAAGTTTTACAGTTTACTTGTGCTCAAAAAACATCAAGTGTTGAAACTAGAACAGCATGAGACTTATGGACCTATTACTATTACCAAGGGCAATCAGTTTGAAACTGAAGCTATTTAAGTAGTTATATAACGATAGAAAGTTATTTATATTATTTGTAATATAATAACTAGTGTTTCGTGAGCTTAGCGATAGTCAAATCGCTATGCTCGCGAAATACAAACAGAGAGAAATATCAGAATTAGTTTATATAATGTGAGTATGCAGTGTTTAGTTGTAATGTTATGGACTTACGGGACTAGGATGAGCCAAAAATATTGTGTAAGTCATCCTTTTGACTCGAGTTCATTGAAACATTAATTTTTACTTTTAACTTTTGGACCAAATAATGTTACGAGTGTTGATCTCATAAAAACAGATTGTATTGAAGCTATTACAATAGTAATAGCTTTGGCAGTTTTATTGTACTCGAATCAAGAGCGAATGTGCAGTTGTGATTCAGATGTTATGTTCTATCGATGTGACTAGTGGGGAAATGCCTTAATTTGTTTTGCGGTAGGTTAAGTAAGGTTAAACATGCAGTTTTCCATATTATGTATAACATTTGCCTTACATTTGTCCTATTTTGCATATTGTCCTACTACGCCTCAAAAGTCAATAGGGCGTGGATTCGAAGATCCCTTATTCCAAGATAGGAGTAATCTAATTATTATTGTAAAAACGTTATGATAAGTTTTTCATTGTTCTAGTTTTCAGTGGTAATAGAGTAAAATAAGTATTACTATATTGTTACTTTTGAATCCCAAAATTATGTAAGCATGTTTTTTGGTACTAATGATGTGTAGAAGTAAAATTATGTTATGGCTTATACATATTTATGAAAATGTATTTCTTCTCAAGGAAGTGTAGACATTCAATCTTATTTTATTGTGCCTTGATACATTTATTTTAATATTTACAAATTTGACATTACGGCAAATCATTGACATGTAACAAGTAATTTAGATAAAGATCTACAACAAATGTAAAAGTACCTCTAATACATATATATTGCTTTTATATAAAAATGTGGAGATCCCTTGTATTTCGTATGTGTATCAATTCTGTTAGCAGCGCCGTCATGTGCATGTCAATTTTAATTGGTGCTGTATTGCACTTGTAGAGCTAAACGATTGTGGTTGTCGAAGTGGAGAAAGCTCTTATAAATACAGATTATCGATAAAATTTTATTGTCATGAAGCCTATTTATTTATATTAGAAACTGATCATGATAAAAATATACACAATGTATTTTTCATATCACATTCGTATGCGAATAGCAGGATATAACATTGTTAACATGTTGCATTAATATTTCACAAATTTCTGTGAAAATTTAGTGATAATTAGACACCAAATAAGTAATTCAATATTAATATAAGAAAAACAGCAATCATATTTACTACATTTTATACGTGGCGAATAGATGTGTGAATGGTTCTAGTTTTTACATTTCTTTGAGAACTTCATATATTACGATGATGAGTTATTTAATTTGCAAAGTGAGTACAAACCGATGAATTTTTGGAATTTATTCATTTTGTTATACATTGAGTCAGTATCGTTTAAAAAAAATATAAATAAAGCATTAAGAATGCCTGAATACTGTTCGGCAAAGTAAAACACCTTAAATATTTTGTAAAACAGAATTTAAGAGTTTACCTCTAGGAACAAAAGAATTGATATTTCTTTTTTCTTTCGAGAGGTATTCGCTTAGATGCTTTTCATTAAAAAAAAAAAAAAAAAAATTGCAATAAATTTGTTGATAATACAAATTGTTTTTATTCCTAGTACCGTCTCAGAGTACGGAATATTTGTATAGGAGCTGCAGTGAGTGGCAGTTGTACGAGGGCAGATTGATAAGTTGGGTAAAAATGAAGTGCTAATACTAGTACATGAGTTACATAATGTTTGGACAGGTCATTGTTTTGAGAAAAAATATACGAAATTTTATACTGATATTTGAAGTATGCTTTAGTCAGCCATTTAGATTGGATAAGTTCTTTGGCGAATTTAAAAGGAAAAAAATAAATTAATTTTGAAAATTGATAAACATTACTTTTTAAGCAAAAAAAATAAAACCATCACGGGAATGAAAAATTTTGATAAGTATTACGATGAATCTTCTCCGTCATAAGTAGTTTATTTCGTTTCGTTGTGGCAGAACAAGCGTGGAAGACGCTCCTCGGTCAGGACGTCCAATTCAGGTAACCACTCTAGAAATAATCATGAAAATCCACGTCTTATTTGGAAATCGACAAATGAAGTCAACACTGTAAGCATATGAACGAGTTTTCAACATATGGAATGAACATTTAAAACTTTTGGCAAGATGGGTGCCGCGTTTGTTGATAATTTAATAAAAATATGAAAGAATGATACTCCCAGGCTACTTTGCAGCTGTTTGAATGAAACCCGGATGAATTTTTGCGCCATTTTATTACTGTAGATAAAAAAATAATTTTTACACACCAGAGATAAAACAATCTAAGCAGTGGCTGGAAGCCGGTGAGTGTCCTTCGAAGAAGGCCAAGCGGTTCTATTAGCAGGTAAAGTTATGACTTCGGTTTTCTGTGATGCACAAGGTACAATCCTAATTGATTTTATCCAAAAAGGGAAGACAATAAATGGAAAATATTATGCTACACTCTTAGGCCAGTTGAATTAAAAAATCAAAACAAAACAGCCTTATCTTGTCATGAAGAAAATCTTGTTTCACCACGATAGTGTTCCTTGCCCACTCGTCCACCATTGCAACGGCAAAGTTACGTCCCAAAATAAGCATTTTGGGACATAACTTCATATTCATTCATAACTGGGAAAAATATGATGGATGCGGAATCCCGAATCCATCATATTTTTCTGACCTAGGTCCGAGTGATTTATTGCTTTTTCCAGTCATGAAAAAATGGCTCTGAATACAAAGGTTTAAAGGTTATCTCCAAAACTACAGCGTATTTTTTTTTATAGGTGATAATGAAATAGTAACCCCACCCGCGCTATCGGTATACGCTGATAGGGCACCAGTGAAGGATGATAGACGAGGATGAAACAGGTCAGTTAGCCTATCGTGACGAATTCAACGAGAATTGTTCACGATGGTTTTCAGGGGGAACCACGCGGAGGTTGACCTGATAGGACCAACCAGTTTACCAGAGGGAGACTTTGTACAAAAGTCGATTGCTTGGGTACCTCTGTCCCATTCGTGTTTCAACCGTGAAGCAGTTGTGTTTGCATGGCTGTGTTTCGGTTTGAAGGGTGGGATATGGCGTGAATTTACTGGGTACAGAGGAATAACACCTGAGTCCTCAGGAATGGCAACGCATGGGGGGTATCATGGGCGAAACAGTATACTCTGTTATGTCCATGGTACTGCTCATGTCTATAGGCGACGGATACCACTTTCCATCAGGTGGGCCGTCAGCTTGTTTGCCATTCTAAGTTCTATAAAAAAAAAAAAAAAAAAAAAAAAAACATATTGTTAGCAATGGGGCTGTCAAACTCCATTGCTAACAATCCCTTCCCCCCTAACTACAGCGTATTTTGGGGGCCTTGGTAAAGTTAACTACAAAGAGGGATCAAAAACTCCGGCATCGTTTAATCAAGTGTATAGCTCTAAAACGAGTTTACGTTAAAATATTACTTATTTAAACCAGACTTATCAATCCACCCGCGTATATCACAGAATTTACATAACTCCTTTGATAACTCCATTAGGACAATTTTGTTTTTATTTCAGGTATAGTCCGCTGTTAATTTTAATGAAACTTGTCTAAATATGTACAAAATATAACACACTTTACCGGGTTTCAATTACCAGTGGAGGGTTGCTAGGTGAAAATAGGTAGGAAAATTTTGGCAATTTCCCTCATCATTTACATTATTCACAAACGGAAATTTATTCTGTTTGTCTAAATGATACCACATGGTTGCCTATAAAAAAGAAGTTACAGGATGGAATGGAATGGGATGAATGTGCTAGTAATTATGGGGAATTAATTCTTTTTGATAAATACTATACTACCGATAAAAAAATAGTTTATATTTTTTCTACACGGTAACATAAGATTGCGACTATAAAAAATGGGGCAAATAAGGGTAGTAATCTTAACAATTTTAGTCTTAGGTTACAGGGAACAGCAAACCATTATATGTGTAGAATAAATTATATGAAACTGAGGCGGTGAAAATGATGCAGTTATTTATTTATAGCCGATTAAAACTTATACTGTTAATTTTGCCTGTACTGTTGGTATAACATATACGTTGACGAGGAATCAAAGATGGATGATAGGAGAGAATGAGGAGAGGTCAGTTGGTAAATCGTATCGATGTAACCGTATTGGTTTTCAGCCAGCCTTGCACTACATGCGTTCATATTACGGCTCTTATTCTCACGTCCTTAGAATCTTTTCTCTTGCTTATCAAGGTCTTATGCTATTCAAAACCGCCTGTCATTGTACACATTTTTTCTACAATGCTTATTCAAAACCATATCAAAATTTTAATTATACTGAAAAAAAGTTTATTTTATTTCCTAAACTGTGCACCTTCCGATTCCTTACGACACCTGGCAGGTACTTTTACTTATTGTAATCTGTAATTTTTTTCCCATAATTTACAATGAATCAACTAAATCATGATAGATTTTTAAGCTTACAGAAAAAGTTTTTATATCTTATTTTACAAATTTCTAGACTTACAGAAAAACTGTTACTCAAAGGGTTCAGTAGTTCTTGGACTATAATTTTGATTTATTAATGCTTAAAAACAATCTAGTAAAATAAAGTTTGACCTAAATTGCGAGAACGCATTTTAAAGATGACAATATTACTTTTAAAATGTGTGTAAGTATAATGAGTTTTTAATAGTCATATCCATTAAAATCAATTATGTCTGATTGTACTTTACGTTAAAGATGTACGTACATTTCAATATAATTTTTTGTCAATGTGGTAAAAAAATGTAGTCTTGACGCATGGCTGCGTTCGCCGCGATAAGATTGGCGTGAATGAAAATAGAAATAAATAATTTCATGGTCATAAATTAGTCCACGGGGTGGACTCCTCGACCTTTCTTCACATCGATCTATTAAAACTTAGATAAGGTTGTGTAACAAATTACACAATATATGGAAAACTTCCGTATATACTGAGGAAAATTTATAATCTGGGGTATCATTGAACTTTTCACTGTTGCGAAATGTCTAAAATATATTCCGCATCATGGAGAATTTTACTGTAGCACGTGCTTATTCGATGCTGAGAACCCTACACAATATTTTGTTTTGCCGATTAGTTGATTTTGACTTCCCAACTCAATCACTAAATATCGTGCGGTAGCAGTTTCACAATTTCGTTCATACTTACACTTACCATCTTATTTTTGGTCTTTCTTCAGAATATCGATTTGATCAATGTATAACCACGCCTATTCGGGGGAAAGGGATTGTTAGAAATGGGGTCTAACAGTTCTATTGCTAGCAATGTATCCCTATCAGGTCGATTTTCACGCGGTCCCCTCTGGTAACCATGCTTAATTCTTCATGATGGTCTAAGTGATCTGCATTCATCCTCACTTATGATCTCCCACTGGTGCGCCGTCAGCGTATACCGATAGCGCAGGCAAGGTCACCATTTCATTATCACAAATAAAAACCATGGCTATTCTTTTGACTTGAAACAGGTTTATCAATTCCACTGTATTCTAAATTGATTTTATGGTTCTTTTTGCAATCAATTTATCACAATAATGACACTAAGACCTCAAACTTGAAAATTAGGAAGTGAGCTTATGCCTCGCCCCAATAAATTACTAACTTGATAGTATTAACTTCTAGCATCTTAAGTACAAAATACATTCCATTTCTATGGGATAGACCCATTAGTGAGAAGTAGATAAGTTTAGGATGATGAACTATAAATGATACTAGGTACCTAATTTTTATTAATTCATAATCTTGAATTCAATCCATAAATTAGTTATAATTGAAGAAATTTATTTTAATACTTTTTGGCATTTGAAAATTACTACCAATCAAGAGTAAATAGATTTGGGTGACACAATAAATGCTCACTGAAATTGGTTTGTATCATTTAATCGCCCTAAAAATGTACAATACAGATGCCGACATTCTCAAACAGGTAAACGCATACACCATATAAAAGTCGATGACAATAAACACGCAAATACAATTGATCACTGGCTCAAAGATATCATCACCGACCCTTAATATTCTGTGTGACTATGATTAACATGATTCATAGTAACATACTACAAATAATTAGGAATAGAAATAACTGTAGCTTTTGTTTAATGTTTACGTACAACATTTTATTTTCAGATATCCTTTATACTACATAATTAAATAAATTGCATTCCAGATGACGCACTGGAAAGTGTAACACATTTTACACATCAGTCCTTGCATCACTATGAGGGTGAGGTTTCCACACAATCGATTCCTCGGCCGTCCACTCCTGATAGTATACACTGAAACCTCGTTATGTGGGATGGCAGTAGTGTTCTTAAAAGTAATTAGTTTAGAAAGCAAACAACAGCAGGAAGGCCATCATAAGACAGAACAGACCCATGGCTTCAGACAGGGCGAAACCCAAGATGGCATATGAGAAGAGCTGTTGCTTGAGGGAGGGGTTCCTGGCATAACCGATGATGAGGGAACCGAACACTGTTCCAATACCCGCTCCTGTAAATAAAATAACATGTATTAGAATTACAGTATATAAAATAAATATAGTATTATATAAATAAATATAAATTTGTAAAACCAAAAAATCTAACTACAAAAAGATAAACCCAGCTCACCTGGTTATGTATAATCTTCTCAGTGTAAAAATGTTAGAAGTGAATATCATTATACATTAAAACATGCAACATAAAAAAATTATAAGATGGATAGCCACAAAAAGTAATATACACTGTACATAAAATCTCAGTATAAAAGGATTGTCTAAAATGCAAATAACATCAGAAATGCAATCATTAAACAAAACAGGCCCATGGCTTCCGATAATGCAAATCCCAAGATGGCATATGAGAATATTTGTTGCTTTAGTGAAGGATTGCGTGCATAGCCAATGATCAGACATCCAAATACTACGCCAATACCAATACCTGTAGGTGACACATAAGCATTTGTTATAAAGCAGTGTTAGCTTTCAATGTTTGGTGCTTCTCTTAGAAGTTTCAGAGATACAAAAGAAAAGAGGATGGCATATTAGTAAGTGTTAATGAAATGTTAGTAGATGACTGATATCACATAACCTAACACATAATGTTATAAATTTTGTTTTGTATCTCTCGAGCACTTAACTGCTTTGAAATGTATAAAAAGAATAAGATGTGTATAGGAAATTTAAAATCAATAACATGATTGCATAACATGTATATTGCAGCAAAGAGTTATATCAAATATAATATTACTTTTATTATTCACTTGATTCTATATTCTTATAATTCAGTTACATAGAAACATTAATTTCAAATCAGTTAAGAATGAGGTTAAAGTTCAGGAATATGCAGACATTGACAGTTAATTAATCTACTGCAAGACAAATTAACAGAACACAAACAATATTCAGTAATGATGTAGGATCCTTACCAGAACCAGCTACTCCCACTGTCGCTGCACCAGCACCAATAAATTTGGCAGCAGAGTCAATATCCTTAGTGACCGATGTGGTCTGGAAGGTGCGTACAGCTGATATTTGGGCTGGAGCCACGGGCACAATCTGTGTCTGTGTGGGGACTGCTGCAAGTGGCCTCACCAAGGCTGTGTTGCTGAAGATCTGCAAGTATAGTTTAAATTTTCTGAGTTACATTTTCCTAATTTCTAGGCCCTATATAGGTTACACCCAAAAATCAATAACTATCAATTTTATGATTTAAAAATGTTTAAGATACAATAAAAAAGGGTTTTATTGATTGTCCTATGACCTATAAAGTAATCTATAGTGGTTATCATTAGTACTTGATTATGTCATTATATAATAGGCAAGTTGAAGGTTGGGCGTGAGATTTTAGAAAAACTGTTATTTTATTAAATAGGAACTGAATTGGTTACAGAAATATACCGGTAATAAACCTATTTCATATAACAAACAAGGTCAAATATTAAAAATGTCATTTTCAAAAAACAAGTCCATTAAAAGGCGATATTATTTTTCTAGTAGGTATTTCTTGTACCGAAATCAAAGTTTTAAAAGAATTTACTAAATAATAGTATTTAAGAGAATACTTACAGCAGACCTGGCTGCAGGGGCGATCAGTCTGGCGGCAGACAGCATTTTGTGTTAGTTTAGGTGCGGCGAGCGACAACTGAAAGAAACCGTATCACAGATCAGTAATAGATCAGGCAACGTTCACGGGTCCACCGCTCAAGTAATACTGGGTTCGAATAACCGAGAGGACTTGTCAGTTTGACCGACGAACTGCAGAACGTTACGTAATTTTCAGAGACTACGTAACATTGATTGAGATCCGTAGATTAAACACTAGTAAACGATATAGTAATTGGAAATTCTCTGCGTATACCAATTAAAGATGGATTAAGGCGTATATAACCAAGGAATAAGATAAATAAGCGACAACGGAAAATGGCCGATTCGGCAAATGACTGAAACGAACATAGAACAATTTTTCTTTATGACAATTTACGAACTCACATATAAATAGTTACACTATCACTCACTAAAAAGCGGTTTGTAACGATTTTAACACTTTATATTCCGCGATGGCTTATAATTTTAACACTTTTCCACGATTAGATTTCTATCCGAATTTATACCGCACTTACCAAAGAACACCGAGTAGGAGGAGACCGGCCTTTGGAATGTTCAATTTCTGAGTAGTGAAGTGAAACAGAACACAAATCCGAAATCACTATTGGTTGATAAGGTGGAGAGTTCCGCTCGGTGCAGCCAACTATCGATCAGTCTGCGCGAGTGACAGTTATAACAAATACTTTTAAAAATAATTTGTCTATTTATAGGTATTACATGAAAATAAATATTTCAAAAATATTTAATAATATAAATATACTTTTTACATTTTAGAGTATTGGATACAGTTTCTTAAATTAATAAATAATATATCGGTCATCGTTATTGGGTACAGTCTTGTGATTGACTAGTGGACTATCCTTGTACGACATGGCCGTCTTCATGATAAACATCTGTAAATTTAATGGCTGTGGCATAACATTTCCAAGACTATCGGACTTAATTGAGCACATCGAAGACGTTCATATAGGTAAATATCAAAGAATGTATTTAAAATCTCTCCATAATTGTTATTTTGTATTTGTAATATAATCTACGACCCTGCCATTTGGTACGTCTTATCAGTGCGTTAATGTTGTCAACATTGAAGTGTAATTGTATTGGGAATTTGATTAATTTGCGGGAAAATAACAGTCAAGAAAATTAATTATTAAAAAATACCTAATATGTATTATAGTTAAACATATAATACCTATATTCTATTACATACATCGTAATTTATTTACTACTATTATAAAAACTACAAGCGTAGTACTTGTAAACAAACAATGAACAGCTGATTCTAACATTTTGTGTTTTTTTTTTTGTAGATTATGATCCAGCTGTAGTTGAACAGAAAGAAGCTTCACAACCAGCATGTATCCCTTTGAGTTATGTTCTACGGTTTTTCACGGAAGCCTCCAGGCGAGAGATTCAAAATCTGCCCCCTGCGTCGGATGTTCGCCGACGTCTTCTATCAGCACCAAATACACCGTCAGTTCGTAGCAGCACTCCCACAGGTATTTTTTTAAGTTCAAGCTTTATTCACGTTATGGAAGTACTTATAATGCTATTAGTACATATCTACCATGTAATCTCTGGAGGAAGGGAATGATAGTCCCCATTACTACCAATATATTCAGTTACATTTATGTGGGAGTTCCACGATCTCGAAATTATTATGACAAATCTACTGAATTTGTAATGATGAGCCTATAGCTGACTTCAGGTTTCATTCTCATTAGTACCCCTTCAGTTTATACTGAGAGCATAGCTGGCCTTGCCCTTCTAATTTCATCTTGTAAAAAAAAATATTCCTATTTGTAAGTTAATATTTCTTGAGGTATATTTTGTGATACCTGGGTGATGTTGCATCTACCTACATCTCAAGGTTTCATGTAAACTTTATAATTGCTACAATAGATTCTCTATTCCATATACATGAATTGTATGTTATCTTTTACCTTTATATATAATAAAATCTAATTTTAACGACTCCCTAAACAAGTATCTAGTAATTCTAATATAGATTAAGTGTTTATATTAGAATTATGATCTATGCAGTGCAATATTGAATATAGTATAGTATAGTTTAAAAACTTAGCCCCCAGAATTATGTGATAATACACAGCATTCAGCCTCTGAAAGTTTTGGCCAGCAGTTAAGAAAAAAACTTGGCAATACACCCCACATTTTTTCATATTCATGTTTTTCATCCTGAGAACACATAGCTTTAAAACATTATTACTGATTTTTTTATTATTTTATTATTCCATTTTCTTTATATTGTTCACATAAATGTCTTATAATGAGAATGTCTAAAAATATGCAAAAATCAAATATTATTTCAGGCAGTGAGATGGATGAAGATGAGTTGGTTAGTCCCTCTGAGGATAGTAACGACTCATGGACTACAGTTGAGGAATACAGTTCGGAGTATATTCTCAGATATGGTGTCAAGTATGTATATCTATACACATATATTGTGATCTATTCCTACATATAAAAATCTGTTTATAGCTTAATTAAAATAGCAGATATTATATGGAATAACAAAATATTTTACCTTGTAATGTTTCATATAAAAAATGACTATTAGTTAAATTACTATTATATTATAGGATGTTTGTTGTTTGTAATTGTGTTGTTTATTTAAAAAACGCGAAAAATTAAAATTAAATTTTGTAGCAATATCTTTGGTGGGGTTTTATTAAAAGGATGATGGTGGAATGGTAACCCTATATGTACTAGTGAGGCACCAGTGAGGGATTATAGGGGAAGATGAGCAGGTAAATTTGTCCATTATGATAAATTCATCAAGAATTAACCACAATGATTTTCAGGGGGGACTGCATGAAAGATGTTTGCAACAAAGACTTCAAATCCTTTTCTCTACCGGTGGTGGGGTTATATATCAGACAATTATTCTCATCTATAACAATAACTAAAAAAGAATTAAATTTTTTCAGAATGAATGCGAGTGCTTCGTCCGGTGCATTGGGTCCTGCCGCCCAGGAGAAACCTTTTGCTTGCCCGGTACCGGGCTGCAAGAAGAGATACAAAAATGTAAATGGTATTAAATACCACTCGAAAAATGGACACAAGAAAGATGGAAAGTTAGTATTTTTTTAATTCTTAAAATAGATTTCTGTTTATTATTTTAAATTCTAAGACAGCAGTTAATTTAAATAACATTATAGATCAAAATGAGTCTAAATAGTTCAAAACCAGTTAAGCACTTGCTTTTTAATGGGATCAAAAAGGAATGGTAACCATGCCTGTGCTATCAGTATGAGCTAGCGGGTTACGAGAAATCAATGATAGAAAAGGATGAAGTTAGCTCATTGTGACGTATTTATCAGGATTTAACTACGACGGTTTCCATGTGGATAGCATAAGGGTTTGACCTGACATGATATGTATATTGCTAGTAATGAAGCTCTGGTAGTAGGTTTCCGTGACTTGTCTAAGAAGCAGGTAAACATGGTGATGCTATTTACCTACTTCTATCGTTTTTACCTATTTTTATAATATCTAAGGGTCACAGGCGAGAGAGAAAGCGGCTAGGTGACACGCACTGAGGGTGTGGGCGTCCAGATTATTTATTTATTTGATGTTGCGCCTCCGAGGACATTTAAGCGCTATATATTTATTATACAAATTTTAATCCTATTCTAAAGTAGTTAAAGTCAACTTTAAATCGATAATGGATTAGTTTCTTCACTACTGTTTTCGTCTGATTTAACTGAATTAGTAATACACGTGGAAAGGGTAAAACTGCCGGTGCAGTTTCTAATGTAGAAAAATCACAATTTAGTTCTTAGCTTAAACTGACAATAGGCATATTTGTGTTTTCAAAATGCCTATATGTAATTGTTCTCGTCTATATGTGAACCCATTTTCCATCTTGTGGGCGATCAACTAGTTGGCGGTTTGCCCAGTAGTATAAAAAAAATGGAGATGGATTTCTGTACTAGTGATTATATTTTTACATTTAGAAAATATCCAATGCTGCCAACTGCTGGCCATTACAGTAAAAAAAATAATACTGGGCCCAAGAAGCGATTGACTGCGCAAGAATATTTCTGGAAAAAATGGGTATCGCCGCTATTAAGGCTGTGTAATTTGCATCATTATAGTTTCATTAGTTCGTAATTCTTATAGTTCGTAATCGCTATGATAGTGTAAAGTACAATATCATCATTATCAGTTTAGTCGTTAACTATTACCAGATGGAGACTTTGTACAAAAGTCGATTGCTTGGGTACCTCTGTACCATTTGTGTTTCTACTGTGAAGCAGTTGTGTTTACATGGCTGTGTTTCGGTTTGAAGGGTGGGATATGCTGTGAATTTACAGGGTACAGAGGAGTAACACGTAAGTCCTCAGGAATGGCAACGCATGGGGGGTATCATGGACGAAACGGTATACTCTGTTATGTCCATGGTACTGCTCATGTCTATAGGCGACGATTACCATTTTCCATCAGATGGGCCGTCAGCTTGTTTGCCTTTCTAAGTTGTATAAAAAAAACTGTTCACTGCTAATCTTAGGCCTTATCCATAAGGTGTATTCGCCAGCAGTTCCCACGCTTGACAGGTGGGTTTGCAACCGCAGTTAGGCTTGTGGTGATGTTTTAATGCTGTTCATCTCTCGACCATTAAGTTTCCTTAGTCACCTCTTACGACACTCACGGAAAATGTAGGGATGGTCCATTCTACGCTGGCATTACACAGCAATTATAATAGTATAATAAGTATAAGTCAGTAAAATTAGAATAATGTTAGTCAATAAATGTAGTTAGTATAGAGTTATAATAGTTTGACATTTGCAATAAAAGGTACATTTTCATATTTTATTACTCTGCGATTTCTTTCCGATGATCGGATTGTTTCGATAGATCGTGATAAAAAGTAACCTTTGTCCTTGTCCGTTCTATGTAGTGCCACAGATATATATATATATATATATATATATATATATATATATATATATATATATATATATATATATATATATATATATATATATATATATATATATATATACTATGGGTGATAATGGTATGGTAACCCCGCCTGCGCTATTGGTATACACTGGCGGGGAACCAGTAATAGATGACTGATGAGGATGAAAGCAGGTCAATTAGTCCATCCTAACGAATTCTACTAGAATTCGCCACGATGGTTTCCAGGGGGAACCACGTGGAGGTCGACCTGACAGGGTATATTGCTAGTAATGGGACTACTTGACCCCATTACTAACAATCCCTTTCCCCCCTGTACTGTGTATCTGTCTCATGACAATTGTTTGAAACGTTAAGGCTTCAAAGGTAATAAACAAATTAACTTACATATTTATAATATTAATAAGGATATACATTCTGTTAGTTATGTTGTATGACAAATAAGAAGTATTTAGCTTTTTGGTAGTTTTAATAATAATTTTTTGGGTATCCTACAAATGCGTAACTCACTGTCCGTATCATACATTCGCGATGCTGCTTCTACACTTTGCTCATAACACAACCTAATAAATTACTTTTCCTTTGTATTATATATATTTTTTTTTATATTTACAGGGTAAAAAAGGCTTACAAATGCCAATGCGGCAAAAGTTACAAAACGGCACAAGGGCTTAAGAGTCATTCGATATCACAGCACATAGCGCAGCCAAGTGCGGCGCCGCGGATGCCTGGACTCGTGGTCACAGCGTCCCCCGCCCACTCCCTCACTTCTCTAGGCAGCTTGGGCACCCTGGGTACGATCGACGGGAACAAACTGGTCCGTATATACGACTCCATCAAGACAAAACACCTGCCCTCCTTCACTATACCGAAGCACACTCTCACTAGTCTAAATATCGTCAGTGCTAACCAGGCGCGACCTTCGGGACCCCACACGCCCACTTCCACCCCCGGCTCCAGTCCGATCGACAAGCTTAAGCTCGGCTCGCCAAAGGTGACGGTCCAAAACACGCAGCCTCTCACGCCACTTACACCCTCTTACGGTGGTGAAGTATCCAATTGATTTTCTTCATAAACTCTATAAAAATGTAACTGGCACCGCAGAGGCTAAGCACGTACGAAACGAATTTAAACTCATTAGTCTAGTTATCATACAGTTCCTAAAAAAGTTAAAAAAAAAAACTTTTTTAAATTTTTATTTATTTCTCATGTTCATATTTCGTTATCACTCATTATATGAAGGTGTGTGCACCTGCTTGCGTGCGTGTTATATAAATATAATTATTTAATTCATTATACGTATTAGTATAATACATTATTTGCACAATATTTGTATTTAATATCGCACCTTCATCTAACGAGATTAATAAGGTACAAACATTTCGTTTGTTGAAAATTTGTTTTTAAGATTTTAAAGCAAACGAGGATCTATGATCGTTCATGATTAAATAATGGAAGCTCAGGAAATAACTATTATGTGCCTAAATAAAGCGATTTCTTTCGTACTAAAGACGAAATTGAATTGTAGAAATATGGCCTGTCAATTTCCGAGTTTATTATTTATTTATTATCAGTCAAAAGACAATTTTTATTGTACTGCGCCAAGTCTGAATTTTATTAATTTATTTAAAACAATTCACGTCTTCCCTACATCGATGTCACAACACTGTGATTTTTATCAAACGATTTTGATTTCTATGAATATTCTAATAGGTGTCAAAACCATTTGACTATATATGCGTAGGGCATTAGCATGTATAATGAATGATATAATCATTTATCTCTTTGTGCCATTAATTCTAATGTTTGTGTACTTAATTTATATTTCACGCAGTAGCTTCATAATGTTAAAATTATTTATTATAATTATGGACATCTGCAAGATGTTAGATTTTTATAATTAATATAATAAAAATAAATAAAAAATAGCATTTGCTGTAAGTATGGTTTGAAGCTAGGTTATAAATAACATACTCATAAATGTGATATAATACTTAGAAAAAGTAAAAAAAAAAGCTTGTAAGCGTACACTTATTTAACATAATATGTAGTTGTAAGGTTTTCGATTGGTAATTTAATGCGAACTGTAGCACATTGTACTGAGTGCGCAATCTAGTAATGGTGCCTTTGTTTTAAAATATCATGCCCAAGGTTACAGTCAAACTGGCGTAGGGCGCGAAATATTTGTGAATGGAAACAATTAATTGAAATTAGCTATGGATGTTGTTTTGTATGTGTATAGCTTAAACATAAAAAATAATATTGAAAATCAATGAAAAATATTATGAAGAAATATTTAATCACACGTATAAGCCTACAGCCACCATGTTTTACTGACATCGATTTGTTTTGAATTCGGTAAAAAATATACAAAGTTACGTTACTACCAGCGCCGGTTTGACACTAAAACGGCGTGATTAAAGTTTGCTAATTTTATATAGATAATCTAAGATCTGATCTCCTGATTGTCACATAAATATAATACTCGCCAAATAATTTTTATGATAGAACCTCATCACGAACAATGCCATAAATTACGATTTATAATACCAAGTATAACTTATATGGGTCTTGTACTATATATATAATATTTCGTTGGGTAAATTTGGTCAAAAAATTGTCATTGTACAAGTTTATTTTATTTAAATAAATGAATAAATATGGAGGTATGATATATATGATTACGTGATTAATCAGTAAGTATTTAATATTTTCAAACAATACTTGCAAATTGGACCAAAAGCATATTTTCACCCATTTGTTGTACAATTTCGGGTATTATAGATGAGTATATTATAATTTTTTATTATTAGAGGTTTCTGTAGTAAACGTGCATATAATGTGTCCCTCTGGAGATCTTTAAAATGTTTATAAATTGAATATACTATAAGTAAATATTCAATAATTTTAGTGCATTATTCAATGTTCTAAAACTCTTTCACCAGCTTATTCGTAAGTGTATCTTGTGTGTCTAATATATATCTGATGGAGTGATTTTTATTTCATCGATTCTATTGAAATTAACAGAAAATATTTAAAATGAAAAAAAAAAAAATGAGATGAGGTGCTAAGCAGACAAGGGATTTGGCGTATATACGTGAGGCAATGTAGGCTAGTGTGTAGGATATCGGTTCCAAAGGAGAAATTATTTGTAACGATTATAGCTGATAGACGGATACGGTGCTTAACGGGTAAAGTGTGATATTTGGATTAAAATGTAATATTGACTACCAAAGAGAAATGACATTACATGTGATAAGGACTACTGTAATAAGGTCAATATCTATCTATTGTATAAATAGTTATATAAAATGGAAACGGATCTACATAGGGTTTTGAGTTAGCGATTTCATATCAACAACTGTTTACTTAGATATGTAATTTTGTCAGATACTAGTTACACTCATCTCTATAACAGCTTTAATTGGGTATCGATTAGTAAGGCCTCCTTGTTGTGATCTCCTTTTTCGTGTCATATTTATGAAATAATCGTGATTTATTTCTTTAACGAAGTTTTCATAAAATAATTATATGAAAACTTTAATATCAAATAAGAAAAAAAAAATGGATCATTATAATCGAAATGTTCTGATTTTCTGTTAAATTTTGTGGATTTTCATTACTTTAGGTTTTCATAAATAAGAGGAAATAAGATGTTTTTTTTTTTTTTAAGTATATTTATTCTAAAAGTCAGTCTATTGACCAGTGATAATAATATTTATATTTAGCCAAACAGTATACTATGTAATATATTTAGCCGAAGCTATATTCCGAATCGCTCACGAAGAATTAGAAAATAGAATAAGTTAAAAAAATAACAATGTAACTTAAAATTTGGCTAAATCTGCTTTTTAACTGATTAAGAATAATTTTTTTATGGATATATGAAAATACAGGTTATAGTTTCACCACTAAAAATTGTATCTTTACCTAAGAGAAAAGACATATTTTATATATATTAATTGTCTTTATATAATCGTAAATATTAAAGTTTCGTTATTAAAGACTCAAAAATGTTTTGTAAACTCCAGCAAGTAAACTCTTAAATTGCTTTCGTTTAGAAACTGGTTAGAAATTAGAATATGAAATATTTGAAGGCAAAATACAGAGCACCCAGTGACGAGTTAATTTAGGGAAGTGAATTTTATATCAGAATTTATGGTGTCCCTACAATTTATTTCATTTTACTATTGGAGGTCTTGGAATAATTGTTATAGGTGTTAATTTTAGCTCAAGTCTATTTTTTTGCCACCTATTCTATTTTATTATCACAATTGTATCAAATTAATTTTGTACAAACACCACCCGTTGGAAAGTGGTAACCGTGTCTATAGACATGAATAAGCACCATGCACATCATAGAGTTTACTATAATACCTATGGTACCCTACATACTTTGTCATTACTTAGGACTATGGTGTTATGCTTCCGTGCTCTGTAATTAAAATTTTAATTATTCTCAAAATATTATAAGTGCCCGTTTTTTTTTTTTAATATAAGTTGTTTTGTTTAAAAGTTATGATTATTGTTGAATGTTTTTTTTTTATGTTAATTGTTCTTTTCATGGCACACAGTTAAATAATCGATCTGCTATTGGATTTGTAATTCGGTGGATTTTATAAATTAAATTCTGTTTTTATACATAGTAAGTGCCGTAAAAAGGATGATTATTCGGGATTTATTATAATGTAGCTCTTGTTGTTATTGTTCATGATTAAGTAGCTGATATTGTATTTATTTCCTAGTATTTCATTTTGAATATAGTCATTATTTCATTAAGACTGATAGTTGAGAATGTGAAGTGTTGTCATATTTAATTTATAAAGACACATGATATGCTCATTAATGTTGTTACTAAAAATAAATATTATTTCTTTCCAATACGATATTAGAAAATATATAATTTCCAAACTTCATTAACATGCTCTTTCAAATATAAATTAAAAATGTTTTGTAAGTTTAATATGCGTATATATGACTAATATGCAATATTTTAATGTTATTTAAAAAATATTGGCCAGTTTAACGGATTGCTGATAAACTAACATTTTTTTTTAATGTAAATGCCCAAATATATGGTGGATAAAAAGAGTTAAATCCTGTTATTATGGTTTGTTAGTAGGTATTTCACTTGTTTGAGGTCTCTATTAACATGGGTGTAGTTTATATTCCTTTTAAATGTGTGGTTGTCAATTAACTGACCAATTTTCAATGTTGTGTGTAGAACGATAGAAAAAGTTTGGAGGAATTTAAATTGAGGTTGATATTTGTAATGAACGTGGAACGTTTAAGACGGGTTTTAGAGTAGGCCGTTTGTAATTGTCATAACAATATTTATTGCAGCGCAATGTATCTATTACACCTTGTCCATTATGTATTGTTAAATAGAACATGTTTTACTATATATATAATATAACATATTTATACTGATATTATAAATAGATAATACATTCTGTCGCTTTTGAACTAAAACTATTGTACTGTTAAATCGCATTTTCTTTCTTTGTACTTACCCTTTTCCTCTCTTCTCTTTTCTTCTTCCTGACGTTTTACTGGGTCCATCATATTTACTATATATGTGTATGTATTATTTGTAATAATAAATGGTTTATTAATTTATTTATATATTATATTTGATATTCTTATGTAATTTTTGTTTTTTTATTGTATTTATTATTTTATTGTATTTATTAGTTATATAATAATGTAAGTTTTTGTATTTTATGCACGTAAAAATTATTAAATTATTTTTGCGCCACCTACCCACTTCTATCTGTTTTTCTTTAATCAAAGGTTGTCTGTAAGAGATTGCTCTACCGAAAGGACCGTCTTTTGTACCTTTATGTGTATTTTTTATCTATACTTTATGCTATTGTATTTCACTTGAATTTTCTAATTATTATTGTATATTATTGTTTTTGGTGCAATAAAGAGTTAAGTAAAATAAATAAATAAATAAAATAAGTCTACCAAGTAGATTTTAATAAGTGAAAAGCGTTTTAAACGTTTATTTAACTACAAAATTTATATTAGAATTGATAATATGCCCTGTAACTAAGAACGACTATTGTGGATAAGGTGTAGTGGTACTCGTGTCATAATATTTATAAGATTAAAACAAACTTTGTTTGCTGAAACGATGTGATACCAAAATTTGCTGTGGGTGTGCAGTTGTCATCATCATCATTCACAGGTGATAGTTGCCGTGTTTTAGTGCCTGATGCAACGGCCATGTAGGTACAATACCCAATCAAACTGTACCTTGTTTCACTGACATAAGGTTTAGTTTGATTAATTTACGTACATACAAACCGTATACCACATGTTGAACATGAAACTAATTTTTGTAAAGCACAACGGTTGTGAGTAATATGTAGATGTTTGTATTCAATACGCCAGCATACTCGGCTATGTTATGAGATCTTATTTATGTACTCATATTTCGTCTCTTATGGGATATTTTTTTAACAGTGCGTATAATTTTTTTTTATCTAATAATTGTAGGTGTTTTATTAACAGAATTATTAATGAAATATCTACAAATTGTTTCAACTTGTACAGTGTATTAATAATTTATGTGTAATTAGATTTCACTTCATACACTTGCAACGGTGTGACTCATATGTGATTGATTCTATTCGTTTACTGATCATTTATCTTTAGTATTTTAAATAAAAAAAAAAATAATTTTTTAATTAATTTTGAGTTATCATCCATTTTAATTTGTAACGGATGAAGATATATATTTTTATTCGCAGTGTTAGAAAGTCTTGTTAAAATTAAATTAATTAAAAATAAATGTGAAAAGCCTCCGCCATTTAGTTTTAAGTGTAATAACTTTTCCACGCCATATATAACTACAGCTGTTATTCGTAATGTTAACACCTTTAAGTAAAAAACGCGGGATTTTATTTATACCTTTTTTTTTTTTGGTAGTAGTAGTAAAGAATTCGAATTTACAATTTTCTTTTTTTTATAATAGAACTGTAAATTAATAAACAAAGCGCGCCTTTTGATGCTGCTATTGCTTATGGCATTTTAATGTTTTAAAAAGTATCGGTTTATACGCAAAAACCACATACATAAGGACATTTTACTTGTAAACAGCATATTCGAATTCTTATTCAACATTGATGTGTCATATTAATTTCTATGTCAATAATAAATACAACAGCCAGTTTTGTGTTTTATTTCTCTTATATGAATGTATCTAGATAAATTGTTTTACTATATACATTATTTCCAGAACTATATATGAAAATTTATCCTACTACAATTATTATATTCGATTGCTATCTTGTAACCCTATTGCGGTATATAAAAATCGCGATTAAAAAACAGGAGTTGGTCGTAAAAGCGTGAAAATTTGAATTTGTATGTATTTTTCAATGCTAAGTCATAATAAAATAAAAAAAAAAATTGTCAACAAATAAAAATAAAATATTTAGAGGTGGGTCACCCTCATCATTGAGGGGTATGAAAAATAGATGTTGGCCGATTCTCAGACCTACCCGATATGCACACAAAATTTCATAAAAATCGGTAAAGCCGTTTCGGAGGAGTTTGGTAACAAACACAGCGACACAAGAATTTTATATATTAGTAATAATAAAATTTTGCCTAAAATAATCTAATATGCAGGGTGAAATAGAAAACTGTGAGTTCAAACATATTTTTCTAAACATGGATCGAATAACGTAATAGAATTTATGACCTTCCATACGAATTGTGTATGAATACATTATAAGGTTTTAAGGATGTTAAACACATTAATTGATTTTCCTCTATATTATCCCAGTTTTTTTTAATCAATGACAACGGAATGGTATCCCCACCCGCGCTATCGGTATACACCGGCGGGGCACCATTGAAGGATGATAGGTGAGGATGAAGTAGGTCAGTTAGCCCATCGTGACGAATTCAACAAGAATTGTTCACGATGGTTTCCAGGGGGAACCACGTGGAGGTCGACCTAATAAGGCATATTGCTAACAATGGGGCTATCAAACTCCATTGCTAACAATCCCTTTCCCCCAATATGAGCCCGGTTAGGTGTTGCAAATTACAAACATACTAATCATACGTTTATATAATACATTACGTATAGTTAATTACATGATAAAATATATAGTAACGATAATCAATTAATACCCATTGATAAAAACTTTATAACAAGGCGATAGATGTAATTGTGCGTCATTTAATTAACACAAGGTTTAAAATGTTTTTTACCAGAGGGAGACTTTTTTTTTTTTTTTTTTTTACAACACGGGGCAAACGAGCATGCGGCTCACCTGATGGTAAGTGACTACCGCCGCCCATGATCACCCACAACACCAGCGGCATTGCAGGTGTGCTGCCGGCCTTTTAAAAAGGAATATACTCTTTTCTTGAAGGTTATGTTGTCGTATCGGTTCGGAAATACTGCTGCTGGAAGTTGATTCCAAAGAATGGTTGTGCGTGGAAGAAAGTGCCTTGAAAAACGCACGGTGGAAGACCGCCACTCGTCCAGATGATTGGGATGAAACTTTAGTTTGTGGCGGGTTGTACGGTGGTGAAAATCAGCAGCAGGTATCAATCCGAACAATTCCTCAGAACACTCCCCATGATAAATTCGGTAGAAGATGCACAGAGATGCAACATCTCTGCGCAGTTTCAGTGGGTCGAGTCGGACAGTAAGGCGTTGACTATCGATAATTCGAGCCGCCCGACTTTGAATGCGGTCTAACGGAAGGAGTTGGTACTGTGGCGCTCCTGCCCACAGGTGAGAACAGTATTCCATATGCGGCCTGACTTGGGCTTTATATAATTTCAGGCGGTGTTCTGGCATGAAATATCGTCTCACCCTATTGAGTACTCCTAACTTTTTGGAAGCTATCTTAGCCTTCTCCTCCAGATGACCGCAAAACTGGACGTCGCAAGATATATCAACGCCCAGAATTCCTAGACTCGACTTTTTATCAAGGGAAGTGCCCTGAAAGTGAGGAGATTCTTTTTTGCGGTAAACGCGCAGACTTGTGTCTTTTTGGGGTTAAATTGGACAAGATTTTGTTCACCCCAGATCGAAACTTGATGGAGTGAAGTTTCGATTTCAGACACAAGTCTATTCCGGCACTCATCGGTATGTGCCCGCGAGATCTTTGCATGACCGGTATATAATGTATCTCCTGTACTGTCGTCTGCATAGCAATGAATATTACTTATCTGTAACATATCATTGATATGCAGAAGAAACAGAGTCTGAGATAGTACACAGCCTTGCGGGACACCAGCATTCAAAGGTTTTAAATCAGAGCATGCTCCGTCGACTACGACTTTAATGCTACGTTCCTTGAGAAAACTGGCGACCCAAATGCACAGTCTCGCAGGCAACCCAAATGAAGGTAGCTTTGAAAGCAGCGCTCTATGCCACACCCGATCAAAGGCTTTCGCGATATCCAGACTAACTGCTAAGGCCTCTCCCTTACTCTCGATTGCCACTGCCCATCGGTGTGTTAAGTAAGCTAAAAGATCACCAGCCGAACGTCCCTGTCGAAAGCCGTACTGGCGATCACAGATCAGCTGGTGCTCTTCTAGGTACCGGAGCAGTTGACGGTTAATGATGGATTCCATAACCTTCGAGAATAAGGAAGTGATAGCTATGGGCCTATAGTTAGCTGGATCTGAGCGATCTCCCTTTTAGGGATCGGATGCACCAGAGCAGTCTTCCAAAACTTTGGGACTATGCCCGATGAGTAGCTAAGCCGAAAAAGACGCGTAAGAACCGGAGCCAACTCTGGTGCGCACGTCCTAAGCACAATTGGAGGAATACCATCGGGCCCACTCGACTTATGGATTTCGAGGGAGAAAAGTGCTCTACGCACTGAGCTATGCGTGAATTTAATGTCAGGCATAGAGCTCCTACAACACGTGATGGTCGGTGGTGATTTCATCCCGTCATCCAATGTCGAGTTTGACGCAAAGATGGATCCAAGAAGATCGGCCTTTTCCTTAGCGTTCTGGGCCAACGAGTCATCCTCCCTGCGCAATGGTGGAAAAGATGACTTACAGAAATTCCCTTGTGCAGCTTTGGCAAGAGACCAGAAAGCTCGAGTCCCAGAGGGCAAACTAGCCAATCTCTTGCCAATTCTACTGATATGCTCTGACTTCGCTGTGGCTATAACTCTTTTGAAAGACCTAGAGGCAGAGTTATACTTCTTTTTGAGAGCACTGGTGTTAGGATCTCGCGACGCCACACCTTTAGCCCAGGTTAGGAAGCACTCCTGTTTCAGACGAGATGCTGTTCTACAAGAGGCTCCATACCAGGGCTGGGATTTCCCGCCGACGGGCACCACAGAGTTAGGAATAAATAATTCCATTCCCTGAAGCACCACATCAGCAATGGAATCGGCAATGGCGTCAGGATCATCCAGTGTGAAGCAAACCCGCCTCCATGGGTAAGATGCGAAAAAAATCCGCATCTCATCCCAGTCCGCTGACCTGTAGTGCCAGACACGACGTCTACCCGTGGAACGTGGTGGAATCGGACTCATGAGAGGCACCTCGCTCCGCACCAGACTGTGATCCGACGATCCAAGCGGAGCTTCGACGGAAATCACATAGTTGTCTGGGTGGGTGGTCAGCAGAAGGTCCAACAGTGAAGGTGAATGGTCCAACACATCAGGTATTCGCGTAGGCGAGGAAACAAGCTGCGTCAGACCATAAGCCAAAGCAAAGTCATGAACAGATCTTCCCGCATAGTCGGTTGTACGTGAACCAAGCCATTCGGTATGGTGGGCATTAAAATCGCCAAGAATCACGACTTCAGCGTACTGACAGCGTAGAGACTGTACAAAAGTCGATTGCTTGGGTACCTCTGTCCCATTGGTGTTTCAACCGTGAAGCAGTTGTGCTTGCATGGCTGTTTCGGTTTGAAGGGTGGGATATGGCGTGAGTTTACAGGGTACAGAGGAATAACACCTGAGTCGTCAGGAATGGCAACACATGGGGGGTATCATGGGCGAAACAGTACATACTCTGTTATGTCCATGGTACTGCTCATGTCCATAGGCGACGGTTACCACTTTCCATCAGGTGGGCCGTCAGCTTGTTTGCCATTCTAAGTTGTATAAAAAAAAATGTTTAATCGTTTTTAGCTTTGTTTATTAGGTCCAGTTTCATTGGCAGCACACTATCTTATGATAATGATTTCAATCTACTCTGTATGCTATAATACATCCTCAAGATATGGTGCATTTGGCGTAATAGTACTGGAAATCTGTACAAGATAATTACAGTAGAGGAAAAGGGCTTGTTAGTAATGGTGTCTTATGACCTTATTGCTAGCAATATATCCTCTCAGGTCAACCTCCACGCAGTCACCTTTCTAAACCATCGTGGTCAATTCATGATGAATTCGTCACAATGGGCTGATTGATCTTTTTCATGTTTTTCACCTATCATCTCTCACTGGTGCCCTGCCAGCGTGTAACGATAGTTCAGGAGGGGTTACTATTTATTTGTTTATTTAACTCTTTATTGCACCATAAATAAAAATATACAATGACAAGTGAATAATTCAAGTGAAATATAGTAACATAAATACAGATTACATAAATACTATACCACTTCCACCCATAAAAAAAAAAAAACAATTACAGTCTTCAATTTTTTTTATTAAATAATACACATATTTAGTATATTTATTTATTATTATTCTCCGTGCACAGCCAAATGTAGAGTTGCTTTTTGTCTCGTTAGATTCGAGCCTCGGATTTAAAGCGTCATAATGCGTCGAAATACTGTTATATATTTTTGAACGCAGGCCATTTCACAATTTTTTTTTTAATATATATATAAATGTCAATCTTAAATGTTATTATATATTATTTAATTTTATATTTTGGAATCTAGTTGCAATTCAATAGCAAACATAGATCGGTAGCCGGCAGAGCTCCGTTAGAAAATATATATACATTTTACGTGGCTAAAACTATTATTACAAGATATATACAGAGTTATAGGAATATATGTGATTTGATGTATAATTATAATATATAATAATGTGTAATAACTACGCTTACTTCCTAGTTCCTAATTGTTCTATCAGACTAGATATTTTGTCGTGTTTTACTGTTTCTCGTAATGGACACTTGCTCTGAACGAATATTAGTGCGCTTCTATCCTTTTGTTCGAATGCCACTTGTGCTGCATCTTCGTAGAACCTGAAATTATCCAAAATTAGCCATTATCAATTATCAATAAAAAAATCTCTGAAAAAAAAAATAGATTTCAGATATATTTGCAAAATTAGTATGAAACTAATACGGGAATAAATCGTATAATTAAAAAAGAAACAGTAAAAAATAACAGCAGAGTCGAGAGCCTCCTGTTTTCAACTAACTTCAAGAAACGGAGTAGGTTCTCAATTTGTTACTTCATAACTCTCATTTATCAAGCGATTAGCATAATATTTTTTTTGTCTAAAAGGACATACTTTCAGATTGATCCCATTGACAACAATTTCATCAAAATCGGTTCAGTAGTTTGGTTTTTAAATCTGAATAACTTTGCCTGATAAAAGTCAGTGCTTTTTGTTTTGTAAAACGGAATCTATTATTTGAAGTTAGATACTGGGAACGTATAGCATAGACATGCGGGTACGAACACTGTCGAGACCAGAGATTAATTTTACAATTAATTTTAAGATTGTTTATAAGATTGTTATATTTTATAGAAATACCTAAAGTACTGAAAGCTATATTTATTATACAACTCATCTTTCTCTGTCACTTTGACTCAAAAATTTCTAGTAAAAAAACTTACTCTGCTTTTACGTAGTATTTCACTTTTATATCATCTCGGCACTTTGGCAAATACTTCAGGGCCTCATCGTTCTTTCCATGCTTGAGACAGGCGTCCACAAACGGCTCGTAACCGACTGGGGATTTCTTTGACTTCGAGAATCGTTCCAATTCGTCCCAGTCGTTTAGTTTTGCTAGTGTGAGGATACGCAGCCACCAGTACCTGCAGTGTGAATGGGTCTGATTAGATGTATTCATATTTGTTTAGACTCTTACAGTATAAACCAGGGATGGTAAATCTTAATCGGTACGATTGTATGTACCACTATTATTTAAAAAAAAAATCAACATTTATGACTCGAGATACTATTAAATAATGAAAAAAATTAATGCACAAAGAATAAAACAAAATGCAATTTACAAATCGAAATTTGTTATATTTTTTTTTATATTGAATGAAAATGGAGTAGTAACCCCGCCTGCGCTAATGGGATACGCTGGCGGGGCACCAGTGAAGGGTGATCGATGAGGATGAAAACACGCCAGTTAGCCCATCATGATGAATTCATCAGGTATTAATTATGATAGTTTCCAGGGGGAACCGCGAGGAGGTTGACGTGGTTGGATATATTGCTAGCAATGGGATTCTTAGTTTCCATTACTAACCATCCCTTTTCCCCCAAATTTGTTATATTGCTAGTTTATTGGTATGCCCCAATTATTTTGTCGCGTGACATTGGTTTATTGCCCCTCATTATAGACAGAACGGAATAAAAACTTCTCCAAATAATCATAATTTTTGCTTCATTTTTATAATTTGATAGTGGAATGATGATCATTAATTTCTATTTAAGAGCTGCGCTCTTGTCGATGGAATTCTTGTCACTCGTGTTATAACTAGTATAAAATAGGGTGAGAAGGGATTGTTAGTAATGCGGATTATCAGTTCCATTGCTAATAATATACCCTAACAGGTCGACCTCCCCGTGGTCTCCCCTGGAAACCATTGTGTTGAATTCCAAGTGTATTCATCACGATAGGCTAACTGATCTGCCTTTTCATCCTCACCTATCATCTATCACTGGTGCTCCGCCAGCGTATACCGCTAGCACAGGCGGGGTTACCATTTTATTATCATCCATTAAAAAAAATATACTAATATAAATTAAAAACTATTTTAAATGTTCTTAATTTTCTTTTGGAGGAAACAATAAAGAGTATCTATGTATCTATCGATAGCATTAGTAGTTGCTGATATACAAAGCCATGACGGATGGACGAGCAAAGTCGCATTATATAGGGTTCTATGTACCTGTAGTACGGAACCCTAAAAAGAAATAAAACTCTAAGATAATGATTACCTCTTATCCGGCATTTTGTATTCAGAGCGCAGTTTGTCAGCCAATTTCACTTCACCCTGTTCGAGCAACTTCTTGACAGTGTCATGCATCGAGAGCCCAATAAAGCTGGTACCATATGTCTCTTGCAGGCTCGATTGCTGTTTACAAAGCTTCCGCGCATCCTCACAAATTGATGCTCCTGCGGATGTTTGGAACAGAAATAAAATTAAATTACAAAAATATAAAAAAGCGCTATTAAAGAAAATTAGCATGATATCTTCGTAAGAGTAGACTATTAATAACATAAGCCTATTAGGTTTTCTGCCAAAAGTAGAATAATCAAGGATATTGATTTCCAGGCACGATGACCGGGTATAGATTAATTACAAGTATTCTTAATACATTAAAAAGATATAAAGCAACTATCTATGTATCGAGATTTTGCTTGCGAGCATTATATAGAGACATCATTATCTTTAGCTAGTTTTTATCCTAAACCATGAAGTCTATGTACAAAATTTCATTTAAGTGGATGAAATCAAGCATAATATGAGCAATAAACATTTTTATAAACTTTATATTCATAATATTGGCGTTGAATCAGAGGTATTCTAAAATTAAAATTTCAACTTGATATCACAGAGAAATTTTTGTTCTAAGGACTAATATGGAACTAAATTTTTAATAGATTTATAATAAAATTATTATACATTTAAAGTAAGAAAAAATAGTAACTTCGGAATGGCGGGAATTTACTGGGTACAGAGGAATGATATCCGAGTCCTCAGGAATGGCAACGCATGGGGGATATCATGGGCGAAACAGTATACTCTGTTATGTCCATGGTACTGCTCATGTCTATAGGCGACGGTTACCACTTTCCATCAGATGGGCCGTCAGCTTGTTTGCCATTCTAAGTTGTATAAAAAAAAAATTAAATTAAAATATTAGCTTAAGAGACAGGTTTAGAGAAACGACATCTTAGAATCGAGCTCATTGTTAGAGCAAGTACCTAAATCGTTCTTGCCCTTCTTGTAGCACTCCCGGGCGGATATGAGCGATGCTTCCGCGCTGCCCGGGTTGGTTTGCTCGACGGCGTCGCGGATGTGCGTGGCGGCCTGTCCGGGGAAGTCGTCCTCCTGTACGTATACTTTGCGCAGCGCCTCGCGGTTATGGCTCGCGCAGTACTTGATGTATAGCGCATGCGCGAGCGGGAAGTTGCGGATTGTTAGCTGGAATTGACAAACAAATATTATGATGGGTTCGATTCCCCGTCGGACCAATTGGTGCTAGTTATGCAGAAAGTCGCCCTCTTTTATGGGATGTTTATAAGAAATGGCTGTCTACTGTATAGCTAACTCCAAGTTAAGAAAGAAAATTTTCTGAATTTGTTTGGGTGTTCTGGCTCGTGCCCCCCATTTGCTCTAAATAATTATTTATTAGTCAAAATATTTGTTTCTCACTAATACATGATTAAACATCTAAACGAATTTGATAAAAGTTGGTATACTTAAAATATTTTTTAGATATATGCAAACTATATCTAAAAAAATATTTTAATTATTAAATTTTATCTAAAAAAATATTTTAATTATTAAATTTTATTATATATAAGATATAACTAGACTTAAAATTATTATATACTAGTTTTTATCTTTAGCCTCGTCTGCGTCAACGAGACAAAAATTTACCTATATCCTTCTCTATCCCATGTATACCAAATTTTCTAACTTTGTTTCCTATAATTATTAAAATTTGTAGTTTATAAAAAAATAGTACCTCGAATTCATGTTTCCCCATTTTTTCTTTTAGGTGCAACAGAACAATATAAATCAAATCAGTATCCCCACTGGCTGTGGCTTTCTGTAATGCTCTTGGACCTTCACCTAAAGTCAGTAAGAGTGGGACTTGAAGTTTGCTGTATGTTTCATATTCCAGAATCTGTAAAGAAATTATTATTATGAAAAAAGAAAACAAAAATAATTAAACGTTAGATATAATTTGTAACTCGTCAGCAAAAAGCCAACGTCACGCGGTGTTCCCAGGCGGTCACCCATCCAAGTACTGACCGCGCCCGACGTTGCTTAACTTCGGTGATCGGACGAGAACCGGTGTTTTCAACGTGGTATGGACGTTGGCGATAAAGTATTTATAATTATTCACTATATTCAGCCAGTGTGTAATATGAACACGATTTAAATAATAGGAAGAAAAAAAGAACCCAGGAAGCAACATAAAGTATCTATCAAAAAGTTATAATTTTAGTCACACAGCGTGTATATATATATGCTTGTTTAACAATTTTGTGGTATAAAAAAAAAAAAATAAGTATAGCCATCTGATTATGACAAAAATGTCTGGTATTGAAATAAAACAATTTTATATTTGGTAAATTTAGCATAACATGATTCAACTAATAGGGACTAAAAGTTCGTCACAAAAGGTAACTCAACCATTAAAAGCAAAAAGCCAACGTCACGCGGTGTTCCCAGGCGGTCACCCATCCAAGTACTGACCGCGCCCGACGTTGCTTAACTTCGGTGATCAGACGAGAACCGGTGTCTTCAACGTGGTATGGACGTTGGCAATAGAAACTCCAAAATTGTTTATTACATTGGGCTAATATGTCTTGTGTCTAATAATAATTTTATTAAGACACTAGTGTGTGCAACCTGATAAATACGGCAATTATTAAAGTAAAACAAGGCGATTTTTTACTCCAATAACATATTGTTACTATTGCATGCACCGTTTTTGTATATATATAAAAGTTCACACACTTTAAAAATTATAAAAATATTAAATAAAATTTATCCCTAAGGATATTTTATTTATTTTTTATTTATCGTTCATTTAAAGAGATATAGAGATTATAGAGATATAGATATTTTTATCGTTCATTTAAAGAGTACTTCAACATGATAGGCCCATTGTAGTGTTCATATGTATAGGCAAATATTTACTTCATCAAAAATACCATTATTTTGTTCGCTGTTCTATAGACATACATAATACACAATATACATATGTACATAAGATATTATTTACTTTGATGGCCAGAGCCTTCCGTCCCTTTTCCGCGGCCTTCATAGCGATGGTGGAGTAGGAGATGCCGGGCACATTCCGCAGCTTGTCACCGATCTCGCGCGCTGCACTCTCATTGTCTGTGTGAGGTTGTGTCACCTGGAAATATTTATAATCTACTAACTTTTGTTTGTAACTTCGTACACGTGCATTTTCGTACTCTTTTAGAAGGTGTATCAATATAAAACATAGACCAGATTTTAGGTAAGACTTTCAGGAACTGTAAAAACTTTAACTAAATTCTTGCAGTAGTTTTAGCGTGACGCCGGAATCAATAAATCTATAGACACAGAGAGACAAAACTTTAAAAAAAATTATTATTTTAGTAAGATAATATTTTATAACCTTTCTGGATTCTTTTTTTTTACATTTTTTTCTTTTCTCATCGCTCATTTTCATTCCCTTTATTTCATTGATCCATACTATTTTTTATCCTTCATCTATATATATTATATTGGTTATTTATCTATTTAAGTTTGATATTATTATTTTCTTCTCTCTCTACTATGACTCGCGAAGGAAGATATTGAAAACAGACAAGGTAGGCTAACCTTGTAGCAAGCCCAATGCGACAGAACCCTGGTCCGTCCGTCGTGGAGCTGCAGGTAGGAGGCCACGTGGCCGGCGAGGCAGTGCAGCCGCCGCCAGATGAGCCGGTCCAGGAGTACACGCTCTCGCAGGTGCTCAGCTCTGATACGACGCTCAGGAAACCATTGAATCTTACAGTTATCAGAACAATGGATGTAACAGATTATATGTAGATGTAAAATATACTTCACTATCACATTTATTAACCTGATGATAGTAAAATGTTTATAGTTATATATATTTAAATTAATACTATAACCTTTTATAATAATATATGTATATATATTGCATATGAGACTTTATTTTTGATTTATTTTTTTCTGCATTCTAGATTTTTTTTATACAACTTAGAATGGCAAACAAGCTGACGGCCCACCTGATGGAAAGTGGTAACCGTCGCCTATAGACATGAGTAGTACCATGGACATAACAGTTTTTCATGTTTATTTTAAAATTCAGCCATGGATATGGACGGAAGAGCGGGACTAACTGACACAGGCATTATTATGCTTACTAGGTAATCCTGACCTTATATTGTAACGTTGAAGTGTTTTTAAAGAAATAAAAATATTTATTATAATTACTATAATAATATTTTTTTTTTCAAAAAGGTTATCATATCTAGGGTATGTATCATATATTATTTTATAAGAACCTACATCATATCTGTGTGCCATTGGGGTAAACTAATTAAATTTAAATATCGTCATAGTCGTAGAATACTGACGGATCTTTATATGTAATATTTGTCAGATCCATCAGTATTCTACGACTATGACGATATATAAGATTCAAAATCATACACATTGCAATATAGTAAAAGGATACTGCCTATAAGTCAGAGGGATTGCTACTTTGGGGTCCCTTACAGCATTCAAGACCCTCAACCATCTACAAGTTCTGACATAATGATCTGTTAGTATTGGGTCGATAATAAATCCTTTTCCGAATTGAGCAGCTCTTATTAGCATCTTCTGTATGTCTGGATTGAACTCGTACGCCGCTGCGTCGATGCAGTTCTGTACGGCATTCGGGAGATCTGGTTTGACTAGTCTGATGTACTCATCAGCTCTGTGGCTGCGTTTCTGTAATGTTCAAATAATATAATTAAATAATATAAATTTATTTTCTAGTTATATCGCTAACGACACTACAATAAATATAAGACTATTTCAAAATGAAAAACTACTAAAGTTACTGTTTCAATTTTGAATATATTAACAGCGCCATCTAGTCTTAAAGTAAGTCGAACTTATACTATGAGCATTAGACAGCTATTGATATATATAAATATATATATATAGGGCAGACGTATTAATTTATACAAACGTTTGTATAGTACTGGGATCAAGTCCATCATAATTAAAAGATGCAGAGTTAAACTGCTACACTGCCAAGGGCATTATAATGATTATAAATTACCTGAAATTGTTTGGAGGCTTCAACCAAGTAAGACCCTGGCGCAGTGCTGTTAATACTAAATATTTTCTCTACTTCCACGGGCACTTTTTGTATGAGCTCATGTGTCATCTCAGAGATTACTCTGACGCAGTCCATTTCTACGATAATGTGGAATGGGCCGTCGTATGGGTATGTGACAGATTTGCCGTTGAAACCATATATGCACATAGTGTCATCCCAATGTGCTACAAGAGCTTGGGAACCGCACCTATAATATTTTATTTATTTCAACATAATTAATAACATTTATATGTCTTAAACAACTTGCAAGGGATGGCTTTCTGCACTCTTATGGCATCATGCTATAAAGTCAATCAAGAGAGCTATTGATATGGATTACTACTACTTAACTGGTTATGTTCTGGGAATTGAAGGAATCAATGTTCAATCCTAACCTTCAATTATTTATATTACCATGTAATAATATTATTTATTTTATATAGCTTAATTATAATATAATAAATAATATATTAATATATTCATATATAATATTGATATCTTTTATAAGATCCAGTGTGTTATAAATTTAATACTGTTTCTCCAGTACTACCAATTGAGGGGTGGCCTCACTGAAAATCAGTGCTGTAGCACAACACTGCAGCTTATGCTGAGTGGGGACCATTTCAGTTGTTACCATATAATTATTATTTTAATGTAAAAATTTTTAATTAATATTGTTGTTTTGTAGCTGAATAAATGATTAATTATCATTATTATTTCTTCTTTATATTATATAAATATGATTCTCAAAATACAATTTGCATTTCATGTTTGCACTGAAACATATTTGTTATTATCAGAAGTATAAAGAAATAACTTACCATACCAACTCCTTGGGCTGTTTGATGTATTCAGTGTCGATCTCGCAGTACTTAGTTCTGAAGTCGGAGGAACCGATCCAGAGGAACCCGGAGTCCGTGAACAGGGCTACATGCCTACCATTCTGCGACGGTACTATGGACAGTATTTGTGTATACGCGTTTGATATTTCTGGACGCTGGAATGATAGTAATAAAATGTATAGGAATTAACAAGTAGTATTATGAGAAATTTAGATCATCCAGATGAGTTAATTTAGAAAGGTTTGCTTCTTCATTCTATCAATGTCCAATGCCTAGGAATTAATTTACACAAATCTATATTCTTATTACCATAAGTACAGCTCTGGTCTCGCCCAGTTGACATTTGTATATTTCCTTGTCCCTGCATACAAGAAAACCAAGGACGGTTGGCGATCTCAGCCATGAGCTCAGAACACACCAAGATATGATTGATTCATTAGCTCCTGAAAAAAATACAAAAAATAATAAATGAAAAAAATATAAATAGATATAACTAGAGACTATAAGTAAAGATATTTGTATCAGAACTATATATTGAATCTACAGCAATTTCTTCATATCAATTAATGAAATAGATCTAATGAGATGAATTAATTATATAAATTTATAGGGATTATTACAGTATATCAGTCATGTAGAAAAGGTTGCAGATAGTGGACTGTATATTTGGCACTATATGTTAATACAAATATCAAATAATGGCAGAGAGAGTATATTTGATGCTTATAGCAACAACACACAAGAGCATAAAGAAGGTTGTGGCACAGTGCTGCCACACAGAGAAAGACATAAAATAAATTGTTTTAATTAAATGTAAGACACCACGCCGGCATACACAGACCATCAGTGTATGCCGGCTGCAAACCCAGTGACCCAGAGGTAGTCGCCTCCAGAGTAGAAGCCAGGGTAATGGGGTATGCCCCGAGGCCCCTACCTTGCTTGCCCACACATCATCTGACGGGCAAGAGAATAACATGTTGTTGTTTGTTGTAATTAAATGTTGGGCTTCCCCACAAATTCTTATGTATTGCAAATATTGATATGATATAAAAGGATAGTTTCCCTTAACAGAATTATACACACATAGATAGAGATAGTGGCAGCAATGAGGTTCTAAAATACAATATATATAAGGTTGACTGTCCATATTGGCAGAAACAGATGTTAATAAGGACCATTTTTTTTAAATAAATAAAAAATATTTAATAAAAAAAAACATCATACTTGGTATATCTGGTACACTTTGAACTTTAGGTTCATTCACATTACTGACAACAAACATACGGTTAGTTGTTGTGATAACAGCTAAACCTATGCCATGTGGGTTTGAAAACAGTTGGGCTCTAGCCACCTGAAATTTAAAATATATGTTTATTTAGTATTCAGTTTAATTGATTTTTTACATTATATTAAGATGATTATATAAGTAAATTGGGTATAAATGATCTCTTGTTACTTCCCACATAAAGACGAAATAACTTGTTTATAATAAACATTAGAATTAGTTATTATTTTAAACAATCATTACAATGTCCTGTATAACTGATGATTAAAGGAGGATTGTTTGAAAATAATTAATATAGGTTGCTACAAAATAACATAAAACAGGAAAATCTAAATAAAGATTAACTATTTTTAAGTGGGTCACTTCTGTCAGTTTATAATCCCTCAAACTTTATATGTTGTTGTTTTTAAATAAATAAAATTTGTTTTAAAATTTTTATTTATAACATTAATTGAAATAAAAAAAGTCTTGATGAATTTTATATTACATAAAAAATAACATAGAATATTCTATTTCGATGAAGATATTGTTTAACAGCATACCTAAAAATGCACTAGAGTAATACAATTTATGCACCTTAGTATCTCTGACTTCCTGGCCTAAATTGAAAGATTTCTGGTAAGCACCAAACATATCATAGATGAGGACATCTCCACTCTCTTGTACACATAACAGCTGTTCACTATCAGACCATCCCATGTGTATTAAAACTCCATTGTTCCACTAAAAATATTGCATGTTATATATTTTTTAATATATAAATAAGTACATAAATTACATTTGAATATTTTAATACAGCTAGTATTCTGCGGCATTGTCCATGATTTTATCGTGACAATGAATAGCCTATAACCTTCCTCAAGAAATGACCTATCAATTGCAAAAAATTTTTTAAAACAATTAAAAAGAATTTTGAGATTAGTATGTTCCTACAACAAACAGATTTTTGCAGTTTATTTTATAATATCTATATTTACAGATATTATAAAATTCATAAATATTAGTAGATAATTTTAATGGATTTTTAAATAATTAAAATTGGCACCAAAATAGACTTTAGCCAATAATGAATATTTTATATTATGTTATGATATGGATGTACACGTACATATATATATACATGGATGAGCAAGCTATAATTGCAATAAGTCATATTAAAGGAAGCCCAACAACCCAGCTAATGGCCACCAGTAATACAATTTATTGACATTACAGTAAACTGATAAACATATTTTTTAGACAATATGTAGGAAAAGATATGCATGGAAAATAGTGTTCTTAATGATTATAATTACAAATACATACCAAAATTTTTGAAATAATATTGCCAACACAATTGTAAATTGTTATCACTGGTTTTGCAGTTGTTACAATGCGAACAAATTGTTTCCGATCCCGTACCATAGCAATTGGACCCCCATATGGTGCTCCACTGACAACCATATTCTCTAGACCTTCATCCATAGCCCACATCATAGTATATAAGTCAAATTTCCTGAAAAATATTGAATAATAGATATATTTATAGTATTTATTTTAAAGTTAATGATTAATGTAGAGTAATAAAATAAATGTTAGTGAAGAGTAATTTGATGACTACACAACAATAAACAGTATTTTCTTCTACGGTATATGTGACTCTTTGTTTTTCTAGCTGGTATTGGTCTATGAGCAGCCGTAGTTTGTTAATACGTAATGGAGATTGTTGCTTAACAGAAACACCGTATGTTTCTGTTAAGCAACAATACATATAATTAAAGGTACATTTAATATACCTGTAGTAGGAGTCTAGTTGAAACCAATCTGCTGTTACTAACGCCGACATTTTGGTATTTATATATAATTTAATTTAGTGGTAAATAAGCGATATTTTGAAACAATAATTTCCTGGTATTAAACGTCACAACTGATTCTAATAATTTTAAAATAATACGATTAAATTACACTTCAAAAACTGTTATTAATAGAATAATATTTATATGGTAAATAACATTATTTAAAGCAGATAATTTTGTAATAAGTTATTGTTTAGAATAATACAAAGAAGTAAAAAAATCTATTGACATATTATTATATGACATGATTTGTTGACTTGACGTATGTCACGTTTGTCAACGTCATACTAATTTGTCATATGCACTATATGTCAATTATGTTTGACAGTAGTCAGACTATTTCCTTCTTTTTTCTTCAATGGCAATGGGTCGCTATTTTTAAGGCTTGTACTGGAGTTGAAAATTATATTCAATTATTATTATTTTTTGCCAGTAGTTGTCACGCTCGGCAGATGGGTTGGTTTGGTTTTTGGTGATATTTTAAGAGGGACGCAGTTGCCATCCCTCAACCCTTAAGTTACCTTAGTCGCCTCTAATAACACCCACGGGAAAGGTAGGAATGGCTTATTCTAGGCCAGGACTTACACATTTTAATATAAGAATAAAAATTATAATATAAGAATAAAATTTATTCGAATTCGCCCTTAGGGTTTAGTGACCAGGTTTATAAAACAGTGTGTACTTTGTTTATTGATATATTATACCTATAATCTAAGATTATACCTATTAATGTATTATGAAGTTAAAAAACTCATACAGTTTCATGTCAAATATATTCAAATGAATTGTAACTTTTTTTAATGAATGAAAATGGAATTACAATCCCGCCTGCACTATCCGTATATGTCAGCGGGGTACCAGGGATGGATGATATAAAAATACGAGAATGAAAGCTGGTCAGTTGGCCCACCGTGACGAATTCTACAAGAATTAACCACGACAGTTTTAGGGAGGAACCGTATGGTGGTCATCCTGATAAGTTATATTGCTAGAAATGGGTCTGTTAGACCATTTTACTGTCAATCCCTTTCTCGACAATGAACTCGATTAGGCTGTTACCAGTTACTACATACACTAGGTACATAATTTAATTCTTTATTGCATCACAAACATAAAAATGTACAATGATAATTAGATAATTCAAATGAAATAGAAATATATATCTATTTTCGCGGCAGTTCCCTTGTAGGCTAAATAGACAGAGGCGAGTGCCGTCATATTATTTACACACAACGCTGCTTTATCCAGTTTCAAATTAATTTCTTGCTTTTACTTACTTTTAATTGTGAATTAACAATGCATTTGTTGTGAGAAGTACTTAATCTAGACTTCCATTGATGTCACGATTAATTTATATTGCATTGTTTGATTACAATCTCACTTGATTTTAAGTGACAATGATCGAAATTCTTGTTATATTACACTGATTCTTTCATCGAACGCTTTCATATTATTGTGCCTTTTGTTAATGCGGTCTGCTAGCCTTAGGCACTCGGCAGATTACTGATGAGAGGGTTGTTACCTATTACTGCTTAATAAATTCGTAGTCAGGTAGACAGTAGACAGTTTTTTCACATCAGTCTCTTGCCTGTAGACTATTAAGTAGTGCAGGGAATTTGCATTTATAATGCTTATATTGTTATCTCTTTCTAAGGCATGTTCCTACACATGCATGCAAGAGAGATTGAAAATCGCGAAAGCGTAGCCATATTATTTCCATTAATTGTTTATGCTCGCAATGTAAATATTCAATGACCATAGCGTAAGACTGATAGTATAGATAAACCTATCTCTTTGCATTACGCTTTTTTAACTTATATTTAATACTACGTATCTAATACGAATACTTAGTGTAGGAGGATAGAGAGAGTAATGGGATATAACAGCCCCACTACTAATAATACACACAGTCAGGTCGGCCACCACGCGGTTCATCCCGGAATCATCGTGGTTGATTTTTGTCGAGTTCGTTACGATGGATTAACAGGTATGTTTTCATCCTCACCTATCATCCCTCACTAGTGTATACCAATGTATACCAATAGCGCAGACGATGTAAATAGTCAATTTTAACTTATCAAAAAAATATAAAAATAAAAGGCATATATAAAAATAATTTACATATCAAATAATACGAGCAGCTTTTATCCTGTTTTTTTAGTAATAAAGTTTTAAAACTGCATTGGTTTATGTAGGCGAAATGGGACAATTAGCCAATATTTGCTTTACTGCTGTCTTGTCACCCTACTTTTGTACCGATTTATTTAACACTATCGAAGGTTATCGATTTATTATTTTGTTGTCTACTCTCTTTGGATTTGCCGTGTGTTCTATGTGGTCGGCATAGAATAGGCCGCCACTTCTGATGCCGTGGGTATAGTAAGAGTCGAATAAGGGAGGGCGAGGGATGGGCAGTAGCGTCCCTCTTAAAACATCTCTAAAGCCTGACTGCGGTTACTAATTCGCCTGCCAAATGTGTCAACTACTGACAAAACCACCCATGGAGGAGGTTTGTGTTCAGCAGTGGACAGTTAAAGGCTGATATGATAATGATGTCTCTTTGGATATTTAATTTGCATGAAACTCGTTAGCTCACTGATCAAAAAGAATGTAAAAAATTCAGGTCATCATACGATCTCATTAGGTTTTTTACTACATACATTTTTAAACAGTATTTAAATAAGTATGTTTATGCATTTAACTAGTTATTTTTATATTCGTGCCGATTTATTTTCTTAACAATGTACTTAGGTATTATGTGTAGATTATAAAATGTTAAATAAATGGTAATTTTATTAGATTTTTTGAAGTTTTATGGTTAGTCTTACGATACATTTTTTTTATGATGATTGGCTCCACTTTTGAGGTTAAGAGGTAAATAATAAACGTAAACTAACTATTAAGTATGAGTTTAAATTATGTGGTGAATGTCAACTGTTTGTAAGTATCTGTAGCTAATATAGGTGCGACCTTCGACTTGAAGTGAAAGAAAAACCAAACAAAACGTAAAGTTGTCTCGTCAATCTTTCAAGACAGTGTTCTAAGAAGAATTATATACCGCATCTATTGCTTCGAGACTATATTAAAAGGGTGTCAGAGGCACTCATGGCAACAAATCCATCATGTTACTCGAATACCGTTGCTCTCAAGAACCACCCAACAATATGAGTGAACTTTCTAACTCCTGTATGTAGGCAGAAGCTTTGAAGTTAGTTTGATTGACGGCCTCAACTGAATAAAAATAAATATAAAACTGATTTTTTGTAGATGCCTGCGTCCCAGATAATATACTAATTCAGAGATATGAATATAGATGAGATTAGCTTTAAGAAATACAGTCAACAACTTCTTTATATTATAAGACTAGCTTTCAATTGCAACTTTGTTCACGTGACCGGGATATGTTCATTGAAAAACATACAGTTAAAAAGTAGGTATATCGTTCTTTGCGTGTATACCAAATTTCATAAAGAATAGTTAAGCTGTTAAGGCACTAAAGGATAACAAAAAAAAAAACAAATAAATAAACAAATTCATTTTCACATTTAAAATATTTCGTTTATAAGCTGGAGCGTATAATAATATTCTCATAAAAACCTTATTCAATGAACGCTAATTAATTTCTTAGTCACTAAATTGCAGTTGAAAAGGAAAATTGTTACTTACTTAAAAATAGAATCCAGTTACACCCGTTTCATTCAAAAGATTTTCCCAAGTAGGTATTATTCTAACGAGGCAAGAAATGAATCATTCTGAAAAAGAAAATAAGTAAGTGATTCGGGTATAAAACGAAATTATAGAAGCCTTTTGAGAGTTTTGCGTGGAAGTAATTCGTAAAGGGCCAAGAATATGGATTCTTTAGAACTTTCCGCAGCTTGTTAATAAGTTTTAACTTTACAGACGACATGCGTAACGCAATTCTTGTAATAAGACCAATATAATCAAGTAGCACGTAACTACCAGTTCAACTTTTTCTAATCTACCTATTTCGATTTACCTTTACGATAAAAATATACATCATCATATCAGCTATTCACTGTCCATTGTTGAACATAGGTCTCCTCCATAATGTTGGTTTTGTTATTTGTTGCCACGTTTGGCAGGCGGGTTGGTAATCGCAATTAGGCTTTGGAGATGTTTAAAGAAGGATGTTGTTGCCCATCCTTCACCTCCCACCCCCTTAGGCGCCTCTTGCGACACCCACGGGAAAGCTTTGGTGATCTTTTAAGATGGACGCTGTTGCCAATCCCTCGGCCATTAAGTAAAATTATAAAAATATGCATGAGAAATCAAAATTCGTAAGAAAGTAGGAAATAAACATTTTTAGATCAAAATAAAATCAAATTTAGACAATTACTTAAATGTATATTATAAAAAGAATAAAAAATCCGCAAATTGAATTGATACTTGTTTTTGTAAAATTAATGCCAATAATATTGAAGGGAAAATGACTAAGTGTATGTGCATAGATATAATAATGGTGGAGAGTTAATTACTAGTAACATGATGGATTTATCTTAACTAATAAATGCCCCTCCTCATATGCAGTTAATAGTAGTAAGTATATTATATGTAGACATTAGATAAGCTAACAATATCTTTAGGGGAAACAGCGAAACTTTTTTTGAAGGTTCTTAGATTACACTAGTAAATTTTTTATAAACTTGATCAATATACATATAATTTCATAACGATCTTTGTTGCGCAGTGATAAACACGTCGCTTTACGCAAATGAGGACTCAGGTTTGACTTCTAGTTGGGTCAATTTAGGAAACGAACTTTTCTAAATTGGCTCGCATTTGGTGTCCTGGATTAGGGGCATCATTATATTATGATTTGATTGTGTTGAATTAAAAGAAAAACTAAATTTAGTTATTTATTATATAAATTAGAAAAAATAGCTAAAAAGCAACTTTTAACATATGTTCTAAACTTTAGAACATATGTTAAAAGTTGTTTAGAATCTAAACATTAAACACGTTTATTTATTTTATTTTTTACTTTATTGACCAATAAAATATTAAAGTACATGTTCAAGTAGGCTTAAGGCGTAAGTAAGAAATTAAGGATAGTTTTAGATATTTTGTATTAAATTATGAACTTTGTCCTAATTTTAAGTTTAATTGACCAAGGCATATATAAACATTTAGGTTAACCAAATCTTATGCCGAAACGATATACCATTCAAGGTCTATATTTTCTCTTGACAAACGTTACAATTCCGGTTAAACACAATTGTTTGCAGATCTGTGCCAACAATAACAAAGGCGAGTCATGACATCGATGTTAAGTAATGAAATAACTTGGAAATGTCAGAGCTTGCCGGCAAGGCTGGCTAGTTGGCTCGCAGCTTGCTCCCACTCTCGCGCAACGGTACTCGCGTGTGCAGTCGGCGCCTGCCGCGCACCACGCTCCGAGGTCTCTGCCCTCCTCCCGGTAAACTTGTACGCCTCAATGCGTCCGCGCGCCTTACATTCCTCAAAACAAAAAATTTCGAATTTCAACTCGCTCCTTAAAAAGAATATTGGAAACGCGAATCTCTTAATCGCGATAACTTCGAGATCCCAAGTTCTCCCTCGGAACTTTTAATGTGCCCCATTACGGCACGCAGCGGTGTGTAAGAGAACTTTTATCAATACAGCCTTTTACAAGCTCTCAACTCTTCGGGAGTTAAATGTGATTTGTGAAATGTTGCGAATTATGGAGATTTTATGTTTGCATATCGACGAGGTGATTTTTTATCGTGCTTGAGCGTTACAGTGGAAATTTGTGTGAATTATAAGAGGACGAAATTCTTTGCAGGGGAACAGCATCGAAGGTAAGTTTTTCAAAATAAATATATGTATTTAAAATTTTGCTGAAATATATTTTCTTTCTTCAAATAGCAATATATTTAATTCTACATTCGAAGAGATGAAAAATTATTCGCATTATGTTGGCTATTATAACTTGAATGTAATTTTTATAACTTTAAAAGTTTCTTTGTGTTGAGCAGGTATAAGTTATACTGCGTGGGTTAAAATCTGCCAATATTTATGAATCGCATAGTTTGTTACTTAATCAATCTTCTTTAACGTTGAACGACTTTTTATATTTTTTTTTTTGTATAAACATCGCTTTTCGTTTTCATCATGTCAAAGAGCAGTCTCGGTAATTGTCTTCTTTGAGTTGCTATGAAACTGCAGTAGGTAAATTATTTGTACGCCTTGTTATAATTATTCTGAAACGTGACAAGACAATTTTTGAAATTGGTGCGATCTTCATGATGTTTATGAATTTTGCAGGATTCAAGTACCAGTCTTTATTAATTAGTTAAAATTTAAAATAATATAAATAATTAAATAGATTGTCAGTCTAAAAAACAAGCGGTCGTATTTAAATATTTATGAAATGGTTTCCTATTATTATTATGCTATATATTAGCTTTATAATATTCTATTACTAGTTGTATCACACAGTCTTGTTCGCGTGAATCTCTATTTGAAATATCTTTTATTCTAAATTTTTTTTTATTTTAGTTATTTATTCATTATATATATATATATATATATATATATATATATATATATATATATATATATATATACTATATATATATATATAGCATTCTCTCCCAGTCAACCATAGGAAAGTGTCAGAATACTCGAATGAGGTACTAGTAATTATTGATATACATACATATTAAAATTAGATATATAAACAAATAAATATATATGAATAACAAATATATTTACACATATATGACATATACTATATTATACACGAAATTGAGAGTAATATAAAGCACTTACTGCTCGAATAAAGTAAAAAAGTAAGCGTTAACGTTTTTTTTGAAAGACAGTTTAGTCGGTAGTCTCTTAATGGCATCAGGAAGCGCGTTCCAAAGTCGTGAAGAATGTAGGAGAAAAGAGTTTGAAGCGTATGTATTTTAGTATATGTAAATTAGTATATGATCTACCTGTATAACACATTCAAAACTACTGAAAATCTACATCCATATGGATCCATACATCCATCCTCACAAACTTTCGCGTTTATTAAGTATATAAAGGATTCGTTGTAGAATTTTTATCCTAGAATAAATTGAAATTAAATCTCATATCAATTTAATATCTGTAGTATTATACAATAGATCTACATACTAAATCAGAAAATTTTAAACTTTCGTACTCTGTTAGCTTTATTATCATCTCTAACTCAATATAATTACATGTTTTTAAAATTTTAAACTACCTAAGCTCGACTTGGTCAACTTTAATTTAAAACTCCAAAAACTCGAATGATTGACTGCATATTTTATTTTGTAATAATACTTTGTCTCTGCTTTTACTATTAATAGAATATTTAAGTTAAAAAATAGATGGGCTCTTTAAACGACTTTGAAACTGTATATCAAAGTTTCTTGGGATCGGAGGGTTGATACTTTATACTTAAAAGCTTAATAATTACTTCAATGTCTACTTATCGATTTATTTTAATTTGATTCTAAAAAAAAATCTTTAAAGGGTGAATTCTTATTTTTTTTCCTATTCATATTATGTTTTGGATATTGTGCTACAAACGAATGTAATAACTTTCTTTATTTATTATTTTACAGTCCTATTTTCTCTATAATTATTTATTAATACAAGTTTCATTTTTAATACTCCTCCAATTCTATGATTTTCATTTGTCCCTCAAAACTTGAATACGAATCACTGTGCTTCTTGTAACTACTTTAGAATATTATAGTAATTAACCTAATTGTAAATATTTAAATATAATTAAGTTCCTTGACATTTGTACTTTTTAGGTTAGAATCCAATACCCAATAAAAAAAAAAAAAACACTACAATTGCTTATACAAATCGATCGAGTCGATATTGGTGTAATAAAGTGTTAATTTTTTATAAATAATATAACAAATGTTAGAGTTGTTTATTTGTCAAGTCTTGTCATTCTAACGGCTCTACCAATCATCATGAAATTTGGTATTCACGTAGTATTTGGCGTGGAGAAGGACACAGACAACTTTTTAATCTAGTCACGTAGATGTAGTCGCGAGAACAGTGAAATAAATAAATAAAATCCAAATTTGTTGGGAATCATGTGTTCACTGGCCGTGCGGTTCCGGCATAGAATAAGCCACCCCTTCCTTTTCCGTGGGTGTCGTAAGATCCGACTAAGGGAAAACGAGGGATGGGCAGCAGCGTTCCTCTTAAAACATCTCTAAAGCCTGACTGCGGTTGCCAATTCGTCTGACAAGCGTGGCAACTACTGGCAAAACTCCCCAAGGGAGGCTTATGTTCAGCAATGATAATGATGAATGTGTTGCCATAATAACTATCGTAGTAGGTGTTTCTATAATTATAGTAACAATATTTTGTAATGAATCTCTTGATTCAAGGACAATTGAATGTTTGGAAATAGTTCTATAGATGCAGCCAATAAGATATCAATGTAACATGAGTTCTAAGAGATTTCTATAAAATGATAATATAACGAAGTCATTACAAATATGGCATCGTAATCGCTTTAAATATCAACTGTTGATTTTTTAAAAGCAATTAAGTCTTAGCCAACACTACATTTTTTACTAGTACAAGCCATTTTAATTCCCACCTGATTGAAAGTTGTAATCGCCGTCTATAGTCGTAAAGAATACCATGGAAATCATTAAAATTACTACTTTATCCGCACTATTCGTGCGTATTGCGTAGCGCTTTTGAGAACTAAGGTGTTGTGTCATTTACGTAGACTGCAATTCAGTTCTGAACACAAAAAGCTCACGCATTATTGCACCATGGTTGAAATATTTTAGTAAGATGACTAGCTATATTTTGTGTATTCAGAAGGTATTTATAATGGCATTCTATTAATGTTGTAAATACGAAAGTTTGTAATAATTGATGGATGGATGAATAGTTGGATGGATGTTTGTTATTCTTTAATGCAAAAACTATTAAACTGATTTGAATGAAATTTGGTACATTGATAGGTTATATCTTAAGTTAATAAATAGGATAGGATTTTTATATATTGATTCATGCAGGTATCAAATTAATGATAAATAACTGTAGGGTAATAGATTTATATAGTAATTTAATTACGTAATTATAACTTTACATAGTATATGATATATATTCTTTAGCAATATAAAAGTTGTAAGCCTCTTACTAATAAATAGAAATGAAGCACAAGTTCACTTAGTTCATTTAATTTTGATATTATACTATTAAATCATATATTTACTTATGTTACTTTGTATATGACATATAACAAATAATATAACCTAAATATCCAACTTCTGTTAATCCATTCACACTTATTTAACTATAGCTTCTTTAGGACTTCCATGAACAATAATTGTGATATATTTTATATAATGACCATGTGGTTTACTATACTTGTTCACTCTTGATACAGCAGGGAGCTCCGTTCTGTTCAACAGTTGGACAAGAAGTGCCTCCTCACCCAAATAACAATCTATTATATCTACAGGACCGAATTCGAATGAACAAGTCAGCGAGACCACGTGTTTTTACAATTTCATTATTTTTTATTCAAGTATCATGACAATAAATAATTATAAAATTAATTAAAATATAAATTAGTGTTCTATATACATTACAAGAATAATTTATTACCAAATTTGGTATAATAACAATTTTAACGTTTTATTATATTTAAAGTAGTTAGTCTGATTTTTATTACACATTTTAACACAAGATGTTTAAGAAACAATATAATTTAAAATAAATATATAATACAGCCGTAAGATTAGTTAGTGATATGTAAATAAACGTGATTTATAATTTTGTTATAATAAAAAAAAAAAAATATCAGCTGGCATATAAGAGAAATTAGAAATTGTTTATATAAGCTGTGAGTGATCAAAACAGAATGACAATGAAAATCGTGTGTGAATATGAAACTGTCATGAAATGCTTGTTTTAAAATACAATGTCGTTAAAAAAATAATAGGTAATCAGTGCCATACAATCTCACGTTTGTTTTATTGCCTTGCTATTATTTAAACTAGGATATCCTGTGTTTTAAAAAACTCAAGTCAGGGGTCACTTTGGAAGAGTTTGTTTTCTAAATTGGTTGAATGCCTATTTGAAGTTTCGAATGGGAATCGAAACACGAATACTTGTAGTATTCCATCGGTTTTAATTCCGAATTGCTGATATTCATAACTGTAACCTGAAATTCAAGGAAACTGTGACTAGATAATTCCATTGAGAGATACAGTGAGTAGGTTTTCCGTGACTAATTTATGTTCTGTAAATAATAATGTCCATTTATGTTATAGGTCGATGCCCTTCAACTTAGTGGGTATATACTTGCCGATTCATTAGTGTAGAAACACGAGTATGCTCGTAAATTATCACAATAAACGCACAAATATGGCTCGAAGTTATATCAAATATTAAGCTAACATTATAATAATATTAGCTATATGTTGCGGTTGTTGCCACCTGAATGAGTATATAAAATATCCTATATGGTAAGTTAGGATATAACCTATGCCTGTAACAAAAATCATTTAAATTCTTTCTTTTCTGTGAAAGAGTAAGAAATATTCATCCAACCATCCTTACAAACTTACGTATTTATGAGATTAACAGTATATATATATATATATCAATCTAAAATAGGTGTCGTTTCCTTTTTAAAAAATAAAATTTATTCTCTGAGAAAAAAGTTTATAATATGTTTATAGTAACAGTTACTGATTGTGGTTAAGAACATGAACAACGACCCATCAAAACTGTTCTGAGCAATAAGTACTGTTATATTCATATTTGTATTGAAAATTAAGGTCGAAGCAATTTC